TTCTTTCTCTTTGCTCTATTGGTGGGTACAAACTCCAGTACATTGTTGAACAGAACTGGTTAAGAGTGACATCCTTGCCTTGTTCCTCATGTTAGGGAGAAAACATTTAGTCTTTCACCATTAAGTATGATGTGAACTGTGAGTTTTTCATGGATGTCCTTCATCAAGTTGAAAATGTTCCTTTTATTCCTAGTTTGATGAATTTTTATTCTAAGTGTTGAATTTTGTCATTTGCCTTTTCTGCATCTATTGACATGATCATATAGTTTTTGTTAGTTTATTCACATTGATTTTCATATATTAAACCACCCTGGTATTTCTCAATAATGTCATTTGGTCACAATGTACTTTTTTTTATATTGATGAAATTGATTTACATTGCATCATGGTACTGGTCTTCAGTTTTCTTGTAACTCATAATTTTTGATATAAAGATAATGCAGGCCTCATAAAATGGGCTCTTACTAAAATATCAGGAAATATTTGAGTAGCACTGGTGTTCTTTGAGTAGAAGGCCTTGATTCAACAGGATTGTTTTCATTGTGTTTAATTCTTCTCATGCCATGAATATGTTTGGGAGCCCTATGAAATCCACTTTCCATGTTGGGTTTACACTACAATGGCTTTAAACAAATTTGTAACCAGTTGACTGATTACCCATTTTTCTCTTAAAATATTTCCAACTCTCATTATCATGCAAACCAAAAAAAAAAGTTTAGAAAATACGAAGTTTAGGGGTGGCTAGGTGGCCCAGTTAAACATCCGACTCTTGATTTCAGCTCAGTTCATGATATCAGGGTTGAGAGATTGAGCCCCACATCAGCCTCCACATTCAGCATGGAGTCTGCTTAAGATTCTCTCTCCTTCTCCATCTGCCCCTCCCTCTGCTCATGCTTGCTCACTCTGTCTAAAATAAATAATCTTTTTGAAAATACTAAGTTTAGCAATATTTACAAAGACATAAGTCTACAGTGAATATTCAAACACTGTATATACCATCAGGGAACACTTTGAGGTAGTTTTCAAATAAACTAACATTAAAATTTACTAGCAAAGCTAACAACACTACTCAGAATCTGGTTTCAAAATTATCAGTTGGAGGACATATTTTGCTTCTAAAACTTTTCTTTCTCAGCTATATGGTTAGTGTTAGGGTATGTGCCTGGTATTTTGCAGTTTAGAGACCTCTCCTAAGGGTTAGGGTTAGTGTTAGGGTTAGGGGTGAGGGCTTAGGGTGTGTACCTGGCGTCCTGCAGTTCAGAGACCTCTCCAGAGAATAAAACCCCAGACTTGTGCTGGGGTGAGAATAGACATAATAGCCATCCACTGAGCTAAGGCAAGGAGGGGATTTGGGGATCTAAATACTCTTCAAATACATATTCAATTGGTCCTTCTGTTTTTAACTCTACTTTCCCAACCATTTTCAGAAATACTACCAATACTTAAAATGTCTGGGGTCTTCTCCAGGACAACTAGGCTGCTTCTCAGCTTTTCTTATTGTGTGTTCAGGAAGCCACTTTCTTCAGATCTAGGGTTAGGGTTAGTGTGTGTGCCTGGTATTTTGCAGTTGAGACTTCTCCAGAGGGTTAGGGTTAGGGTTAAATTTAAGGATTAGAGTTAGGTGTTAGGGTATGTGCCTGGTAATTTGTAGTAGAGTCCTCTCTAGATAAAGAAGCCCTGACTTCTGCTGGGGTTAGGGTTAGGGCTAGGGGTCAGGGGTGGGAGTTAGGGTTTGTGCCTGTATTCCTGCATTGAACTTGTTAGTTCTTGCAATAGCACTCATAGGATTTATATAAAGTATACAGTACTTTTATTACTTTCAAGAATGACTCAGCCATACCCCATTAGGGTGGCTACTATAAAAACAAAACACCCCAGAAAATAACAGGCACTGAGGATGTGGATAATTTGGAATTCTTGTGCACTGGTGGTAAGAACATAAAATGGTGTAGCTGCTATGGGAAATAGTATGGTGTTCCTCCAAAAATAAGAAATATAATTACCAGATGATCCAGCAGTCTGGTAATCCACTTATATACTTTATATACTTTTGGCATATTAAGAGATGTTTGTACAGCCATATTCATGGCATTATTCGTTATAGCCAAAAGGGGGAAGCAACCCAAGTGTCCACTGATGGATAAATGGATACACAAAATGGTGGTATATATTCTGACATACATGAATGAACCTTAAGGTCATTGTGTTCACGAAATAAGCCAGCCACAAAAACATAAATATTATATGATTTTACTTACAGGAGGTAGCTAGGGACAGAAAATAGAATGGTGGTTGCCAAGAGCCACCTGGAGGGGAGAATGGGGAGTTTTGGAATGGTTATACAATTTCAGTTGTGCAGGGTGAAGAGCGCTGGAGACAAGCTGCACGTACACTTAGCACTACTGAACTATACACTTAAAAATAGTGAGGATGGTCAAGTTATGCATATTTTACCACGGTTAAAAAATAGTGACCCACACATTATTTGTAGACCAGCAGTGAACACACACTTACAACATGGCAAGAGCCAAGTAAAATAATGACCATTTCTCTCCTACGTGTTTCTGTCCCGATTTGGAAATACTGACCTTCAATACTGTGTGTCAGTGTTTCACACTCTCACCATGCCAGTGACAACAAAAACTGTCTTTAGACATTATGAAATGTCTCCTGTGAGGGTGGGGACTCAGGAAGCAAAATCACCCCTGGTTGAGAAGCACTGCTTTAGAATCATAGACTGTGCCTAAGTGTACAAAGTACACATTTTTACATATTGCTGGACATTAGAAACATTATGCATGCTGTACTTTATGGGAAAGTTAAAGAATTTTTTTAGGGAATAATTTTCAGTATATAAGTATGTAAGATTTTCACCCTCCTCATTTAGATTCAAACTTTGTAAAGATCTGACTCTGTGGTATTTATGCAAAATTCATTTTTTCAGAAACAAGAGCCCGAAAATCTGAAGGACTGAATTTATTTATTTAAAAAATGATAAATATTATGGAATGCTAACTTCACATTTAGGATAGTAGGACCTTTGTATTTGTCATATTCCAGGATATATCTTTTAGACTTTAGAAATGTCAACTAGATCACTCTCTGGGCCCAAACAAGGACCATTTATTTGCCTTTTTGTGATGGGGTAATTAAGAGAGACAAGCAGACTGACTGTTTAGACTGAGATACAGCCCACCAGGCTGGTTCTGTGTAGCAGGCTTCCCAGTGGACACTGGACTGGAAGTGGTGGGTCTGGGTCTGCCCCAGACCACAGGCTCTAAGGGTCGACTGTTCCTGCCTCACTCACCGCTGTCTCCCTCAGAACTAGCCTGGGCCAGGCACACAGAACACTCACGCATCTGAATAAAATAAATGAGTCTTAGCATATATTTTCTTTTACAATTGTTTATTCAAAAGCAGGGAACAGTGTAGTAAAGAAATGCATTCAGTGGTACTAAAATAAATCTACAGAAAATACATAATTTCATTAAAGTGCAAACAAAATACTTGAAATGGCACATATTTCTATATTTCAAGTCAGTATACTTTCTACTTTTTTTAAGAATTTTTAAAGAATTGCCTATAGCAAATAAGAAATCCAGAGTTTTTCCTCTTTGCTTTGATTTCCTTTATACCATATTTAAATTTTTAGCATTTCTAAGTGCATATATTTTAAATGTATACTAGGAAGGAGACACCTTGAGGTGGTATGACCAGTGATGATCTCCCTTAATCCAGACAACACTGTTCTGCCTACGATTTATTAGCCTTTCTAGTAGATGCTTTACTTGGTTTGCACTGAACTGACTAGTGAAGCCTAGATTCTTTGTCCATCTTCAATTTACTATATTCTGGTCTTGGACAAGTTACTTATTTCTCCAAACTTCACTTCCTCCAGCTGTAAACTGGAATAACATCACTAATCTACCACGATATGCTGCAGAGAATGTATATCAGGCACTCAGCATACAACAAATTGTATAATTAATATTTTAAAAACCTATTTATTTCTAGACTGTGTTCCTGTCAAAATCTTTAATTCCATCACCTGTGAATTAGCTATTCCTCCTAGATTTGTTATCTGCAAATTTGGCAAACTTCAAAACCATTATTAAGAATATTTGAAACAGTTTCCTAACTTAGGGCATACCTCCAGGCTGACGAGTAGATTAATGATGTTATATAACTGCATACATCAACTAGCAGGACAAATTCATATACCTGCACTGTCATCTGGCTAATTTCTTATTCCATCCACAAAGATTTTAAGGCTTTCTTATTACAATCCCTTGATTCACTACAGTAATAAAACTTCCTGTACATACTAAGTCTTCATTTAGGCAGATATACCAAGGTAAGTTTGTGATTTGAAATGTAAAATAGTAGTTTTAAGAAGAGTTCTCCAGAAACCTTATCTGGAATGAATTATTCTTAACCCAGGTCACTCACAATTCCCACGGAGAAAGCCTTGCTGAAGCTCACCCTCCAAAATTACAAAATACATGGATAAACATTCCACCAAATACAAGATTCAACAGATACAAACAATAGGAATTTGATGTAATGTAGAGCTACAAGAGAGAAAAATATTTTTTTTAAAAGATTTTATTTCTTAAGAGAGAAACCACAAGCAGGGGTAGAGGTAGAGGGAGAAGCAGGCTCCCTGCTGAGCAGGGAGCCCGATGCAGGACTCAGTCCCAGGACCCTGGGATCACGACCTGAGCCAAAGGCAGACACTTAGCCAACTGAGCCACCCAGGCGCCCCGAAATGAAAAATAAATTTTGAAAAAAGAAACATGGTAAACAGTCTAAAAAGGAGATTATATATAGCTGACAAGAGAATTCATAAACTAGAAGAGATATAAAGTCATCAGAGAGAGATAAAGCACAGAAGGGTTTAAAAGATACAGAATAGAATGAGAAGGCCCAATATACATTTTTAAAAATAGAAACCATCCTAACTGTTGTCTTAGAAATTTGTTCTCCATAAAGTAACTTCATTATTCAGTAACACTGGGTGATCTTCCTACTGAAAATCCAGACATCTTTCTTTCTTTCTTTTTTTTTTTTTTAAAGATTTTATTTATTTATTTGACAGAGACAGAGACAGCGAGAGCAGGAACACAAGCAGGGGGAGTGGGAGAGGGAGAAGCAGGCTTCCCGCTGAGCCAGGAGCCCAATGTGGGACTCGATCCCAGGACCCTGGGAACATGACCTGAGCCGAAGGCAGTCGCCCAACCAACTGAGCCACCCAGGCGCCCCAGACATATTTCTTAAGTACTAACTTGCTTTCAATATTGCTTATTTTTAATGTGGCTTTACCACGATATATAGATGGTTACAATTTTAAAGTTTTTTTCTTCCTTTTATAAATTAGTATCAAATAACTTATCATTCATATCTAATATCTGGGGAATAAGTTTTAATTAAAAGCTACCTCAATCCAGCAGTTTCTTTCTTCTAATTCATACTCAAGCAAACACTGTCAGTGATGCTCTCTGCCCTCCAGCTGCTTCCACTTTCAGCTAAAGCATCTGTCAGGGGTTTTACGGAGAACAATACATGTATTTGAAAAGAAAAAACAAATGTCTAGCCTACAAGTACAGCATGAATGACACTTACTTCTAACATTTGATAGAGGAGATTTTCCTTGAGACTGTCAAGGCCTCTTTAGGTGACTGAGTCAAGTATTAAACACTTTTTTAAAAACAGTAAATAGTTCACTTAGTTAAATATTAATACCTATTCAAAGTCTGTTGGATGGGTTAAAAATGAAGGCCACAGTATAATTTCTAAAGGTTGAGCTGAAGGGAAATTCATATGCTGGATCACACCCAAGCTTTCCATCCTGGGAAAAGTCGGCTGAGATTTTTGGGGTCCATGGCTTGCTGGATGAGCAGATTCACCTGCCCCCCCACGCTGAGCACTGTTCCTTCCTCCACTCCTTTCAGCTTCTCTTGTAGTCTCATCAAGACTCGTTCCGCTACTTTGTTGAAACTCTGGTCCGTGTCACTGAGGACAAACACACAGGTTGTAGTGCGGTGGGACAGTTCAAGGGCCTTGGGAACAGGAAAATCTGAGCAGTTGGACAGTAGGGCCCTTGTTCGTAACAGGCAGCTCACCTGAGATTGCGTTTGCATTCCGGGTCCTCTCCACCAGGAGTGGAGTGCAGCTCAGCGTCATCCTCCGGCCTCTGCTGTAAATACAGAGCTTTCAGAGGATTCATGGTCCAGTCAAACAGGGGGTCGTAGAGGAGAACCTAGGCAGAACATACGTGTTAGAACAATGTGCCTTCTGATGACGTATTTAGAGACAGAGGAACCAGTGTGATAAAAAATAAGAGGCCAGTCAAATGGTAGGTGACTGGGGGGACGGGGACGACCTATGGAGGCACTTCCTGTTTCCTTGTGGAGGAAACTGTGTCAGCATAGTGCTCTGGGCTTCCTAGCCCATTCTGAATCCGTTCTTCCTCCCTGGGTGGGGTGGTGACATCCCTTGACCTCTGTTTCTGACTCGGTGAAACTAATCTATTTCAAAGAGATAAGGACTAGTCCCTCCCTCCCTTTCTTTCTTCTCTCTCTCCTCTTCACCACTAGGATCCTGAGCAAAGGCATCCGCTCTGCGCCCCATCCCTCCCTCAGGTGGGATCGGCAGTGGGAGCAGGAAGCACCAGCAAGCCTGTGTGGGCCTCACGCCTTATACCATCTTATCCAAGCATTTTATCAGTAATAAAGCTAACATTCTGATTTCTGTTCCTAAGTCTTTTTCTTTTTCTCTCAATTAGTTCTAAATTCCACTAGAGAAAACAAAGAGTCTGCTTTATTGAAAGCTCCTCCAAACCCAGGGTCCTTTTTGTGGGTGAGCCTGGTCTGGATCTCTCTAAAGCCATGTCACTGCCCAACGTGAAGTCACACGGGAACCCTGGAACTTATGGACAAACCGCATATATTCGAAGTCAGTGCCCCCACAGTTTTTAGTGACCCTGGGGGTTGCCCGGAGCAGATTTTGGTACTGCTGATGCAGGACATGTCCTGGAAGGAAACATGGAATGCTTAAAGGCAGTTTACAGCCCAGCCTACAGAAGTACTGAGGAAACACAAAAAAGGGCAGCAGCAGAAAGTGTTACAACTCTGTCACGGTGGAATATTCTGTTAATCTAAAACGGATTTCTACACATTGATTTTGTGTCCTGCGACTTTACTGAATTCATTTATCAGGTCTACTAGCTTTTTGGTGGAATCTTTTGGGTTTTCTATTTTTGGTATCATGTCATCTGCAAACAGTGAAAATTTACTGCTTCCTTACCAAGTTGGATGCCTTTTATTTCTTTTTGTTGTCTGATTGCTGTGGCTAGGACTTCCAGTACTATGTTGAATAAAAGTGGTGAGAGTGGACATCCTTGTCTCGTTCCTGACCTTAGAGGGAAGGCTCTGTTTCTCCCTACGGAGGATGATGTTTGCTGTGGGTTTTTTCATATAAGGCCTTTATTATGTTCAGTTTGTTCCCTCTAAACCTACTTTGTTGAGGCATTTTATCATGAATGGATGTTGTACTTTGTCAGATGCTTTTTCTGCACCTATTGAAATTATAACATGGTTTTTATCCTTTCTCTTATCAATGTAATAATGTATCATGTTGTTTGATTTGCAAATAGCAAACCACTCTTGCATACCGGGAATAAATCCCACTTGGCCACATGGTGAATGACTTTTTTAATATAGTGTTGGAATCAGTGTGCTAGTATTCTGTTGAAGGTTTATGCATCCATGTATCTTCAGAGATATTGGCCTATAGTTTGTTCTCTCTTTTTATATTGTGTTTATCTGGTTTTGATGTCAGGGCGATACTGGCTTCATACAATAAATCTGTAAGTTTTCCTTTCTTTTCTATTTTTTTGGAATAGTTCGAGAATAGGTATTAATTCTTCTTTACATGTTTGGTAGAATTCCCTTGTGAAGCCATCTGGTCCTGGAGTTTTGTTTGAATCAGTAATCAAAAACTCCAAACAATTTCTTGCTGGTAATCAGTCCAAATTTTTTTACATCTTCCTGCTTCAGTTTTGGTAGGTGCTTCTAGGAATTTCTGTATTTCTTCCAGGTTGTCTAATTTGTTGGCATAGTTTTTCATAATATTCTCTTGTAATTGTATTTCTGTAGCATTGGCTGTTATTTTTCCTCTTTCATTTGTGATTTTGAATCCCTTCTTTTTTTATGAGTCTGGCTAGAGATTTATCAATTTTGTTGATCTTTTTAAGGAACCAGCTCCTGGTTTCATTTATCTTTTCTATTTTTTTTTTTTAGTTTCTATTTCATATATTTCTGCTCTAATTTTTATTATCTCTTTCCTTCTACTGGCATGATTTTTCTTTGTATTTTTTCTAGCTCTTTTAAGTGTAAGTTTAGGCTGTTTATTTGGGATTTTTCTTGCTTCTTGAGGTAGGCCTGTATTGCTATAAACTTCCCTCTTAGAACTGCTTTTGCTGCATCACAAGATTTTGGACCATTGTGTTTTCATTTGTTTCCATGTACTTTCTGATTTCTTGGTTGATCCACTCATTGTTTAGTAGCATGTTATTTATCCTCCATGTATTTGTGGTCTTTCCAGATTTTTTCTTGTGGTTGACTTATAGTTTCTTAGCGCTGTGGTCAGAAAAGATGCGTGGTATGACTTTGACCTTTTTTAATTTGTTGAGACTTGTTTTGTGGCCTAATATGTGATCTGTTCTGGAGAATGTTCCATGTGCACTTGAAAAGAATGTGGATTCTGCTATTTTAGGGTGAAATGTTCTGAATATATGTTAAGTCCATCTGGTCCAGTTGGTCATTCAAAGCCACTGTTTCCTTGTTGGATCTATTTGAATGGCTGGTCCATCAATAGAAGAGGGGTGTTAAAGTGCCCTACTATTACTGTATTACTACTGATGAGTTCATGTTTGTTATTAACTATTTTATGTATTTGGCTACTCCAGTGTTGCATGCATAAATGTTTGTAATTGTTATATCTTCATGCTGGATTGTCCCCTTTATTATTATATCGTATCCTTCTTTGTCTGTTTTTACAGTCTTTGTTTTAAAGTCTGTTTTGTCCAATGTAAGTATTGCTACTCCACCTTTCTTTTGACATCCATTAGAATGACAGATGGTTCTCCATCCCCTCACTTGCAATCTGCAGGTGTCTTTAGGTCTGGGATGAGTCTCTTGTAGGCAGCACATAGATGGGTCTTGTTTTTTTTATCCATTCTGTCATACTATGTCTTTGATTGGAGCATTTAGTCCATTTACATTCAAAGTAATTATTGATAGACATGTATTTATTGCCATTTTGTTACTTGTTTTATGGTGGTTTTTGTAGTTTTTCTTTGATCCTCTTCTGTCTCTCTTTCATGGTTGTTAGTTTTCTTTAATGATATACTTGGATTATTCTTTGCATGTCTATTACTGGTTTTTGATTTGTGGTTACCATTAGGTTTGTCTATGACGTCTTCTGCATATCGCAGTCTATATGAAGTTGATCGTTACTTCAGCTTGAACCCACAGGGAAGTACATTTTATTAATCAAATAATGAAAAGGAATGGAGGTCTCTATTATTACAAAGAGTCTATAATGGTCGTCTTGGGTTTCAGTAGAAAAACAACACAAATTATTTCAAACCCTAAGCCTTCCGTTAGGTGTCATATTTGTAAATTTTGAAATCAAGGAAGAACCAGACTACTTCAAAAAACGACTTTAGTCTTACCATCAAAACAGCAGTGGCTGAATGAAAACAATAAAGGAATACAGACCGATTAAGCTACAGCAGGGTTTCTCAATCCAGGCACTACTAACAAACAAACATTTTTGGGCTGAAAACTTCTTTGTTGTGGGGGCTGTCCTGTGCACTACAGGATGTTTACGGCCTCCACCCAGTAGATATCAATAGCTTTTAAAAAAAACAAATGTTCCGGGGCGCCTGGGTGGCTCAGTCGTTAAGCGTCTGCCTTCGGCTCAGGTCGTGATCCCAGGGTCCTGGGATAGAGCCCCGCATCGGGGCTCCCTGCTCGGCGGGAAGCCTGCTTCTCCCTCTCCCACTCCCCCTGCTTGTGTTCCCTCTCTCGCTGTCTCTCTCTCTCTGTCAAATAAATAAGGGGCACCCAGGTGGGTCAGTCGTTAAGCGTCTGCCTTCGGCTCGGGTCATGGTCCCAGGGTCCTGGGATCGAGCCCCACATCGGGCTCCCTGCTCCGCGGGAAGCCTGCTTCTCCCTCTCCCACTCCCGCTGCTTGTGTTCCCTCTCTCGCTGTCAAATAAATAAAAATCTGTAAAAAAACCAAATGTTCCTGCCCCACCCCTGAAGTATGGTTTGAACACGGTCAGCATCAGTATTTTTTAAAAGCTGTACTGGTGATAGTCAAGTCCAGCCAGTTGAGCACCACCAGGTTAAAGGAATAAATGCTGACGGTTGTGGGTAAGGGAGTCCCCTGTGCTCTGTCTCCCACGTTTCCTTGTGGAGCAGACACAACTCATCTGTTGCCCACACACCCTTGACCAGGGTGGTGAAACACTGCTTTAGGTACATAATTCTCTCTGGGGTAGAGCTAATGTCATTAAGGCCTGGAAATCTGCATTATTTTCTCCTCTTTCCGCCTGATCAACATGAAGCAGTGATTACATGTTCTGAACCTGGGCAAAGGGATATAATTTACGATTTCTCTCAAAACCCCAATGCAAACCATTCTGAAAGCAAGTCATGCCACAGGAGAGAGCAAAGATGTCGAAGTGCTGATTTATGATTTAAACACTAGAGATGACTTAGGAAGCCGTAACATGCCCAGAAACCTGGGAGGACTGGAGGCGTTTCTAAACCACTGTTTACTGATGTGCGCACCCCCGTCCCTCCCACTGCCCATCCCACCACATTAACATGAAGCACTGATCCTCAAATCAGTGACGTCCTAACAAGATACACAGTCTAACGGCAGAGAAATAAAGATTTCCTTATAATACACTTTACCTCCACAATGGTTAGCAGGGTTTCCTGAGAGCTTCTCATGACCTCCATGGTTTTCTCACAGCATCTACAAACACGTTACAAATATGGATCTTGTTACACACCGTGTCCAACATCTCATCGCTATATATTCATGTATACTGTGCCGAGACTATTCTTATTAATAATTCCCAGATTAACATCTCAAAGAGCACAGTACTAGGGCAGACTGCATTTTTGGTAAATTGTTTTTGAAAAGAATATATCTAGGGGCGCCTGGGTGGCTCAGTCGTTAAGTGTCTGCCTTCGGCTCAGGTCATGATCCCAGGGTCCTGGGATCGAGCCCCGCATCGGGCTCCCTGCTCAGGGGGGAGCCTGCTTCTCCCTCTCCCCCTACTTGTATTCCCTCTCTCGCTGTGTCTTTCTCTGTCAAATAAATAAATCTTTAAAAAATAAAAAAAAAAGGAATATATCTATATGAATGTAAGCTAAGCCTTCGTAAGAATAAAACACAGTAGTACTATGAAACATTGCTTTCAGTCAGTGATTATTGTGTTAATTATTAGTTCACTCTGACTGGATTCTACTCTAGTAAAAGCTGAGCACATGGACCAATGCTGGGGAGCTACAGGGACCTGGGAAGTGCTTTCAGCTGGAACCAGTCCATCATACGCTCCTTCAGCAGAGCTTATCTGCCCAACACTGAGCGCCCGAAGGAGTTCTGAGCAGTAAACGGAGTTCCCGAGGACAGAGGCATTAACGGTAGAGGCAAGCTGCTTCCAGAAGGTGCTAGGAAGGACAGCTATGTATGTTATATAGGGTGAGGTCCCAGGTGGTCTGAAGGAAGGGGAAACTATTACAGTCTTTACTCTGGGGTTTTCAGCACTGGAACATGATTTAGCAGTGAATCCTAGAGTCTACAGAAATCAATAATCCAAATAATTTTGACATAAAAAACCATCTGCTGTAAACCCTTACCTTCTGAAGACACCTTCAACACCAGTAATGCCCATCCCATCCACAATATCTCTGGTGAGTCTGAAAGGAACCGTTTCAGGAGTAGGGAGGATCTTACCCTGTTCAAAAGCAACTCCTAAAGGAAACAGTACAGCAAGGTTAGGAGGTTCCACAGCAAACTGACTGTCCTCCCTTGGGGCGTGTGAGCTGTGCAAGGCCCCAGATCATCTGTCATCAATAAATACTGCATAGTAACACATAGTACCACTCACGGTGGTTTATTCTGTTTCTGCTCTGCCACGGTCTAGGAGATGCACCTCAAATTTAAAAAGCATAACAACTTCCAGACATAATTAGAGAAGTTCTAGATTAAAGGGTGATTTTTTAAAAGGAAATAGTGATGGGTAGGATTTAAAATGCAAAGTATGCATATAATCTTAATTTATATGTATTTAAGTATACACGCATTTAAGTTTTATATACTAAAACTTCTTATTAAATGAAACTTTTTATTCTGAGATAACTATAGATTGATATGCATTCATAAGATACAATATGCAAAATACAAAATTCCCCATATACCTTTTATTCATTTTCCCCCAATCTTGCAAAACTACACAGTAGTTTCCCAGCCAGGACACTGATCCAATCAAGGTCCAGAATATTTCCATCACCACAAGAATCCTTCAAGCTGCCCCATTTACAGCCACCCACATCCCTCCCAGCCTACTGCCCTCCCACTCACTCTGTGCCTCCAGCAATCACTACTCTTTTGTAACTTCGTATAACTGAATTCATTCTGGGGAAAACCATGTAATATACGTGATCTTCTCTATTCTAATGAAACTCCATCTTAACTCAGCAACGACTTATATGGATTATAATACAGAACTGATAATTTCCTGAGACTACACCTTCTTAGAAATCTTAAAGCTCTGTTTCTACCCCCTTATTAAAGAGTCTTCAAACTCACTGAGATTTCTAGTCTGTCAGCCTTTCTTCCTTCCCTACTCCACTCAGGGTGCGGAGTGCAAGGCTGCTCACTCTCACTGCTGCCTCATGTCTCGTTGGCCCCCGGCCGCTCCACACTTCTCTAAGCACAGCTGCGACTCACTCAGGGAGGCTGGGAGGAGGTACGGGAAGACACCACTGGCCCCACTGCAAGTGCAGGTCCTCACGGTAGGCGAGCGCCCCGTGGACTGCTCGGCACGTCGCCTTCGCTCCCCGTCTCCACCCGGCTCTTGGTCTCACCTCCGTGGAGCCCGGTTTGCATTGTACTGTTCTTACAAGGCCAATTACCATCCCTCCGCTGCTCAGCAAGCAAGCAGGCTTTTGCTTTCTCAGTTAAAACAGAATAGCAAATGTTACTTCCCTCCAATTCTTTCTCCTCTAGCTCAAGACCTTCCTCCTCTCAGTGGAAAAGCTAATGTGCCTCCCGCGTAAAGCTAACTGTACCCCAGATGCTTGAGGACTTCCCCTCGCTATTTCAGGATCTCTGTCTGTCTCCTCTAGCTTATCCATATAGAACATGTGCACGCCGCTCTCATCTTTAAAAAGCAAATGAACAAAAAAACCCTCAAAACAAACAAAAAGGGCTGGAGCATGTCTCTCTCATCTCTAGAGCCAATGCCTCTCCCATCCTTCTAAACCTCTCGTGGGCAGCGCTCATTCTTGGTCTGCAAGTCCTTACCTTTCCACAGTCTCACTTCTTCCATCCTATTCAGATTAACTTCCTAGACCTTGAACAGCGATTAACTGTTCAAAGGCCTGTTTTCAGTGTTGACCTTATCTGACCTGCCGTAGCAGACACTACTGAGCACTTCTTCCTTCATGAAAAACTTCCCGCCCCTGCCTTCCAAGATACCCCTGCCTCCTCGTTCCCATGACTTGTTGGTTATTCCTCAATGTTTTTTCTGACTCAGGCTTTTCAAAACTGGCATTCCTTAGGATTCTGTCTTCAGTCTTCTTTATCAAGGAGGATATAGAAGATCAGAACCTCCTCCAGTCCACTGACCTCAGCTGACATCTATTAGCGGAAGGCTGTACAGCTCTATCATTATGCTCAACCTCTTTGCCTTCCTGTATATTAAACTGCCCATTACACCTGGAAGTCCCATTAATACCTAAAGACAAGATGCAAAAGTGAACTCACTGCTTTCTCATTCTTCACAAAACCTGCTGTGTTCCCTCACTAGAAACGTCAGTTATCCTGCCATCCCTTCTCCTGCCCTTGCCATGTCTAGCATCCCGGCTGCAGGTTACGATGAAAACGTCCCCCACAGCCCAGCTCCTGACCTCTACAACTTTAGTTCAAGTCCTCGTCCTTTCTTGTCTGAACTATTATACTAGCCCCTAACGTGTCTTTCCACTGCCAGTATTGCTCCCCAAATTATTTCTCCAATAATTAAATGTGATCATGTCCTACTTAAGTACATCTTCATTTACTTCCCCCCTTGTTTCACAGGTTAAAGCTGAAACGCTTAGCCTGGCTTTTTACAGTCTAGTACCAAGCTACCTCTCCAGCTACTCAACTACACGCAAACTTCACTCCGGCCATATCGGACATCTCACCATTCCTACAGATTACATCTTCATTAGTCCCCGTTTTGTATTTGTTCTCTCTTCTGTCTGGATTATCTTTCCTTTCTTTAAGATCTGGCTTAAATGTCCCCTGTTGTAGTAAGTTTCACTCATTATCTCAACAGAGTTAGCTATTCCCTCTAGCATGTGTTTATGCTTTTTTTTTAAACAACACTTACTACTTTGATCTGTCTCCCTCACACTTGTAACATCCTGGAGGCAAATATCACTTCTTATGACCAAGTATTTAATAAACAGAATAAAGATGCATTTCTAATCTTTTATTACTTACCCAAATCTATATGTACAAGTTCTGCAGACTGCTCATTTATCAAGATATTCTGTACATGTCGATCACCAAGTCCAAGTATGTAACCAACTGGGGAAAAAAACAACAAACCAACCTGAAATCCCTGGGATCATCTATTTCTAGAACACACTGACCCATAATTTCTACTAATACCACTGACAACATTTTTAAGTAGTGTAGGCTATTTAGCCGGCTTTAAGGAAAATAGGCACATAACTTGCCACTTTGAATTTAAGTCAGATCTTGCGAGCTGTTTCATCAACACTGCATTTTACAAATTCTACATGGTGAGCTAAAAAAAAGCTTTCCCTTTACTAATAAGCATACATTTAAAAATATTCATACTTTGAAAATTAGTGTGGTTAAAGTTGAGACCCATTATTTAGCAAGGCATTATATGCCCTCAAATATTTTACTGAGTATACTTTTAAATTTAACATAAATTAAGCACTAACTCATTTCATCAGATATATGTCCAGGAAAAACTACATTTCTGTTTTCAAGATAGATGATGGCACGCCCAAACACTTCTGACCTAATGAAAACAGCATGTGGTGTTACAGAAGAAACAGGACGCCCGTGCACCTGGCTAGCACTGTCATGAACTGGGTCTCCTTTCTTATTTATAAACTAAATTAGTTGACTCAGATTAGTGATTCTCACTGTAGACAAGAAGACATAATAGTTCAGACAAGAAAGGATGAGGACTTGAACTTCTTGTTCACTCACTGTAGACTTTCTTCAGACAAGAAAGGATGAGGACTTTTTAATGACCGAGAACTTGTTCAGAATATACACTCCTTGCCTCTCGGGGTATGCTACCTAAGTGATGGAGGGATGGCCTTTCTTAGTTAAAAAATCAATAGATTAGAAGATCTCTGCTATTCAACATTAGTTTTCATACTCTAGGATTTGGCTAATAGCCCTGTCTAGCTATTCCAGTCTCTTACCAATTAAAAAAACAAGGTCAAAATATGTAGTGTGCCCTGCGTATTTGAATATATATCATGCTTTCTAATCCAAACATAAAATTCTATTAAATAGATTCAGTCACTGAGTGATAACAGAGATTTTGTGCAAAAGAACAACAAATTAAATTAAAGGAGGTTAAGTTAAATATAGTTATCATGGGTTTTATTATTTCCCAAAGGCGATCTCAGAAAATAACATATTGAGGGGCGCCTGGGTGGCTCAGTCGTTAAGCGTCTGCCTTCGGCTCAGGTCATGGTCCCAGGGTCCTGGGATCGAGCCCCACGTCGGGCTCCCTGCTCGGCGGGAAGCCTGCTTCTCCCTCTCCCACTCCCCCTGCTTGTGTTTCTGCTCTCGCTATCTCTCTCTCCATCAAATAAATAAATAAAATCTTAAAAAAAAAAAAAGAAGAAAATAACATATTGAGGGAAGATTGAAAATACGCCATATTCACTACTGAACAAAGAAGAGCCGGTCTTCTCTCTCCTTGGAGTAGGAGAATTCTTTCCTGCAAAAGCTCAGAAGAATGAGTTACGAGCCGAGAGGCGAACGAGACGCACAATGACGGAGTGACGAGGATGGTCTGGCTGACAAGCTCCCTCAGCACCATCACCCCCTGCAGCTGAGAAAGCAGCCAGTGCCCACGGGCTACAACGGACAGGATGATTACCGATAGAGGAAGTGGCCACGCTGCGAGTATAAGCCAGTCGTTTCTCAAACCAAACGGCTGGGTCCAAGAATTTTTCCATGCAGAAGTAACGGAAAACCGGTTGAAATTTTTGGCAGACATCCATGAACGTTTTATATTTCTCTTCAAACGACTTCTTTTGTACATCCTTTAAAAAGATCAAATATAAAATTTTCTCAATATTGTGTTCAACTACTTTAATGTCTACTGAGAGTTTCTAGGTAGAAAACAGTATGACGGATGCAGAGGCAATGAAGAGATAAACAAGGTATTATCTACCCCCCCGAAGCTAACAGTCTGGTCAGGAAAACAGTGACAAGGTATAATCCCTTTAGGCTTCACATGTGAATCTTAGGGGAAGGAGACACACCAACAGTGACTGTTGTTTTAATTCAATTCAAATTGGAATGATTCTGTTATCTATGTGGAAGTAAACACAAAACAGCCAGAAACGGCTCCGGACTGTCTGAGGATCAGGGCACAGAGCACCAGGGGCCCAACAGGAAACAGAAAAGCAAGAATGGATGGCGAAGACGCTGACATGTCTCAGATCTGTCCTCCCAATATCTTCTCACTAGGTAATCCTCTCCTGGGGCAGAGCTGATCTACCTCCATGGGCTGCACTCTCACCATGTGCTGACGACCCCACATCTCAATCTCTGGCCCAGTGTCTTTATGAAGTTCCGCCTGGCCTGCTTCTCAGACTGCCCATCAGCATCTTCACCTGGATCACTTCCAAACCCGAACGACTTCTTCACCTTCTCCTCAGCAAACCTCAGCCACTTCTCTCATCTTCTACACAGTAAGGAGCCCCTCCATCCACCCCCATCACCCAAACACTGGGTGTCACTGATTACTTTTTCCCCAACCCCACTTCTAATCAGTAATCAAATCCTATCAGTTCTGCCTCCTTAATATTTCTGATATGTACCCCTTACTTTCCATTCCTGCTGCTATTCGTCTTAATTCAGGGCCCCTGTGTCACGCCTCTAGTCAGCTTCTCAAAAATGCAGCCCACAGTGCTGTGAGATCTTTCTCTAAAATGCAAATCTGGTATTACTGTCCTTCTCGAGGGTTCTCTACTGCCTACAGGATAAAGTACCCAGTTCTGAGCATTTCATGAAGCAACCCTCCATTTTCTGACTAACAACTACTGCTTCAGTCTCACTGATCTCCTCAAAAACTAAGCCTCTGCTGTCTCCAACTGCCTGTCCGGGCCTCCTTCCCTTTGCTTGCATGCGCCTTCTACTTGGAAAACCAATTCAGTGAGTCATCTCGGCTCAAAGGCCACTGCCCTACGAAGCCTTTCTGGATCTGGCTCCAGTCCTGCCCAGCGCAGGTAGAACGCACCACATCTACCCCTGGGCCTGCACGGTACCCGGGAAAGCTTTCCATCACAACACCTGCGGCACTTTGCCACCCAGTTAAAAAATTATAAGGAAAGGTAACAGATTCAGGGTTGGAAAGACAAGATTCAACTCCTTGCTCCACCATTAGCTCATTGACCTGGGCAAGTGAAGTTTCTGAATGTCCTCTCATTTTAAAATGGGGTAAGTACGACGATGAGGAGTCCTAACATTTGTGAAGTGTGAGCACAGTGCCCAGGGGAAAGTCCAGTCCATGTTGCGGCTGGATGAACGTCAGGCCACAAGGCCAGTGTGATGTGGCCAATGTCTTAAAAGGTCTATCAGTTTTATATAAAAATTATTTTGTTATCTATTTTTTGGTTTAATTAGTGTTTTGTCTGTTAAGAATTAGCTTACCCCAAACTGGAAGCAAATTAGCATTCCACCGAATGTTAAGTCTCTCATCAGACAAGGGTCGGCACTTTATAGAGTTTACAGACCTTCCTGTTTCACTCACACACACTTCTATGCTGGCGGGCGTGCTTGCTTTCACTCAGGATCACCACTCGATGACACTGAAACATGACTGTGTGCTCTAACATTTCAGAGCGGTCAGCTGCGGCAAGCTGGTACATAGTCTTGCACTAATTTGTACTTGTGAGTGTCACTCACCATCATTTTCTTCTGGCAGTGAAAGGCGCTGAAGTCCCTCGGCCTGTATCGCTTATGAGCACCGTTCTCGTTGTTCACGAGGAACTCACCGATGGGGACAGTTCCTGTGCACCATTCAAGAACTCCGCTTCGCTGAGACAGCGGAACCACCTGCACCACAGAGGAGATGCCTTCTGATTAGTGGAAGGGTCCCGAAGAGCATGTGACGATCACTCAACTACCAGAAACCGTGGAAAGCAGCTCTTTCGACTGTATTGCTGTTTGTGTGTCCAGAGGAGACAGAACATCTTGGAGGTAAGCAACGGAAAATACACTTACGCTCCAAGAACAGGAGTTTCTAGCCTGCGGCTGAGACTCCTGAGGACCTGCTCTGCTCTCAGTCTCCATGATTCCCTGAGAGGTCAAGCCTGTTAACTAGGCTTTTCAGTAGCATCTGTGCCTGAGCCACAGTTTGCTCCATTTAGCAGAGGAGTTACCTGCTTTCCTCATACTTTTAGTATCAAACAATCTGAAGCATTTCACTTTGGAAAATACTGACTATAACCTTAATACTAATATACTTTGATAATTAAAAGTATATGTATTCTTGCTTTAGAGTCTTGTTAGCTATACCAAGAGGAAATATATTCCTGAACATAAAATGAGCAATTTTACTGGAAAGATTAAAAACTGACATATATATAAACATACACAAAGTATAGAAAATAATAGAAACAGGGCGCCTGGGTGGCTCAGTTGGTTAAGCGACTGCCTTCTGCTCATGGTCATGATCCCAGGGTCCTGTCCCACATCGGGCTCCCGGCTTAGCAGGGAGCCTGCTTCTCCCTCTGACCCTCTCCCCTCTCATGCTGTTTCTCTCTCGCTCACTCTCAAATAAATAAATAAATAAATAAATAAATAAATAAATAAAATCTTAAAATGTTAAAAAATAATAATAATAGAAACAAACATCCTTTTACCCACTAAATTTGCTGCAGAGAGATGAAGCTCCCTGTGTACCGCTCCCTGGCCCCATGCCCTTCCCCACCACCAAGATGACTGCTAGTTATCTGGTTATCATTAATGTTCAGGTATTTCTGGTATATTATTTCAAAGCAGTATGTACAGAGTTGTAAGCTTTAAGTAAAAGAGTATTATACTCCGTGAATGCTTCTGCAATTTGTTTTTTACTCAACACTATTTTATCTGCATTAGTACATGTAACCCTAAATCATTTGTTTCAACAACCACAGGTTGTATAAGAACACCGTAATTACCCACATATATACACACCCAGGAACTGAATACTGGGGTCACGGGGGATCTGCGTCTTCCGCTTAGTTAACCAGATGCTGCCAAAGAACTATCCAAAGTAGTTATGCCGATTTAGACACCCAGTACTGTGCCGATGTGAGATATGTGCACCAGTATCTCACTGTGGCTTCCACTGTATTTTCAGATGCCCAGTAAGGCTGAGTAAAATTTAATAGGCTCACTGGCCACTCAAATATTTTCTTCCTGAGTTGTCTGTATTCTTTACCCATTTTCCTACTGACATGTTAGCCTTTTTACAACTGGTTGGTGACCGCTCTTTATACATTCTATATATAAATCCCTATTGTTATTAATATTACAACAAACCTTTGTTACTAATATTATTAAATTCGTTTTTCTTAGTTGGCCACTTGTCTTTATAGAATCTTTACTTCTATCAATTTTTTAATGTACTCAAACATGCTGAACTGTCTTGTGTCTTAAGGAGGTCTTTCATTAATCTATTAACTATGTTTGTGGAGAGTCCATTATGTGTTTAATAGAACAAAACAGGCATTTTAAAAAAGTGACTAAGAGAGACATGGTCAGAGAAGGCCTCTGTGAGGTGGTGACGCAGAGAGAAACCTGAATGAAGTGAGAGACGGAGGACGGGACCTGAGGGAAGAGTATTCCAGGCCGAGGGGAGGGAAGCCCGGGCGTGACACCAAAGTGCTGGATCTCAGCCACAGCAGGAAGAGCAGCTGAGCCGTCACAGGGAGAAAGTCAGAGAGGAGGGTGGGGAGAGCGGCAGATGAAGCTGCAGAGGGAACAGCAGAGGCCAATCACTTTCATTCAGGGATACGTGAACTCATCTGGAGTTCAGAACAGGAAATGGACATATTTAGTCTGTCTCAGACTCTTAAATAGATCCTCCTCACGGCTGTGAATGAAGGAGCTTTGGCGGCACAGGGAAGAAGTAAGGGGCTAGTGAGACACGATCAAGGAGACGGGACTGCAGGGTGGGGAGGGCAGGGGCGATAACAGTGACTCCACGGAAAGCGGGCCGGTAAGGACGTGCGGACGGAACGGGTGTGAGATCTGAGAGAGGAGTTTAAAATGGTGCCGATATTCCGACATGATAGTTAGGAATTACTGCCTTTTAGGAGTGATGCCAGCATTGTGGTTCTGTTTTGTTTTTTTAAAGAGACGTTATCTTATGCAACTACACGCTGAAATACATGTTTACAGATGAAAGGACAGGACATTTTGTTTCAAAATAATACTGAAGGGAAGGAAGTAGGGAGAAGGAGAAATGAAACAAATTACCCATGAGCTGATCACTGCTGAAACTGGGTGATGGTACAAGGGAGTTCATCACCTTATTCTGTATACTTTCATACAGGTTTGAAGTTTCCGAGAGTCATAGAAAGAAAAGGACAAGACCGCCTCCCGACTTGGGAGCAACTGGGTGAAGGTTGTGCCACCTGCTGATCTGTGAGGAGGAGACGTGTTTGCTGTGCGGTTTTGGGGGGTGGAGGTATTCGTCGAAAGCTCCACTTTAAACTTGCTGAGCCTGAGGTGTCTCTTAGACCTCTACAGAACCCACTCATCTTGTCAGGAGCCAGCCCTTCCAAATACTGTATGTGATCGGACAAAAGACTTCTTTCTAGACTAACTGAAGGGAAAAACAGGGCTTCATGATTAGCAGGGAAGGCGCCCAAATGGCAAAAGGACCAGGACTCCTGAGCCACCATCCACAATGTGCATTTTTCCAATGACCATGCCACAGAGACCTTGCATGGCCCACAAAGTCTAAAATGTTTACTCTCACAGAAAACACTGGCTGAGGCCTCATCTGGGTAACGGCATCTTTTCTAGGCTCTTGATGAAGGGGCAGAAGCGCGAAGTAGTCACCTTGTATGTGCAGATAGTCAGTTTCCTCTTCCTGGTCTCCGTGTTCCTCTGCAGTAACTTGTTACACATCTGGAAAACCTGCTGCATGACCGCATCCTGTCTCAGGTCATCACGGCCCTTCAGAGTAATCAAAGCACCAACAACTGGGCACAGTCCATTTTATGGTAAAATCGCACAGAGAGCATGAGGACAATGAAAGGGTGCTCAGAAACCCATCTGAGCATCTGTACTCCTTTTCAGTCTCTTAAATAACTAAGACCTAGTCTTTCATTTAGAATATGCTGTAACATGGGTAGGCAGACGAGTTTAGAAAAACGTTCCCCCTCAATGCTTCTGGAATTAGGCTCACTGGAACTCCTCCACTAATTCCCAGCACGGCCCGGAGAACTTGGGAGCAGAGTAAGCGAGGAATGCCGTCCCCTTTCGGATACATTTACTAGCAGCTGGCCCAGTGCCATACTCAGGATTCTTAAAGCAAGGGCCTTCAACTTGAACTCTTCAAGAAAATAAGCAACTATCACCTGAACAGTTTTTCCATAACAAGCAAGCGGATTGTTAACTTCATCATATCTGTAGTACGTGTTAAAAGTATCCTTTTACTTCAGTCAACTGTTACAATGCTGGCCTTCCAGAGACACAAAAAATTTAAGAAAAGCAATCTGCTTCTAGAAAATAATGTATTTATATTCTGTAAGTTTTCCTCATTTGCAATTTTTGAGAAGAAAAAGAAAGACCCAAAGCAGGAAGTAAATATCAACTACAGTTTTGCTTTGACTTTTTGCACTAAGACACTAAGGACCGCACCCCTGGAGGGGAGTCTCACCTTGACGAGCTGTCTCCTTTCCTTGCCATCAGAGCCCAAACAGTCTATTATTTTAGGTAAATTTAAACCTCCTGCTAAACGAAATTCTGCTTTAAAGGATTGTATAGTCACCAGATTTCCGTATTCTCCGGTGGGGTCCACCTAATAAAGCATATACATGAGAGAAGAGATCAGGTTACACTATGTGCTTTTAAAGAAGAATGAATTATAAACGACAATTTTAATATTAAACAGGAATGAAGGACAATGTACCGTGGGTTAAGAGCTCAAGTGATAATTTACTTCTTGTTTAAATGAAAGAAACAAAATTTAACACTGGAGAGGTTTATGAAGTCACCTCTCTAAACATCTCTCACTAACGCTGGGGCACACAGTGTTAGAATAGTGTTGCCAAAAAGCTACTAAAGAACCTGGTTTCAGGTCTCACTGCTGACTTTGTCTGTTAAGTCCTCTGAGAAAGAGTAAATGTCTCACAGAAACATAGTAAGGTAAATTTTTAGAAAAGTGTGGAGAGTGGTCTTCTAGGCTGAACTGCTAACTCTGGCATTTTCGGAAATATTCGGCTAACTACCTTTGCTAATGTAGTCAGAAAGGTATCAGTTAATCCATATGATGCAGCTACATTTCAACTCGAATAACTACATATACTAAGAATGCAGTCAAATGATCCTTTTGAAAAAGTTTTAAAGTTTCTATTTTAATTCCAGCTATTTAACTTACAGTTACTAGTTTCCGGTGCACAATATACTGATTCAGCACTTCCATATGTTACCTGGTGCTCATCATGACAGGTGCACTCCTTCATCCTCATCCCCCGTTTCCCCCGTCCGCCCACCCACCTCCCCTCTGGTCACCATCAGTGTGTTCTCTGTAGTTAACAGTCCATTACTAAACTATAACACCTATTATTACATATATCCCTGCCAACTTGGTATTTCTAGCAGTAAAAGATGAGCACAACGTAGCTAAAAGTATCATGCATATTACAGTTAATTTAATACTATAACACATACTGTATTACTTAATAGCACAATACATGACAGTCAATACATTCTAACACACAGACTTTTTAAAATATGAAGCATTTAGGGACTTTCTTGCCAAGTTAAAAATTAATCTTGGCATAAGCACATAGAAACTTTTCTTCTTTTAGTCACTAAAGGTAACAGTCTACAAACCTTCTTCACAAGGAAGATGGAAGGTATAAAACTGAAGGCAAAAGAAAAGAAAGCAGGAGAGTCCTTTAAGTATTGTAAGACTTAGGTAAAGGGAATCTATAAAGAAACTAAAGGTTAAAACAAATGAAAGTGCTGATCTTTAACCACTTTTGATCTACTTCAAATAGTTAACCTAATTAAGAGGAATTTAGTTCAATAGAAAAATCAAGAGAGGTAATAGTAAATTACCTTAATTTCCATAGTTGGAACAACAACATCTTCTAAATTCTTCAGCTTAGTAATTGGCTGGTCTGCTGGGATATTTATGCCTTCTGTATTTAAAATAAAGAGGTTTTGGTGACAACTACACACTGAGGAACAGCTCTGAAGCAGACGCAACCTGTGGCCAATCTGCGGTTTAGGCCCCGATCCAGAAATGAAGACCCAGGGCTCGGGACACAACGTAGCTCAGGGCCAGAGCACGACAACAGCTGATAAGGCTTACACTTGACTTTGCAGGTAACCTGGCATGAGTAATTAGGCCAGAACCCAGCTGACAGCCCAGGCCGAGCACCTTAAGATAATTACACAACGGTCTGCACACTACATACATGATGTACTCCCGCCACATTACTATTAAATGTAACCAAAGGATCTAACGATCAATATGCTTTGTTTGCTTAGAGGAATACTATGAGAATTCTCATTCTTTTTTTCAAGTATTAAGAACTTAAATGCAGGGCGCCTGGGTGGCTCAGTCGTTAAGCGGCTGCCTTCGGCTCAGGTCATGATCCCGGAGTCCTGGGATCGAGCCCCGCATGGGCTCCCTGCTCGGCAGGAAGCCTGCTTCTCCCTCTCCCACTCCCCCTGCTTGTGTTCCTGCTCTCGCTGTCTCTGTCAAATAAATAAATAAAACCTTAAAAAAAAAAAAAAAACTTAAATGCAAAAACCTGATTCTGAACATAAAAGGGAATACAATTGTTAAAATATGGGGAGACTTCTAAGTGTATACACTTAACCAAATATTACAGCAGTTTATAATTATTTGAACAGACACAGTAAGAAGAGTGAAGGATTACATCCAAGGCATTCTAATGCTTATGGAGGAAATGGTAAAGCCTTATCATTTTTAAGACCTAGGGCACGGTGAGTAACAACATCATTTTAAGAAACCTTTGACCCTGACAACTGTCAGTTATTCAGTTATTTTAATGGATTTGCCTCTACGCAATTAATTCTCTCTGCGACAAGTATTTGTACCAGGAGATTACCTGGAGAAATCAATTAATTCAGTGCAGTCATATATTACAAGATGACAGAAGATATCAAATGGTAAGTGACTAGGGGTTGCTGAAGCTACTGGATAAAAATTCAGCTCTGGAATTGTAATCATAAGGACCTCCATGTCTGTAATGAATGTGACGTAGGTAAGTTAGAGAGATTACATATTAGGCTCTGTAATTAATACATCTGTCCAGAGAAAAACATAGTGTAAAATCAACTGTCATTCTTTCAAACACCTACTTCTCTGAGTCTTCCACTGAGCGGCATCTAAGTTTGCTAATATGATATAAGCATCACAGAGAGCCTCAACACTTCTGACCATCTGAGGTCTCCTACTTCTGATAGTATGTATTATTCTGTTTGCAGCCTCGGTTCGATCCTATTCAGAAAAGAAAAAACAAAAAAACATTACATAAAGAAATACCCAAGACTTAAACTTTTCAGAGTCATAACAAAAGGAAAAGCAAAATATATGCACTAAACATTGGAAAGACTATAATTGCTCAGAAACGAATAAAATAGTCACCTTATGAATAAAATACATCAAAGGTAGAATAATATCAACAGTAAAGGACTTGGGTGTATTTTGAAATGTATTTTTTCTTTGCTCGATGCTGTGAGAGAAAAAAGTATTGGTATCCACTGTGCTTGGAGAATATTCAGGAATTTTGAACCAGTTTTAGGTGGCATAATAACAAAGGATTTGAAAACTGAATACGGTCAACACACATTCTTAGAATCCCTGAGATTTAAGAAAGGAATATTGGGGTGCCTGCGTGGCTCAGTCGTTAAGCATCTGCCTTCAGCTCAGGTCATGATCCCAGGGTCCTGGGATGGAGCCCCCCATCGGGCTCCCTGCTCTCCTGGAGACCTGCTTCTCCCTCTCCCACTCCCCCTGCTTGTGTTCCCTCTCTGTCAAATAAATAAATAAAATCTTTAAAAAAAAAAAGAAAGGAATATTGTGGGAAAATATGAATACTACAATTCAAAAAGGTATGTATGTTTAATCCAAATACCTCATCAAGCGGAGAACTTTGTTTAGGTGCATTTTTAATTATTCTATTCCTTCTTGCTGCCTCTGGTTTCGTCAAAAATTCATCTTTGTTTGCATTTGCTAAGGCCAGTATAATAAACAAAGTGTGATGGGGGTGATCCATTGAAATTCTAGAGATAAGCTGTCAAAAAATAAAGAACTATTAGTTTTATGCAACCAACCAATCAAACAAAACTAGAAAACCCATAACATTTTTCCTTTTGTTTGGCGTTCCAGGTATGTGGGTAGAGTGTGTGTGTGTGAGACGGAGGAACAGGGAGAAATGACAGAGAAACGGAGAGAAGAGACAAAAGGAAATTTTTATTCCCGCCCTTTTACAGCATAATAAATACGAATGACTAAAATACTTCTATATTTTCATTTCCTAGAGTGGAACGGTAATGTATAATATATGAAAGAAAAGCAACTGTATTTTGATTTTCAGGTTTGCTTACATTATTGAGGACTTCATGAAATCCAAGGCCCCCCATCATTTTGGTCCCCATTCTAGCAGCCAACTGGTACATAAGAGGCAAAAATTTGTATGATGGAATCTTCATTCCATCGGTCTACCACAAAAAAAAAAAAAAAAGCCTTAAGAAACAATGCATTTAAAAAAGTCTCACATCTAAGCAAATAAATTATTGTAAGATAATGCTACTAGCAGAAGCATCTACTCGTTAATAACACTTCGCTAATCACATTTTTTCCCTTGACATTCTCGTGGTCTTCCTGATGGGTATTCTAGATTGATTCACTGGTGAGTCACAGTATTTGATCCTAAATTAAACTGTATTCAGAACTGGAACACTCGCACTGATTTCATTCCAGTGAACCCAAGGAGGACGAATGTGGGTCTGAGGGCATTGTGATCTCGACTACGGAGAAGTCGGTGTATAATACAATGGAGTAACTTGTGCCCTGTATGCTAAAACTAACAGGATTCAATGAGTACTAGCAGCAGAAATTGCTTCTATCTATCATGAGGCTTATCATTCTTTTCATCCAGAAGAAACATTTTACTTGTAAGCTTCAAATTGGTTGCCAAAATAGGTCCTGTAAGCATAACTTTAATATCATCAATAAAATCTAAAATTTTTAAATAAAAACTTATGAAATACTACTGCCTTAATGTTGTCCTAAAACTTTATTTTTCATTTACAAAAGTAATTCACTGTAAAAATCTCAGAAAAGATGAAGCAGGAGGAAAAACCCGCCTGGGGTCACAGCATCGTCAGCTGCCTTCCCAATCTCCTAGTCTGGCACTCTGGCATCTTCCAGTGGTCACTGAGAAGGTCCAGGCAAGGACGGAACTAAATGCTCTCATCTCTGCATAAACCTGCGTCACTGGAACTCATCAAGACCCTCTGAGTAGAGCATCGAACCAAACACCAGGGATACAAAGAACATACGAATCCCTGACACCGTCGGGCTTCTGTCTGAGCTTATTGAGCACAGGTGAGAGTACTGGATTCAAAAAGAAGACTCGCCTTCATCATGCCATTGACTTCAGAAACTCCAGAATTTTCAAGCCAGAGGGAACAAAGACGGAATATCCACATATCATGTCCTTCTCCACTCAGTAAGCAACTGATGTAATTTTCAACTGCTTTACATAAGAAGCGTTTCCGGTCCTCTTTCAGTGCACGGAGCGCACATTCATCCAGCTCCAGCTCCCGTTGGACCTTTACTGTGTATCTTGCATTGGATAATTAAAAGAAAACACAAAACCCACAAAACAAATCAACATTCAGGTGTCCATCCCAGGAGAAAAGGCAAAATTCTAAAAATTATAAGGGAACAAACTTCCTTTTAGTAACTGAAAGTAAGTCTGTGCAACTCAAAAGCCATTCTAGGCAACCAGGGACAAAGTGGACCCTCCCCAAGATGCCTATTTAACTCTACTTTCCCTATTGTATGCCAGACAAAGGCAGGTCTGAAGAAGGGTTTGATTACATCAGAAGAGATAACTCTTCTGTATTTAAATTAAACACCTATCTCTTTTTAACTATGATACCAACAAACCCAAAAAGCTCTACACTCTACAGTGCACCTAGAATCACACGGCATGAATTCATGCTCTGGTTCAGTACATCTCTCCGTATACAGTCACTGTATCTCTGTGTATCTTACCACTTTCACTGGTAGACATCTCATTACCTGTTGGTCTGGATTTTATGTTCCCTAAGAAGGCCCACTTCCTCTTTGGCCCTTTTCAGAAGAGCCTGCTTGTTTTCAAACTCTGATGATTTCATGTAGTTTTCAATTCTCTGGTACTGAGTGTCCGAGAACCGTGCTAATGAGAGAAATGCTTTCATTTTTCCATTTCTAAGCTCATCACTGCTTTCTCCATCGTAATTTCTAGCAACTTCCACTGCCTTGAAGAAAACACAATCCCTTTATATTATATAGAGATACTAAGTGCATCTAAAGAATCACTCAAATCAAAGAAATACCACACTGAAGTTCAATTTATACATATATATGAACCATACATATGGTTAAGCTGAATTATATGAAGTACAGTATTTTAAATTTTCAAACAGCTCTGACAGTGTAGAAATAACCCCAACAGCTAATATTTTAAAGAACTGTAGAAAAACAAAGGCCTCCATTAAATTTAAAGACAGTCCTATTATGATTTTCATGCTACACTAGCTATTCCAAAATTAATTAAACTAAAGGAGTAAGAAGGAGCAACAGGAAGGTTGAAAGGGGCTGGAGCGCAGAAGTGTGAGTCCTACTTGTAGGGAGGCTGAGATTACAAAGGAATAAAGACTGACGTGCATGTTCCTTCTATCAGCTCTTTTTGTAGATAGATAAATGGAGAAATGATCAGGAACAGCTGGTTCAGAGAGTAGCTAGTGGTGGGGGGTAGAGGGAGGATACATCTGGGCTTACTTTCAAAACAGGGTCCTTCTTTTTTACCACTGTACTTCATTCTGCCTTAAAAATTACACAGAGCTACAACAGTGTGTTCATGCTGAGCAACTCTCAAGGGGTGTTAGAAAAGCTTACCTTTTCTAGATAGGTCTGCATGATGACCGCAGGGTTTTCTAGGCAAGTTTCTGCTAACCAGGTGCCACAAACTCTCAGACATTCTGCGTAGATAAGTCTTAGGTCAGGATCATTCTGTACACAAAAAGCAAAACCTTAAAATGTAATTCACCACCACGACTATACAGAAGTACGTTCCATGTGGGGGAAAAAGCAGGTTAAAAATGGTTTTCCTCATCTGCTTTCACCATACAACGATTTTAATAATGACAAATAGGTAAGTTTCATGAAACCATCTCTCCTATTGGAGCAGCTCACAATTCCTGAACACTCGTATAAACTAGGCACTTTGCAGAGGCTCTATCGGTGTGTATTACCGCATTTCAAGAGGTTCAAGGTTCAAGAACCCTGTGACCTGAGTCCTGTCATTGCCCCTAATACGCCGAGTGCAACACTAACACTAACAAGGTACGAGGAGGGTGGGCACCTGTAGCCAGACCTACTTCAGGCTACGCTTGTTGGGCGACCAGTAAACATCATTCTGTGTCAGCTCCCAGAGCTGTGGCACAGTGACGAGCTCTCGGGTAACGAGGACCACGGTGCGGTCAGCTGGGCGTCACTGAGCACGTGTGTGTCCAGCCAGCACAGCGTGACTGCTACCAATGCCTCTACTCCGTCCCCATCACGCGCCGGAGAGAGAACTACAGAGGCCAACAAGTCGTCAGTAGCCGGCAGGCGACGGTAAAGAAAATATCAGACGTGGGACTTCCTAAGTAGGTGGACTGACAGTCACTGCAACACGCTCTGCTTTTAACTTTTGTTCTCTCACGCCCTTCCCTCTCCTATTTGTTTCAAACTTACAGTAGCTCTTTCTCCCCACCCCGCCTGTGCCTAGAGCAGCTCTTTCATGTCTGTTTCCCACACATTCTTCTCCAATTTTATGTAAAGGTAAAAAAAAAAAAAAGGCTTAACATTGGGATAAATCAAGTCAATCTACCACAAGTTGGACTGATAGAATTACTGCAAATAGAAAAAAATGAGTATTTTCTAGACTTCTTTTACAAATACGAATTTCCCAGGCTCCTTTTTTACAGTTTCCTGTTCATGGACCAGTAACTTCACTGTGGCTTTATTAAGAATATTTTAAAGCACAGTAGCTTTTTTATAACAGGAATTAATTCAGCCAATGAAACAAAGTGAACCTCTGCACAACTGGCGTCCAGCTTCTTGATCATTTGCTTGAGGATGCTCAGGGCAAGACTCTGCTCCTTCTTTGCCCAGAATACTTGTGCTTCCTCCAGCTGCCACTCAGAGACTCCACAACTAGCTGCATTATACTGTTTAATTTGAAATATTGCCCTTTCAGGGAGCTGAAATGAAAAGGACATACAGGAATAAAGACTTTTACTATTACTACCACTACCGTGAATAATCATCAGGACAGCGGTAACCAGCATCCATTGACAACTATGTGTCCGGACCGTCTTAAGCACATCTCTACCTGCCTCCCCCAGCCCCACAGCTGCCTGTTTTTCTCGTAAGTACGTATTTACATACAAGCATATGTATGTACGTGTATGTGTGCATATGCACACTGTATACCATCACTGAACTGTTATCGATATAGTAAGTTAGGTATCTTATCATTTTAGAACCAGAAAACAGGCTTAGAGAAGGTAAGTCCCTGTCCAAGGCTTAAACTCAGGTCTGATGCCAAAATGGGAAATCTTGAATAATTATGAACAATATTTTTATAGCAATCTGTTTCTCAATGACATTTCTGTTTTACTCATGCTTTCCATTTTCTGTCATAAAAGGAAAGGCCACGGGGTGAGACGACACAGTTTTGAATCCTATTACCTGAGTGTTCTCGACAGTTCGGGCTAGTATGGAGAGTTCTACAAGGTGCTTGGTGAGAATGTCCCTAAAACATTCTCTCTGGGAGTTCTCCATTTCCTTTTCCAACAGGATCTCCAAAATGACCGTGCGGAGAGCCATGATGGGCTCCTGAAAACTGAAATCACTGTCTTTGAGAAGCTGGGAGTGTTTCCGCCACTTAGCATAAACTTCAGAGGGATGCCTGTCCGTGCCTGATCTGAAAGCACAATCACAGAATTCACGTAAGCAAGGGAAAGAAGAAAACAAAATCCCTATTGTGCAGGTTCTATATTTAAGATATAATACAAAGGGTTTTTGCAGTAACGACACTAGAAATTTGAAAGAAGGACCAAAGTTTAGAAAGCTACAAAACACAGGAGCTACAGACGATGAACATTTTTCAGGATTTTCTTAAAAATGCTCTTCAACCTCACAAAAAGCAGCATTTCTAAGTATATATTCTTCTGAAAAGAGAAGGCATTCATCAGGCCTGTCACACAAAACACCTACACCCCCAAGTCCTGCTCCAGCGCTCCCTGTGGCAAAAGCAGACATGTCAGCAAGGAAATGAAGTGAACTCATTAATTTCTACTCTGCCCAACTATGCACAGGGGATGACTCTATGCATAATTACAGTTGTTAAAGAAATCACAATTCATTGAGAGAAATACTGGCACCTGGCAAACATTATTTATTAAAAGAAGAGAAAATGCATACTGTACAACTAGTTTACATGAAAAGTCCACACGAAGAAGTACTGTCCGATCCTTCAGGACCCCTGCACTGACAGGAATCGAGAGGAAGCAGGAACAGGAAGAAGATGACAAAGGGAGGACTAGGAAATGACAGCTACTTCCGGAAGCTTCTAGGACAGCACAGCAGAGGACACCTAGAACGACACTGATCCAACACAGGGCTACAAAAGAATGGCGTACCATGCGCTCTGGCAAACAACCAGAAAAAAACAATTTTATCTGGGGTACGAGAGGGGAAGAGCTGTGAAGAAGAAAGCACAATGATGTTAAATTCCAAAAACTTGTATTTTTACAATAAATATTTTTGAAAATGCTTCTTTTACTAACAGCACAGCTCATGAGGCTAATCGACATATCTTGATAAAAGAAACAAACCTACTGACAGCCTCTTTTCTTGTTTTGTAAGTCACTGCAGAGAGAAAACAGCAGAGCTGCACTTGAGAGTTCATTACAAAGTCGTCCGAACCACATACCTGGAGAACAGCTCCCCGATGTTCTCAAGCTCGCCGATGGCCTGCAGCCTGCTGAGTGTGGGGTAGAGAGAGTACACAGACTCGAGGCCCCCCTTGCATAGCTCTTCCACTTCTTTCACCCTGGAGGCAGAAAATACAAGATACGTGGGACACTAAGAGGTTTTCAGAAAGATAGAAGCTCAAATCTGCTTGTAAAGAGTTCTTCTCACTGGCTCTGCTGGTAACCAAATGCTCCTGACATTCGCATGCAGCAGCAAAATGTGGCGGGCATGGAGTCATCACTCAGACTGAGAGTTCACCCTGGATCTCCCACTCCGGGCTGCTAACCCAGGCCACGTTACTGGATTCCTACGTTTTTCCCACTTTCAGAATTATTTTGAAGCTTAGAGAGTACGTAAGCAAAGAGCCTGACAAAATGAACAGCACGTAATAAGCCCTGAAATGGTAGCAGATATTTCTGTAATAAAATACAGGATTTAATAGGTCACTAACTACTATTAAATAAAAACCAGTGTGTTATGTGTGTTTAGTCTGTTATAGTTAAGTACCTTCTTGTGCATGATCTCATCTGTGCCTCACAACTAGCCCAAGTATCGGTAAACCCTGACCGTGAGTCACCACTTTACAGAAGGAACACTAATGCTGAGAGGTAAATGCCACACAACTATTAGAGGAGACAAGATTAAAACCGTTGGGCCACAGAGGTCCAGGAAATGGAGAGAGAGGTGGGAATCAACAAGACGTTCTTGAAGGTCCTGCATAAAGAGCTGACATGGTCCCAAAGGGAGTTGTTTTTTTTTTTAAAGGAAAAAACAGATTTGAACCACATGAACAAATAAAAAGTTACTATATATATAAAAAAATGTAACAATTTATGTAAGTACCTAACATATGAGCATGCTGCTACATCTAAAACAAAACACAGAAAGGTTCTGTTAGTACTATACATATATATGTGTATTTGACATATATGCATTAAAGAATTCGCTAATATAAAACATTTGGAACACACAGAATCCCTTTTCAAGATACGGAAAACAACTGTTAAGATGAGCACACCCACAGTTCCTACTAAAACCTTCCTGTGGAAGAAAAACCACATCCCAGTGCTTATTTCTCAGATGTACAGCAGCTATGAAGTTGTTAGTCAAAGGATTTTGCACCCCCCTCCCCCCCCAATCTGTGCTGCTCAAGTGTCCACGTGACTGGCATGATTCATCACACAGGGAACTTCGTTTCTGGGAGGATGGCAATGACAAAGAAACAGGCAGACCAAAGCCAGCAAGTCCTTATCCCTTCACCAGTGCAAATCCTCACACTGAAATTATTCATCAGGCTTTCAGAAAAGAAGCCATGACATTAAATGCTAAGATATAGTAACTCATTTTATAATACCTGGCATATCTGAGACTTTCGTAAAATGTGGAGAATTCTCTATCTCTCAGAGACTGCAGAGCATTGTACAATGATTCATGGTAACTGGTTCCTTCTATTCCTTTGCTGTGAGATAATTAAAACATAAAAGGAAAAAATGTAATTATAAACAAAGAATCCTAAAATATACATGTATAAATAGTTTCACTAAAAAAACCAAAATCTGACAACTAAAATTACAACTTCTCCATTTAAAAAATGCATTTTTAGGAATTTTGGCAAGAAATACAAAGAATTTTGTGGATCATTTAAATTATTCAAGCAGAAAAAAGTAAATTTCTCAGATATTTTGCCTGATTCTAACTATGCTACATTCTCATTTATTGCCTCTGTGAACACCAACTGTATGCCAGGTGCTAGGCACGTTTCCAGAGGCAGGGGTCTGTGAGTGGACAAGTCAGATAGGGTCATCATCCTCCTGGAGTTTACGCTGTGATTTGGAGAAGATGGACAATAAATAAAAAAATACTGGACAGTGATGAGGGACGTGCGGCAAATTAGAAGAGGGTACCGGAACGCCTGGGTGGCTACTTTGGATGGGTGGGCAGCACAGGTCTCAGATGTGGCCCTGTTAAACTAGAATCTGAATGACAGATTCTATACACATGGAACAGGGGAAAAAACAGGATGCCTATAAGGCCTTGAGGCGGAAACAGCTTGGCCTGCAGGAAGAACACAGAGAAAGCCTACATGCCCGAAATGCAGCTGGCAATGGGAAGAACGGTCTATGCTGATTTACAGAGGTGACAAAAATAAGCTCCTCCAGTAAAATGCTGTAAAAATATGAAAGCGTATCTCTAATTTTATAGCAATCTAATAGTTTGAAATTTGAAAGACACTTCAATTAATGAAATTTTTTTCAATGAAGGTAATTCAACATATAATTCATATGATTTCATTTTTTTGGTGTTTATGTTATCATAAGACTTTTTACATAAAAGCAAAATCTTTTACCGGATTAGGTGTTTGGCTTTCCTTTCAGAAACGGTGATATTATGATATAGGTTATAAACGGTATCTTGCTGTGTTCCTGGTTTAGCAGTTTTTACAGAGGGAGATATTTTATCAGTAAAGATAAGCAGTCTTCTGTGAACCATCCAGCCAGTAAAGTGGTGACTAACTCAAGAGTCTGCAGCAGGGTGTGGGAAGGGAAAGGACTATATTTTTCTTTGGATTTATAAACAAAAAGACTCTCATGAGCAAATACGTTTTAGATTTCTATTTTCAAGAGTATCTTGGGGGTGGGAGTGGAGTTACCCTAACTAAGAAGAGGGTGAAATCCAAGCCCCACAGAGTCACTGCTTCCTGCTATCCCATTTAAGCCATGTAGGCGTACCTACAACTGCAGCGTCTACAACACATGAAACCCCCAACCCCCGTGACACTCAGGGAGGGAGTGCAATGAGGAACAGCTCACTGCATACGACTCGAGAAATGGCGGGAAAAAGCGCCCGAGTTCTTCTTACTTGACAGAAGGGCAGTGGCCCCACTGCATGTTCCTCCACGCTGCTTGGTACCAGAGCTCCTGCAGCTCGGCACACCACTCCTTATTTTCATGGTCTAATCCTTTTAAATAGACAGAAAGAATATGGCAGAGTCCCAGATTCTGCAAGGCCTAAGCAGGAGTGTAAAAAAAAAAAAAAATTCAGTACTCAAAGGTAGCAGAACTAGAGACACAAAAAATAGCAATCGAACACAAAAAGTAACTTTCACAACACATCACTGGAAATCCCCCAATACTGTTTAGTATGTTCCCCCCAGGAACAAAGAGGGCGCTCCCACGAATCTGCCCTGTGAGGGAAGAAGGCTACAGAACACCGGCCAGCAGCACAGACCACGCCCGGGCCGACTCGAACGCAGACCACGAGGAACGGTTTACGTGAGACACACCCACCACGTGGCACACTGGACACTGTGAAGAAATGTCTTCTGCTGTCGGCCAACAAGACTACGATCAACAAATCTATACTCTCTTTGAGGTCAATGACCTGCCCGATTCAGCTGTGTGTCCCCCTGGGTTTTGAGCCCAATGTCTGAAGAGCAGGGAACGTTCTCATGTCTAGTGTGTCTCCACTGACTGAAATCAGCTCAGCACGAGGCCAGCAGTGCTTCTCCAGGGCAGAAAATAGCTCACCTGAATTATCCCCGCCTGGCGGGTTGCTGAAGAGATGGCCGTCTCAAGGTCGTACGTCACCAGGGCTTTCCCCCACATTGCTTCATGTTCGTATGTTCGTAGTCTGTAATGGAAGATTTCCAAAATACCTTTGAGTTCCACATTCGTGGAGGTCCTTCACAGACAGGATTACGACAGCATTATCTAGAAACGTGCGGTTTACCTAGTGAGGGGCTGTAACAGTTTCCCTCCACCACAGCCATACAGACTATCGGGCTCTCCTATACTTCTGTAGATTTCTAAGAGCAGATCCTAAAAACACAGCAGCAACAAACATTGGAGAGGGAAAAATATCACTTTATGAATTTAGCAAACTGGAACTTTTATCATTACCAACACGTATCTCCTAACTCTAAGTGCTATGTTACAAAAGTAAAGGACAGTGATGCTGAAATATAAAGTTTTGAATCAGCAACACAACAAATTGATCCCAAAGAACAGAACAAATGACTCCTTGAAAAGAACTGCTCACAATTTCATGAATTATATAAGAAATCAATCCCAATCTACCAGGCTTTTAACACAGACAAAAATAATCATAAAAACAAAAACAAATAGGGGCGCCTGGTGGGCTCAGTCAGAGGAGCGTGTGACTCCTGATCTCAGGGTCATGAGTTTGAGCCCCACGCTGGGTTTAGAGATTACTTAAAAATAAAATCTTAAAACCATGAAATGCAATCTCCATCAAAATACTATAGCATTTTTCACAGAGCTAGAACAAACAATCCTAAAATTTGTATGGATCCACAAAAAACCCTGAATTTAAAAAAAAAAAAGAAAGAAAACAAAAACAATCCTATCAACAGCTAAAACTATGCAGGGAAAAATGACGTCTGCAAAGTCTGACTCGTGAAAACTGAATGTAGTAAAAATAAAGGTCACGAGTTTTTCTTTGAAAAAAACCTCAAAAATGCATTATGTTACAATTGGTAAAATGTGGCATGGATAAAGAAGTGCTTACTGACTCAAATCTTTGTTGTAAAGTTTGCACAAAATTGATTCCGTTTAAAAACCATCTCAGTAAAATAAAATCGAAAACAATGGAAAACTGGGGCGTCTGGGTGGCTCAGTCAGTTAAGCATGCAACTCTTGGTCTCAGCTCAGGTCTTGATCTCTGGGTCATGAGTTCAAGCCCTGCACTGGGCTCCATGTTGGGCGTGGAGCCTACTTAAGAAAAAAAAAATGAAAAAGAAAAAGAAAAGAGAAAAATGAAAAAGCTAGAAACTTTTGCATAGAAAACCAGTCAAGCACTTTAAGTGCCTTAACGGTGCTTGCTCTGGGAAATATTTACTATGTACAAATTCACTGATACTGGCATAATTTTATACTTCTAATTAAACTGTTGACATTCATGAACATGAAACTGAGCCCTTGGTGTTATTCATTCAGTACCCAAGCCTAGTACAGTGTCTGACACACAGGAAATACTCTAAAAACTCAGTAAAAGAGGGTAAGACTATAAAAAAGCGAAAAGGGAAAAGAGAAAGGAGAATGGGATCAACCAGTAGAGAGAACACACTTCACACAAGGCGAGGCTGAGGGTTCTAAGTGTTAATGAAACATCAGGGAGGGTGCTGAAGGGAAGGCGGCCCCCCCCCACTAGTCACGTGAAGTTCGGGGCGGGGGGGGGGGGGGGGGGGACATTAGCAAGTGCTGCTTTAGGCAGGAGCCAGGAAGGAGAGGAAACAGAGACAGAAGACACTTCACAAGGTCCGGCCAGCCCTCAGGGAAGGGAGGCCAGAAAGGATGAAACAGAGGGAAATGATTTTGTGTTAGTCTGAAAGGAAATGATTTTATTTTTTCTTAAATAGGCTCCACACCCAAAGTGGGGCAAAAGCAGGAGAGATAGCCAGGGGTTTAAGCAAAGTCCAAAGGCTGAAACCGTCATTTCAGAGGAATAAGCTGACCAAAGAAATTCAGTGAGGACGGATATTAAGAGATTTAGAGAAGAAGCCATCTGCCCTGAGATGTGACATACAATAAACAAGTAAACAAATGAATATATGATTATAAATGTTAAATGCTATAAAGAAAATGAACAGGCCACTGTGGCAGAAAACATGTATTATAAATTCACCCTGTGAGACAGGTAGTTTTCCTTCCAACTTTCAGATGAAGGAACTCAAGGTCGGAAAGGGTAAGTAATTTTGTGCAAGCTTTTACAACTAAGTGGCAGAGTCCGAATGAGAACTCAAGTCTGTCCGCTACTCCAAGGCCTAACCTTCCCCCAAACCAGGAACTTACATGACAGTCCAAAAAGTAATGTCAGTTTGAAAATCAAATGACATCTCTATAATCTCTGTAACAAAATAATAATCCAAAATATAAAATAAACAGTATCACCAATAAGATCTCTATAATATTTACCTGTAAACTTATTCCAGTTTCTTCTTTACTTTTTTCACTCAAACTAGAAATAGCTGTACTCTGGCTTGATTCTTCAAACGTAAAACTTCTGTTTGTAACAAGAGCACTTCTTTTAATGAGAATATACTATTTTGAAGCTTGTTAATATATACAATATAGACTTGGATGGGAAAAACTAACCAAGATCACAGATAAAACATAATGAACCATTTATACTTTAAAATGCAATATAACTTACACCTAGAGTGGAAAAAAAATTCTGAGTATTAATTTTTCGAAGGAGAATCAAATTTTAATGACAGTCTGACATATGGGAAGGCCAAATGCTAAAATAAACTTATTTACAGAGCCAGGCCTGCTTAAAAATAGATGCTCCCAAATTCCTAAATGTTCTGTCAGTAGTTTTACCCGAAGTTCAACCTCATTAATAATCACAGGCACACAAATTAAGACCACACTGAGACACCACTTACCACCTGATAAATTGGCAAAAATCAAGAAGTCTGATAATACTAAGTGTTGAGAAAGAAGTGCATCAGTGGGATCCACCTACACCCAAGATTATAAAACTAACAAGCGACAGGATGAAAACTCAAGTTTGTGGACTCCAAGGCCTTAGCTTTAAGCCATGCATTTATATTATATATAGGACATTCAGTCCCGTAAGTACTATCAACTCAGAAATCATGCCACCTACGAACTGTTTATGACAATAATAATCCAAAGTGTAAAATAAATCTTATCATCAGGGATAGTACCTCTATATTACCTATCGGCTGCCTTCCTTAAATGTAAGGTTGTCTACTGATCTACTTCCTCATGAACTACATTTCTGAGAAGGATGCAAACTGGTATAACCATGTTAAAAAACAACGGGGCACCATGTTAATACGGTTGAAATTCTGCACACCCGGCAACCCAGTAACTTCACACTGAGACACAGATCATTAACCAGGGAATGAGCCAATGAACTGTGGTGTGTCCTCGCGTGGAACATGAAGCGGTAGGGACAAATTAATGAACTACAGCCACACACAGAGATAAAGCTCACAGAAACACTGAGCAGAAAAACAAGTTGTGGAAAAGTCCACATATAATTCATGCTAAAGCTCAAAAATGAGGAAAAGTGAACTGTATTTATGGGTTCGTACTCGTCTGATAAAAACAGCATCCGTAAGCACGAGGTAACACTGAGCCCCTGGAGAGGGACACAGAGTGCTGACTGACAGAACCGTACTGGCAACATCCGACTTTCTGTGCAGACACTACATACAGGTTCCTTACTGGCAAGTCATGGAGAAGAAGTCAGTTTCCAGAGGAGCAATCTGGACAGTGGGGGAGACAGTCCTGGAGTGAGGACTTTGTCAGCGCAAGGCTGTAAGTGCCCAGGCTAAGCGCGTGGCCAGGCCCCGCAGTCCCCGCCTCCCGGAGCAGGAACACTGAAACCACTGAGGCTGTGAGCTAACACCTCTGGTCTAAATCAGTCTGAGGGAGTTTTGGATTTCTTTCTAAAAAATTTCTTGAAAATTTCATCTGTTCTCAAGAGCAAGTTAACAAATCAAACTGCAGGGCACCTATCGGAGTCACTGAAGAAAACTAGCATTCCCTACCCTCCATCAAGCTTGTCTCTCTGTCTGCCCTCCCTCTGCCATCAGGCACCTGGGGCGGGGGGGCGGGGGGAATCAAAACCGAACTGTTAAAGCAAACAGCAAGCCATATGTGTCAGGGACTTGTTCCTAAAGTTAACCAAAATAAAAATCCAGGCCCTCCTGCTTATTAAACAAGTAATTTTGCAAAAATGTGCCAAATTCTATACAATCACCTACCTACAAATTATGATCTTATTTACACTCATCGAAGAGCTCAGTTATTCACTCCTGGTTAGTAAGAAATACTCTACTATAAAACCAAGACACTGAAACACATTCAGATCATAATTACTATGCAGACCCTGACTCAAATTTTAAGTCTCTAAGAATAAGCAATAATCAATTTCTTACTCATTACATTACAGAACTGTCTTCACAGAAAGTCTATAATGATGGTGAACATATCAATTACATGTTACACACAGTATCTACATATTGTAGATTTTTGTTTTCAGTTGAAAGGTAGAAATTAAATACCAAGCCAGAGAGTTAACAATCAGTCCAGGCACACTAATTTATGTTTGGAGTAGGATCTGAATTCTGGCTCCTGGTTTTCCACAGTCTAAGAACCACAGTGCTGCCAGCTTAAGGACAATCCAAAGCAGAAACTCTAAGTCACAAGTGTGAGAAATGTAGCAACATTATACATCTTTTTTATTTCAATTCTGTAATATGAATGGCTCTGTGGTTGGAAAACAAAGCTAACAACAAAAATAAACACTAGGCTACGTCAAATGAATAAAATCCGAGGAGGGCAGTTGGGATAATACAGTGCATATTTTCCACTCTTTAACCTTGCTGTTTTTTCTTTTCCACTATGATCTAGGAAACACCCATTCGACTCTTACAAGAGTTCTAACTCAGAGGAAAAGCTAATTAAATCAGTAGAAATCCAGGTAGACAGCAAAGTAATCAAAGTGATTTAGTCACAGAAAAAAATCAGTTACATTACTTTATAGTCAACAAGTAAAATGGATCTTGAATAAGCTGGGGTACTGGTGGTGAAACTAATTTCACTGAAATCAGGGAATCATTCAACCACGTGAAACTGTGATCACTGCATTAAGTTCCCAATGCTACCTGCTGTGGGGAATACAGAGAAAAGTAACTGTGGTCTCTGTCCCTCAGGAGCTTGCTGTCTGGAGAATGTCTACAGTTCTTAAGTAATAAACATCTCTATTTTATTTCAGAGCATAATTATTTCTTTCTTTTAAAATATTATCATTTTACTTTTAAAGACAGGAAACTTCTATCTAAGATGTGTTTTAAATGGGAGAGCAGGAGCAAAACAAACTATTTTTACCTTAACCGAAACAATGTCAACACAGACTTAAAAAACCAAAGGGCTGAATCCCATTACCTTTTGTCCTGGTCTTCCATGCTTTTCTTATCTGCGTAGATCTCTGCATAGAGCAATGCCGTAAAGTGAGCAGCACAAGACTGAGCGACCTTGGCAACCTCTAGGTAATTCAACTCCAGCCAGAAAGCATCATCGAAAACTGTTCCTAAGGAAGGTCTAAAGAAAAATGTTAACATGCAGTCATGTCCGTTTCTTCAACTTCACTATCAAGAGAAAACATGCTCAAATAGAATACAGTGGTATCGAGCTCTGGTGAAAAAGAATATTACATTCAAATCACCCGGACCCGCGTGTCCCCCCAATACAGAGCTGTCCCATTCTCAGCCTGGCTGAAGAGCCCTACCTCTGACCCCTTGTGGATCGCAAACCACAAAGGCGGTGGGTCATCGGCTCATACAAATGTGGGGTTCATACTTGACCTCCATCAAGGGGTCCGTGGACCATAGGCTAAGCGTGGGCTGCACAGAGCAGCGAGTAACACCTACACAAATCTTTTCAAGTGGCCAACTAAATGAAAATACTGTTTCTGCTAAGGCGCAATTACACGTTTCTCCTATTGCAGTTCATTTTCTAAGTCACTCAATCAAAATCTTCTGTGGTAACTGTAGGTCAGGATTGGAAGGGACCAGAGACACCACCTTCTCCAAAGCCAACATCGTATGTGAGCTACGACAGGGGAGCGGTTAGGAGTGCTGGTTTCAGAGGAGGGCACAACCTGGCTCAACCCGCTGAGCCCGCACTGCAAGCTGTACCATCTGCAGCAACTTCCCTTCTTGAGCCTCAGTTTCCTCACTTGGAGAGCCCGGGGACAGTACACGTCAGCAACAGTCGTTGCAATGATTCAACGATGCTTATCAGGGTGATGAATCAGGTGCTAACACTTCACTGCAGCTACTGGGGAACCTGCATTTCAGAGATCACACAGCTCCCAAGTACCGGACCTGGACTTGAACTCAGGTCCTTACACCCTGTGTTCCACTCATATTCTCTCAAACTCTTCTTTGAGGCCTATTCAGAATGAGAACTGAAGACAAAGAACTTTTATCTTCTCCAAGGCCTGCCCATGTCAACACCACTCCACCTCGGATAAATCTGCACTGAATGATTCCAAGGTGAAAGTGCCTCCCCACACCAAGGAAAGAGGATTCCAGCTACAGTTAAAGTTTCTGTGGGCTTTCTCAGAAGAGGATCTGGTAACCAAGAAAGTCAATCAGTAACTTTCTAACTGGCAACAAAGACGCTGAAAGACCTAACATTTCTTTTCCTAAGAGTGGAGTGGGATGGATGAGGAGGATACAGATGTAAACGTGAGTGGGATGGATGAGGAGGATACAGATGTAAACGCACACAGGGATTTTTCGTTTTCCTCCCACCTCCTTCCCACTCTTTACCAACCACGGCCAGCAGCAGCCTACCAATTCCTACCTCCTCAAGTTACAGGCCGACGACACTGTTTCCTCACAACCCTGGTCAACTCGGGAGCAGTATGGATCGATCTGACCATGACCTCTAGCAATGCCTGCACTCACTGTTAAAAATCTCATGAGGAATAAGAGGAACAAGATACTATACCATAAAACAATTTATCACAATCAAGAAAATATACACTGCCACAGCAGATTATACAGAACCATGCATTTTGAGGACCGTGAGTCACAGTCAGCAACTCTTATCTTACGAAGTTCCTGACACTGACTTAACACAGTGCCACCCTGAATACGGATTATTTCAAGAAGATCTAAGCATTACACAAATTAAATACAGCACCTTGCAGCAGCTGCACCTAAAATAATGGTGTTAAAATTCAACCAGCAAAATTTAAAATTTAATTTTAAAATCAAAATTCACAAGCTACACTTCTAAATCCCCAGACTCAAGCAGCAATATTCCCTCCGTTACCTCTTTTGTCTCCTCATGTAGTCCACAACAGCAAGCATTGTTCTCTGTGATTTTTTATCCACACAGCATCGGAACAGGTGGTCTGACTCTGACAAAGACAGAGAGCTCTCCTTAGTCCCGGACAGACTTGCTTTCGCACATTCCTCCCTCCATGTGTCTGTCACCCTCTAGGCTATAGAGTTTCGTAGGCAGTAACCGGGCACAAAACTGGTTCTTAATAAATACGAATGGAGAAGTAGAATTTAACGGCATTTCTTTTTCTTTTAAAATAAACTACTGTGCTTAGGGCTGCCTGGATGGCTCAATCATTGAAGCCTTCGCCTTTGGCTCAGGTCATGATCCTGGGGTCCTGGGATCGAGCCCCACATCAGGTTCTTGGCTCAGCAGGGAGCCTCTTTCTCCCTCTCCCTCTGCCCCACCCCCTGCTCATGCTCTCTCTCTCTCTCTTTCTAACAAATAAAATCTTAAAAAAAATAAATAAAACTGAGAATTTAATTACTATTTGCATCTTATTTCTGAAGGGGACTAATTCACTGATTCATTAAATACTTATCGAGGATCTTTCCTGTACCAGGCGCTCGGGATACAACCCTGAATACGCCAGACAACTGCTGTGCTCACCGAGCTCACCAATTACACAAATGCTGAGTGCTAGGACCGGGAAGGTGGACGGCACGGACAGGCTTACCAAAAGGAGCCTGATCTGAACAAGAAAAGTTTCACAGAAAAAGTGGTATCTCACAGAAGAGTAACAGCGTCCCAGGCAACAGTCACACTACCTGAGACGGCCAAACAAGAATTTAGTGAAAGAGGATCAGCTGTGCCGAACCACAGGGCTGAAAAGGCGGTAAGGACATGGGGGCAAGCGAGGAACAGATGGACTCACATTATTTACCACAGAAACTGGCAGGATCTGGCCATCAGAGGGACACGGGAGAGAGGTTCTCTGGCTTGGGCAACTGAGTGCCATTCACTGAAGACATTAAAGAAGTAGGCCAAGGGAAGGGGATGAAGATGGTAAGTTTACTTTGGAGAAGTGAGTCCGGGATGCATAGGAGACATTCAAGGGAAGGCAGGAGACTGACAGACATTAGAAAAGATAAACCATTTAATCTGATAGAAATCGGAAGCTACTTCCTTTTAAACCACTGAATTTTACATGTGAAATTTAAATTTTCATTTACAGCCTTATAGATATTGGCACTTTACACAGAGGTAAAATAAAACAGGCTATTTTTACCTATGAATGGAGACAGCATAAAAATGTACGTATATATGATAAACATGAAAAAAAGTCTTGGCCATGTTCATGACAATAAACTGCCAGGTCATCACAGGCAGTGATTATATTAAACTTGGTAATAAAAATTGTTTTTAATATGACTTTAAATTATTTTAATATTTAAAGTTTAAATGCTTACTGGTAATTGAACCACTTATACCTCATTTCCCAAATTAAGGACAGGATATATAGTTTAGATTGCAAAGTCTCTGCGAGAATTTTTATTTCACGTATTTCATTTTGATAATCTAAAGAAAATTCACGTAAGCATATTTCGGATTATTTACGAGACCAAGTTATCATCTACTAGGAACACAGAATGAGCTTCCGTGTCTATGTTTATAATTATATGATTTCAAACGGGAGATGTGTAAGTGCTGTCAATGGAGAAAAACTACTTAAAACATAGAACAGAGTGGGGCGCCTGGGTGGCTCAGTCGTTAAGCGTCTGCCTTCGGCTAAGGTCACGATCCCAGGGTCCTGGGATCGAGCCCCGCATCGGGCTCCCTGCTCCGCGGGAAGCCTGCTTCTCCCTCTCCCACTCCCTCTGCTTGTGTTCCTGCTCTCGCTATCTCTGTCTCTGTCAAATGAATAAATAAATAAATCTTAAAAAAAAAAACAAAAACAAAAAAACATAGAACAGAGCAAAGTGAGGTCTACAAGACACCACGGTCACGTCGAACAGAGGTTTCAGCAGTCCAGAAAGAAATGACTGGGAGAATCGTGTGATCACAACATACGCCAAAGTGACAGGAACCGTAGTCAAGATTGGGAAAGGGCAATTTAGTTGCAGCGAAACAGCACACAAATCAATACTTGTTTTAGAACTGTACTAGTCTCAAGTACACTAAGTGAATTTGTACCTGGTTTTATGTTTGCACATAATTATGTTAATAACACTAAAGACAACAAGTTAACATTATAGATTTGTGAATTTTCTTCCTTTATTTTAGGTTTGAAAAACTGACCCACAATGAGCCCTTCAGTATGCGTGTAAGTATTATGGATACACACAATACACTATTCCTGCTCCTCATGGAAGTCCTCCTGCTATAAGCTCTTACCGTGGGAAATATTAATTACAAAGCATAAAAAGAAATGCGGTTATTTAAGTAAATAAAGTATAATCTATTTTGGGTTTTTCTGGGGGGTTGTTTTGTTTTGGGTTTTTTTGTTGTTGTTGTTGCTATTGTTAAAAAAAAATCCAAGGATATGGGCGCCTGGGTGGCTCAGTCGTTAAGCGTCTGCCTTTGGCTCAGGTCATGATCCCAGGGTTCTGGGATCAAGCCCCGCATTGGGCTCCCTGCTCAGTGGGAAGCCTGCTTCTCCCTCTCCCACTCCCCCTGCTGTGTTCCCTCTCTCCCTGTCTCTCTCTGTGTCAAATAAATAAATAAATAAATCTTAAAAAAAATTACTGCAGGGCGCCTGGGTGGCTCAGTCATTAAACATCTGCCTTCGGCTCAGGTCACGATCCCAGAGTCCTGGGATCGAGCCCTACATCGGGCTCCCTGCTCAGCGGGAAGCCTGCTTCTCCCTCTGCCACTCCCCCTGCTTGTGTTCCCTCTCTCGCTGTGTCTCTCTGTCAAATAAATAAAATCTTTAAAAAAAAAAAAAAAAAAACCAAGGATATATACCAAATGTTAACCGCAGTTATCCCAGGTCATAGGATTACAGGCAACTTAATTTTTAAATTTATGCTCATTTCTCTATTATTTTCCACAATAAATATTTTGTAATACAAAGGGTTATTTTAAAAAAATGAGTTGGCCAGATCTTTACCATAAAATTTCAACCTATCTTCCAATACAGGACCCGTGATATTTGCTTGCATTTATCTGTCTTCTTTTCCCACGGCGGGGAACGTAGGGTGTCCTCTTCGTATCCCGGGTGCCAGCGCCGAGCTCAGTGCCGGACACACACTGAGGGCTCAGTCAGTTGCTCCACTATTAGTAGCCAAAATTCCCTGAGGGCGTACTACACATCAAGTATTACCCTAGGTGCTTTACATATATTATCTCACTGAAAACAGACTACAACTTTCATGATGATGAGAAAATAAATTCTTAGAGGTTACAGAATTAAGCCAATAAAGCATCCTGAAGGGATTCAAACACACCTTTCTCTAGAACTGAGAAGTTAACAGTATAAATGCTAGGAATTTAACAGAATACCTGAATCCAAATTTGCAGGGGTCGTGGATCGGCTCGTTGGTAAGGAGTGTCTGAAACAGTTAGTGAAAAATCCCTGAATGTGTGCAGAAAGCAGATTTCTCCATGATTCATCTGTATCTTGGAGTAAAATATCATGAATCAAGTATGGAAGCACAGTCTGACAAAAGTCAGTTTTCACCTGGAACATACAAACACATCAAGTCAACAGTCTGAGTGAAAATAATCTATTGAACACTTTCATTCCTTGTTACTGGCATATTAGACTTAGAAGAAAAATGATAGATGAATCTGTCATGAACTCAGTGTATCTCTAAAACACACACAAAATGCATGTACCAAGGCAGTGCTTAAGAAAAATCAAAGTAACCTATGTTTCGATGTGAAGCATCGTGTTACACAACTGTCCATTTCCAATCTAGGCCATATGCACATAATGAAATAGGATAATGCTTACAAATGAAATTATATGTCACAACTGCTGCAAAGTGCTACTAATAACACACAGTTTTCTAATTTGATATAAAGGAAAATGGGGAATCAAAGTTTAAGAGAAAAGCTGAAAATCTGATTTTTGTATTCTCTACACTCAGTAAAAAGCTGCAACAGTCATGTTCAAATGTTTATTATTTTAATAAACTCCAATTTGAGTATACAATTTGGGTACTTATTTGTGATATACTCCAAAGTGTAGAAAAGTACTTCAATACTTGTGGTACATCAAAACAGTACTCAACCTTATTTTTGTCAAGGTTCTCCCTTCATGTATTTATCATATACTACATGCACAAAACAGACGACAGATGACTAAATGCACATTTTTTTCTTTTTAAACTAAAGACAAATCAAATGGCAGTTTTAGAAAGAAAGAATTTAAGGAATTTGGAATCGGGGTGTGGTGTGTATGTGTATTTGGAACATTTTATCTTGTGGCGCAAAGTCAGAACTTTATAAAAAAAACCTTAGCCATGCTCACTAACGGGAAATGTGCGGTGTCTAGGCCGTCACTGAGCTGACTTAGCACAAGCACAAGGTAGTAATGCAGAGAGTGTGACCATTTCTTCACTGCAACACTTCTTCTGTAGAAGCAAGTCCTGCCTTTTAAACTGCTTTCAATGAGAGCACTTTATCAAAATACTCCATCAGTTTTGTTTTTTTATTTCAAGTTTTTACTTAAATTCTAGTTAGTTAACATATATGGTAAAATTGGTTTCAGGAGTAGAATTCAGTGATTCATCACTTACATACAACACCCCGGGCTCATTCCAAGTGCCCTCCTTCATGCCCATCACCTGTCTAACCCATTCCCCACCCAGGTCCTCTATCAACCCTCGTCTGTTCTCTATTGTGAAAAGTCTCTTAGGGTTTGTTTCCCTCTCTTTCTTTTCCCCCCTTCCCCTACGTTCATCTGTTTTGTTTCTTAAATTCCACGTATGAGTGAAATTATATGGTATTTATCTTTCTCTGACTGACTTATTTCACTTAGCATACCCTCTAGCTCCATCCATGCCATTGTCTATCAGTTAGTTACTTTTAACTGGTAGATGTTTGAACCAGTCAGATGTTTTGTTTTCACACTGTCACTGAATCGTGCTTGATGGTACAATATAAATTAGGTTAACATTAAAGTCTTAGAGCATCATCATATTATACTGTTTTGGATGGCATACTTGATAAAAGTGTGTAAATTTTATTTGATTTGGTATAGACCTTTATTGAAATAAACTGTATTAGACCTCCAAAAATAAAAAAGCAGGGCTGCCTGGGCGGTACAATCAGTTAAACATCCAACCCTTTGTTTTGGTTCAGGTTGGGGTCATGAGATGGAACCTGCGTTGGGCTCCAAGCTCAGCATGGCGTCTGCTTGGAATTCTCTCTCCCCCCCTCTGTGGGAAGGGAGAGAAAGAGAGTGCTTACTCAGTCTCTCTCGCTCTCTAATAAATAATAATAATAATAATAAATCTTTAAAAAAATAAACAAAAATAAAAAAGCAATGTTAACTGCTACCTCTTTTTCTTAAGAAAGTATACTAGGGAAAGTAAACGACAATGACCTTAAAAAAATTTTTAAAAGCAGACTTTTGGTTAATGTAAGTAATTTACAATCATCAGTATTTTAACTATGGTTAGTAACAAATTATTCAAGGCACCCTTTAGAGCTCATCCAGTACGTAGCTACCCCACAGCCGAAACCAACCACACAAAGCTCTAGCTACACAAAGATGCCGTGTTTGATGGATTCCCAACAGCTGAGCAAGGTGATACTTCATGGACATGACGTGCACAACCACCACACTGTTCAGAGAGAAGGCCATAAATACGGACATGGAACCCAAATGTATCAGGACAACCGAAGGAAACTACATGGAACCCAAATGTATCAGGACAACCGAAGGAAACTACTACGAGAAGGCTCAAATACAAAAAGCATAGGTAGTAAGGGATTAAGGCAGACTAACTAATCTTCTTACTTCACACATTGGCTTTAATAGTTGAAGAATTTCACTTTTTGTGCCTCCGCTATCCAAAAAAGCACAAGTCAGCCTCTTTATCCAAACGTCATGATTTTCACTTTGAGGAATCCACAGGCTCATATCATCCAGGCCTTCTAAAGGACTTTCTTTGTCCAGTCTGGGGACTTCCAAAAACTAGAAAGAAAATAGTCAAAACCCGTGAGTAAGGTCATTAGAAATACATTTTATCTTTCCGGCACAGAACAAATATCTAGGCATAAATCTGTTTCCAAACCAAACTAAGCAGAGTTAAAAATAATACTGGAGGCAATGGGTAACTCTTAAAATTAAAATACACTTATGTTTATACGGAAGGCCAAGTGGTATGATAAAAAATTACTGGTCTGCACAGCAGGATCCTTGAGCTCTACTCTCAGCTCACGAGTAGCATATTATACACATCACAAACTCTCTGCCTCACTGGTCTCATGGACGAAACCAGTCCAAGTCTACCACAAGGAATTGATTTCAAAATGTTTCAAAATGTTAAAACAGATTATATTACTGGTGTTTTACACATTACTGGTTTTATTAATAGTTTATATTACCAGTAATTTCACTAAGACCAAAATTATATTTATGATATATTAAAGAGACTAGTACGACGATGGGTATATGTCCTGAAGTTAATTTGGTGAAAATTCTGTTTAACTCCCATTTGCTTTAGGAAAAGAAAATATTAAAGAGGAATGCTTAGACTAAAAGAGAAGCAAGAGTTCTTAAATATCCTTCAGAGTCCTTTCAGTCAAACGTGATTATGATATTCAAGTGGAAAAAGGGAAGGGAGAAATCTATAGGTCATCTTATATTTCACTAGGGGGCTGTGATACTTTAACTTCCTATGGAAATAAACACTTGCTTATTGCACATTACCTACAAACCACACCCAACATCAGTGGATTTCATGGGATCGATGTAAGGGTTTTCTACTCCTAAGAAGAAAGGCCTATCATTAAGAACTCCTCCTATCCTCCAAATCAATCAGCTTTCTATCTCAACTTTTCCACACTGCTCTAATTAAAAACAGAAGTGCCCTGGATTCAAGTACAGTTGGAATTACTTCTAAGAAAGGTTTAATGTTAGTATAATACTATTTAGGCAACTTGATATTCGTATCTCACAGCAAACAGAACTGTTCCAGATATAGTGGGTATTCAATAAACATTTATTATTTGAGAGACCTTTTTTTTTGATGTTCTAAAAGGCTGTAGATAGATCAGCATGGGATCAGGTGTCGTCTTATAAATCTCCCAGAAACTATGTCCAGTCTTTGTGGCTAAAATGCTTTTCAAACAGGTAACAGCAGCTGATCGCACTTTGACACTGAAAAACATGTAATTCAGATGCTTATGAAGTATATTCAACTACTGATGAATATGAAACCCCCAATAAAAAATTTAAATCTAAAATTTTAAATTTATATTACAGGTTGACTCTTGAACAAGTTAGGAGCACTGATGCCCACACAGTCAAAACCTGTGTATAAATCCTGACTCCCCCAAAACTTAACCACGAATAGCCTGACAGGGAGACGTACAGACACCATAGTGAACACATACTTATATGTGTTACATACTGTATTTTTACAACAAAATAATCTAGAGAAAAGAAATTTATTATGTTAGTCACCATACATTACATCATTAGTTTTTGATGTAGTGATCCATGATTCATTGTTTGCGTGTAACACCCAGAAAATGTTCTGAAGAATATCATATGGGAGAGAAAATACATTTACAGTACTATACTGTATTTACCGAAAAAAGCCCACATGTAAGTGGACACAGGCAGTTCAAACCTGTGTTGTTCAACTATAGAGCGTAAAGGTTAACTGCATCAGGCAGTTTTTACATTAGGAAATTTTACCTCTAAATAAAAATTCTAGGGGCGCCTGGGTGGCTCAGTCGGTTAAGAGTCTGTGTTTGGCTCAGGTCATGATCTCAGGGTCCTGAAATTGAGCCCCATGTCAGGCTTCCTGCTCAACAGGGAGTCTGCTTCTCCCTCTCCCTCTGCCCCTCCCCGCTTGTGTTCTCTCTCTTTCACTCACTCTCTCTCTCAAATAAATGAAATCTTAAAAAAAATTCTATAATCAAAATTCTACAGCATCAATGCCAAAATTATCAACCATTTTTAATACTCCTTTAGTAAACCTGAGTTACTAATCACTGCAGGGGGGTAGGGGGCAAAGAAAGCAAGCAAAAGTAATCTCATAGCTACCAAGCTGAAATTAGGATAGAATCTGTTGCAATTTTGTTTGGCATAAAGAATCAGGGGGCAAAAGAAAACCCTGTCTGATTAGCTTAAGATCTTTGGAGTTATGACACTTCTTCTCTAGGACTTATCTTAAAAGGATCAAAATACTCTCAATGAGAGCAGTGCCTTTGATTTCGACCAATGCCCAAAACATCCGCTTTTGCAATTTTCCTATTTTTATGTTCTGTATCGAACTACCTGGTGGTTTTCTTATTGTTTGTTTAGGCTACTCTCACTAGATTTTAACAAGGACCTTGTCTGGTATGCTCATCAGTGAACCCAGTGCCTGGCACACAGTAGGGCTTCAGGGATTATGGCAATGAATAAAAATACAATGATTTTTATTAAAATACTTGAGATTAAGAGAAAAGTATGGCAATGTAAAGGAGGATGCTTCAGTTTCAGGAGACGTTAATTTACATAAAGTATCAACGTCCCTGAACGTCAGACGAAGTAGGTGCTAGCAGGTAGACAGGCTCAGTCCATACTCACCAATCCTCTACCAGCGTGTTGTTCAGGTAGGTCAGCGTTATGAAGGTCCACTGAAGTTCTTTATCTTCAAATAACTCAGGGGCCTTGGTAGAAGATGTATCTCTACCGTGCTGTATAGCTATCGTGGAGAAATCGACAGGACCCACTTCTCCCAAGCAGCTTCCAACAGCCTCTGTATTTAGAAATTCCTTTTCAGTACAGTTGTAGCTAAAAGATCTCCCATAAAACAAGTTTTCCCCCACAAAAAATATCATGTTTTGTCATCCCTCAAGATTTAAGTGGCTTCCCAAAGATTCTGAATAAAGAAGCTACTATAATATTGCAGCATTTTCTTTATATATATCCATGTGGGCAAAAGATATTTTCCCTATAAAATCATATCCGGGAGAGAGAAATTAGTAACAGAATATAGATAGTAAGCATGAAAGTCTAAACACAGCTTCTATATGAATGTAGCAACAGACTTTAAAACTGTTAAAACATTTTTGAGGTATTATATACATAAAGTACATAAACCTTAAACACTCAGTTCAGTGAAAATTTACACACACATTTTTTTCCACCTGTGTTATCACCATCCAGATGAAGACAGAGCAGTTCCTGCCAGAGAACTCCTTCACACTCTTTCCCAGCCGTGAGGGAATTAAAATACACCCATAAATTTTTTGATAGCTCTCCTTCCAAAAGGTGTAGCCCTAGTTCCCCTCCCCTTGGGTGTGGGGTGTACTTGGCGACTCACTTCTGACAGACCGTGCACAAGTCTTTCACTTCCTTGATTAAACTTATCCCCACGCACTGGATTCTCCTAGATGCTACGATAAACAGAACTGGAACTGGAACAAAATTTTCTCTTTAGATTGTTCACTGATGGTGTAGAGAAACACAACTAAATTTTGTGTGTGGATCCTATATCCTGCAACTGTGCTGAATTCATTTATTAGCTTTATTACAGTAGATTTCTTGTAGATTCTCTGGGGTTTTCTAGAAATAGGATCATGTCATCTGTGACTAGAGACAGTTTTACTTCTTTCTTTCCAATCTGGGTGCTTTCACTTTTCTTCTTCTTCCACTGCTCTGGCTATTATTTCCAGTACAACTTGGACCAGCACTGGTGAAAGCAGGCAACCTTGTCTCCTTCCTGACCTGGGCGTGAAAGCTTTTCGTCTTTCACCACTAAGAATGATGAACAACCATACTAAGATTTTATGCTACACAGGAAAGCCACTCAGGGCTCCTGGAGCAAATCAGGTCTGTCCCTAGAAACAGTTAAACTACGGACAAATACGTGAATTCCTTGGTCAAAGGAAACTTCCAGGGTGCTGGTAAGGCTCTGTTTCTTGGTCTGGGTGTGCACAGGTATTTTCTGCTTGTGAGAACTTTCAAGTTACATACTTATATCTGTACTTTTCTGTATGTACAGTATATTTCAGCAAAAGAACTTACAAAATAAAGGAGTGCCCTAGTTACTAGGCTCCCGCTGAGAAGACAAGAACGACTCCACTGAATGGAAGTAAAATCTGTGAAGGACCTCTTATTCCTCCTATTTTTCTTATTTGAAGCAATGTTGTCATGACAACCTCAAGGTGACTTCAATCAGTGTCTCCATCCTGTGATCACTAAGTCTAAACACCTCTTCTAGGCGGGATGTGTGGTGGCCATTTCCCTTACACTAGGATAGCCCCAAATGGTGGTAGGAAAGGGCTTGGATGCAGCTTTCATATCTGAGTTTAATTCACCTAGCCCTCCAAATCCTCATTCTTACTCTGCCCTATAAAAAAGATTAAGTACTGCTCAGTTAGATTTACAAAATATATCAGAAGTCAATTTATTTGCAACTCAACAGTACAAATATTTATTTCTGACTTTCCTAAATATTTATAAGATGTTTTTGAATGAACAGTGATGCACATGTGTAAATCACTAACTTTGCACTTTATGCAAATGTTTAAGGAAGGAAAATACGGAAGGAGGCTCCTTAGGGACACTTGAACTGAACATAAATATACCTCAGCTAGCATCTCACATTTCCCTACTATCCCAAATTACCAACTCTTACTGAATTTGAAAACAGAGATGACCATGCAAACATAAAAGCTCATATTCCTTTAGCCGAAGAGTTTACCTAGAACTTCTCTCTCTCCAGTGTGGCTCACCGCCGTCTCACATAACTGCAACAGGCTGACGATGAGCTTCACCATCGTGCCGTCCTGCGGGTTTTCTGGGGGCGGTTTAGATTAGGAAAAATAGTTTCAACTACAACGGAGAAGACACGTTTCTTTACAATATGTTTATAGATTAAATTATCTGACTAGAAAACTTTCATGAAGTTTTTTTAGAAACAAGGTTTTAAATCACAAGCAGGTCAAAAAACATAACGTGAACGTATCGGAACTTTCTTATAAAACAGAACCATGTAAAAGTGAGAGCGAAGCAGTATCTGGCCAACAGAGAGCGAGGAATGTCCAATTAGCCAACACCTCAGCAAATCACGAAGAGTGAAAGACACAAAAATCACTCAACATTAACCGACGAGAGACCCTGGAAGCACACTCTGGTCTTTAACCCCTGGATTTAGTCCAGACCAGCAAAGTCCGACAGAACTTTCCGCAACGACAGAAACGTTCTCCAACGTACACGGTCCCACGACAGCCGCTAGCACAGTTACTACTGAGAACCTGACACGCGCGAGTCTGATGAAGACACTAAATTTTAAATTTCATTAAATTTAATTCACTGAATTAAATAGCTAAAAACAACTAGTGTCTGTTTTGGACAAGACAGGTCTGCACCAATGAATTACCCAAACACACAAGAACAAAAGAAAGAGGTATTCATCTTTTATACACACACACACCTCAGAACAAATGCACTCCAAACTCGGAGCTCATATGATCAAGCCCAAACTTAGTTTTTAAAACTACTGGAGGGGCACCTGAACGGATCAGTCGGTTAAGTGTCTGCCTTCGGCTCAGGTCATGATCCCGGGGTCCTGGGATCGAGCCCCGCATCGGGTTCCCTGCTCGGCAGGGAGCCTGCTTCTCCCTCTGCCTGCCTCTCTGTCTGCTTGTGCTCTATCGCTCACTCTCTCTCTCTCAAATAAATAAACAAAATCTTTAAAAAAAATATAACTACTGGAAAAAAACCCACAATGGAAATAGGAAATTAATGGGCAAAAGATGATAATCAAAACTTAAATAGGAAAAATTTCCCCTAAATACAATACTAGAATAACCTAAACTCAAATCAAATTAACATAAAAATTAATGTTTTCTTAAGTAAAAAAAAAACAAAACTAGAAACACATATACAAATATGTGTTTATATAGAAAAACACACACACATATACATTCATGATTATACATATGCACATACATAAGAGACTTAAAGTGGGATACATTTCTTTTATTTAAACAAGCTGGAGCAATAGGCACAGACAGACTACCCATATGCCTCGCTCCAAGGAATTCGAATCTTTCTTTCAGGCAGTAGGAAGTGGTTAAAACTTTTCAAGCAGTAGAATAACACGACCGTGTCTGGGTTTAGAGAAACCGTTCTGGCAGAGGTGTACAGGACGGATAAAATGGGGTTAATTCAAGGTGAGGAGACCACCCACAATCTCTTTTATGGTGAGATGAGAAATGATGAACTACATGCTGAGAGCCTGAAGTAAGTCCACAGCAAGTGAACAAAGAGCAAGAATTTATAAAAAGACTCTTTCAAAAAGAAAGAGGTACAAATGACCCACGTCATTAACATCAGTACCCTGAGATGCTCTCACGAGATCCACCATCTGGTCCTTATGTTGAGCTAGCTGTCTGCAGAGATCCTTCAACCCTTCCAGTCTTGTCAAAGGAAGTGCATCATAAACACTCACGGAGAGAAAATGATTTATTTCCTAAAAGAGAAAATTAGTTAAAAATGTAACTTGCTTTATGTACATGTATGAAGTCTATCAAATAAAACTTAAAGAAAAAAATGAGTGCCTTTTATAGACACTGATTCATATCACTATTACCACACGAGATAGAAATAAATGGCTTCTTCCATTTCACATCCGCCAATGTTGTAATCACTTAAATGCTAACAGACTCATGATAACATACTTAAGATTTTAAGATTGTAATAGCATCCTCCAAAGGAAAAGCTTAAATTTCTACTTATTTAGTACTGTGGCTCTAGTTTTACATCTTAGTACATTTAACTATACTGTCATATTGATACACAGTCAGATATGGAGTATGGTTTTAAAATTATAACATTTATACTAAAAAATACACCTGAACATAATTTTAAAGTTTATAAATATTAAAGTAAGATTAAAATTTGAAAAATTCTTTAAAAAGTCAAATACCATCTCTAATTCAAACATTAAATTGTCCTTCAAAGGATCAGATGGTAATTTTGAGATATTAATGGATCTGATGCATATGAAAATCAAGCATATTTTAGATCATATTTCTTCATTATTTAATTTCAGATCTTAACCAAGAAATCTTGATATTTATAATTTTACTGCAATACAAGACAATATATTAAGATTCAGTTTCTTATTTGTTGAAAGGGCAAATCTCATGTTGTTTTTCTATTACAATTTTTTAAAAAGATTCAGTTTTTTACTTTTAGAGAATTGGAAGTTTTCAAAAAGTACTGCTCTCTACTCTAATACAGAATAGTAAGATGATGGAATAATTATTACCTCCAAAAGTGAGAAGGGTCCTTTACTGTATTTAATTTTCTGCTGAGTAATACGCAAATCCTTAAAGACATCATGGTCAGGAAAAGGATCTAAAAGTTTAATTGTCATATAGAGGTTTTCATTATCCTTGTTCTCTATCACTAAGTATTTCAACAAGTCCAATACCTAAACATAATTTAAAAAAGAAGAAGTCAAAAGGAAAAAATGGTTTAATTATGTTTCAAAGTAAAACAACCAAACCTGCTGTAATAAATGATAAAAACTCTACTAACCCAGTTCAGATAAAATGTTTTAATTACTTCTATAGGACCACCTATGACTGCTTCTGTGCTTTCAAATGGTTCACCAAATATGTAAGGTGCTGCTACAGGATGAGCACTGGGATAGAAAAGTGCCAGTATAACTGGAACATTTCGTAGAGTATCTCGTGCACCATCACAGTGGTGTCGACTGCTGTCCCAGTTTTCAGCACCTCTCTGCTTCAACCCAACTGAGAGACACAAACTCTTAGGTTATTTGTGAGATCAAAATTACTAGGTGCTCTGTAATTAAATGACTACAAATATTAACTCACTGAAAATGTTTTGCCAACCATTTTCCAAAGAATATTTTCACTAAAATGACTAATTACACCAAGTAAACATAAAACATTCGGCTCCTTCCAAGAATGCTTTATCAATGTTATTTCAAATATCTCTGTGAAGAGGATTTGGGGAAATACCTGCTCCTGAACCTCCATCTGATCATCCACAAGGGGTATAAGCGTTCCAACAATCACGTGAAGGTGATTTTCTAGAGCATCCTTACAGTAAGCGACCGCCGTGTGGCAAACCCGGCTTAACAGGTCACAACACAGGGAGAAGCTCCGTAACGACACATCCATGAAACGAGAAGGCCTAACACAGGGAGAAAAATAGTAAGTTCTAGGAAACGACTTTGACAAAGCTCGTGCAGAAGTCATTTTCCTTCAGCAGCTCTAACTCTGAAGTGGCCTGACATAAAAGTCACTTTCATGTCTAATTCCTTAATAAGGTTTCAAAGCCAAGAAGAGATGGAGTGGATACCTCCAATCTGCCCTCCCGACAGAGATACTGAAAAACAGGCAGAACCGTTAGAATTCTGTAGAACAGTCAAAGGTTTACAGCAATCAAGCAAATGCTAAATTAAAAAAAAAAAAAAAAGGCAACTTAACTGTAGGAAAACGCGGTGGTGTTTACTTGTCTTTGCCCCACTATTCCCTCCCCAGCTTGGCAGTTGTCATGAAACCTACAGTCCCCATTCCCAGTGTGGGATCCTGGCTCTGTGCTCTGGAGGGAGCATAGCAGACCATATTTGCAAATTATTGTATACATCTGTTGTTTAAACCAGACTGGGAGCTACCTACATGACTAATGTACGGGGCTTAGCTCTGATCTGTCTACTTGGATCTCCCCAGGCTGGAAAAGCCATGAGCATTGCTTGAAAACCATTTGTGAAAACATGGATGGACCTAGAGGGTATTATGCTAAGTGAAATAAGTGAAAGACAAATACCATATGATTTCACTCATTTGTGGAATTTAAGAAACAAAACAAAGAAAAAAGAGACAAACAAAAAGACTCTTAACTACACAGAACAAACTGGTGCCTGCCAAAGGGGAGGTGGGTAGGGGGATGGGTGAAATAGATAAAGGGAATTATGAGGACGCTTATTGTGATACATAATGTATAAAATTATTGAATCATTACATTATACAACTAAAACCAACGTAACAAAATAAATTTTTAATTAAAAAAATTTTTCAGGTGAAAAAAAATCCATTATTTCAACAAAAAAATCACAAGGCATACAAAGAAATAGGAAGTAGGAAAGGAGAGCCCATTTAAAGAAATAAAATATACTGGCCGAAACAGTTCGTGAGGAAGCTCAGAGAGTGGAATTACTAGACAAAGACTTCAAACAACTGTCTTAAATATGCTAGAAGAGCTTAGAGACAAATGAAAACAGAAGCACAGCGTACCCAAATTTATGAATGCAGCAAAGGAAGCACTGAGAGGAAAATACGTAGCAGTAACCACCTACATTAGAAAAAGAAGACTGGGGGGGGAGAAGAGACTAGAAAACCACTACCAAACACATGCTTAAGAATTAACAGCAGTCGGGGCACCTGGGTGGCTCAGTCGTTAAGCATCTGCCTTCAGCTCAGGTCATGATCCCAGGGTCCTGGGATTGCGCCCCACATTGGGCTCCCTGCTCAGCGGGAAGCCTGTTTCTCCCTCTCTCACTCCCCCTGCTTGTGTTCCCTCTCTCGCTGTGTCTCTGTCAAATAAAATCTCAAAAAAAAAAAAAAAAAGAATTAACAGCAGTCTATCTCAAACTCTTCCAAGAAACAGAATGGTAGGGAATATTTCCTAACTCATTCTAGGAGGCCAGAGTGCTCTAATACCAAAGAAAATAAATATACCACAGGAAAATTATAATACTCAATGCCCCTTAGGAATATAGATTTAAGGGTGCCTGGGTGGCTAGGTCAGTTAAGTGTCTGCCTTTGGCTCAGGTCATGATCCCAGGGTCCCGGGATCAAGCCCTGCATCCAGCTCCCTGCTGGGGTGGGGTGGTAGCCTGCTTCTCCCTTTCCCTCTGCAGCTCCCCCTACTTGTGCACGCTTGTCTCTGTCAAATAAATAAAATCTTGAAAAAAAAAAAAAAGGAATACAGATTTAAAACTCCTCAAAAAAGTATGAGCGAACTGAATGTAAGAGCTTATTAAAAGTATTATATACCATGAGCAAGTAGGAGTTATCCCAGGAACACAGGAGTGGGCCAATATAAGAAAATCAATCCATGTAACACATCACATTAATAAGACGAAGGAAAATACATGATCATTTCAATAAACACAGCAAAGGCATCTGACAAAATTCAATCTCCTTCCATGATAAAAAAGTCAGAAAAACATGAGTACATAGGACCTTACCCAACACAATAAAGGTAATTTATGAAAAACCCCCAGGTAACAACATAATGTTGAAAGAACGGAAGCTTTCCCACTAAGATCAGGAACAAGATAAAGATGCCCACTTTCACCCCCGCTATTCAACACTGTATTGAACTTCTAGCCGAGTAATTAGACAAGAACTAAAAGGCATCAAAATCAGAAAAAAAGAAGTAAAACTGTATCATAGATGACATGATTCTATACACATATAAACTCCCAAAGAATCCAGAAGAAATCTACTAGTAACAAATAAATTAGCAAAACTGCAGGTCACAAGATCAGCACACGAAAATCAATTGTATTTCCATACACCAGCAACAACAATCTAAAATGGAAACTAAGAAACCAATTCCATTTACAATAGCATCTGAAAGAATTAAATACCTGGGAATAAATTTAACCTAAAATACAAAAATCTTGTACACTGAAAACTGTAAAAGCAAGGATAAAAGAAATGAAGTCCACATAAATGGAAAGACACCCCATGTTCATGGATTGGAAGACAAATTGTTGAGATGTCAATACTATCTAAATGATCACATATTCAATGCAATTTTATTCAAAATTCCAATAGTCTTTTTTGCGTAAGCGGGAAAGCTGGTCATTAAATTCATAGGGGAATTGCAAGGCGCCCCAAATAGCTAAAACGATCTTGAAAAAGAAGAACAAAATTGGAGGATACCCACTTCCAGATTTCAAAACTTACTACGAAGCCATAGTGGTCAAAACAGTGTGGTCCGGCGTAAGGGCAAACCAAGGTACAGAATGGAGAATCCATAAATACATCCACACATCAATGGCCAAATGATTTTTGACACGGATGCCAAGTCCATTCAATGGGGAAAGAATTGTCTCTTCAACAAGTGGTAATAGAACAACTAGATTTCTACATGCCCAAGAATGAAGCTGAACCCCTACCTCACACCATATGTAAAAATTAAAATGGATCAACAACCTAAACAGAAGAGCTAAAACTATAAAACTCAGAATAAAACATAGTGGTAAATCTTCATGAGCTTGGAGTTGACAATGGATTCTTATATAAATCACCAGAAGCTTGAGGAATAAAAGAAAAAAACAGATAAATCAGACTTCATCAAAATTAAAAATTTTTGTGCATCAAAAGACATTATCATGGGCGCCTGGGTGGCTCAGTTGGTTGAGCGACTGCCTTCGGCTCAGGTCATGATCCTGGAGTCCCAGGATCGAGTCCCGCATCAGGCTCCCCCTGCTCGGCGGGGAGTCTGCTTCTCCCTCTGACCCTCCTCCCTCTCATGCTCTCTGTCTCTCATTCTCTCTGTCTCAAATAAATAAATAAAAATCTTAAAAAAAAAAAAAAGACATTATCAGGAAAGTGAAAAGACAATGTACAGAATGGGATAAACTACTTGCAAATCATACATACTGATTCAATATCCAGACTATATTTGCAAATCATATAATAAGAGCTCAATATTGAGAATGTATAAAGAACTCCTACAGCTTAACAGCAAAAAGAGCAAAGAACTTGAATACACATTCTTCCAAGAATGTATACAAATGGTTAATAAGCAGAAGAAAAGATGTTCAACAGCATTAGTCATTAGGGAAATGCAAAAACAAAACCACAATGAGATACCACTTCACATCCATTAGGATGGCTATAATAAAAATTTAAAACAAAACAGAAAATAACAAGCATAGGTAAGGATCTGAGAAAATTGGGACTTTTGTGCATTGCAGGAGAAATATGAAATGGTGCAGCTGCTGTGGAAAACACTTTAGCAGTTCCTCAAAGAGTTAAACATAGGATGATTAAAGGACCCACCAAGGCCACTCCTAGGTATATTCCCCAAAGAACTGAAAACACTCAAACACATACCCATAAACCTATGTGCACTGCAGCCTTATCCACAATAGCCAAAGATGGAAACACAAGTGTTCATCAACAGTGAATAGATTGTAGTACATATATATATATATATATATAATGGAATATTATTCAGCCATAAATAAGAATGAAGTTCTGATACATGATTCATGTACACGGGATGAACCTTGAAGACATTATGCCGAGTGAAACAAGCCAGACACAAAACAACAAATACTTTATAATTCCACTTATATAAAATATCTAGAATAAGCAAATTCATAGAGACAAGAGATAGATTACAAGTTATCAGGAGCTGGAGGAAAGGGGAAATGTGGAGTTATTGTTTAATATGTATAATGGTTCTGTCTGAGGTAATGAGAAAGTTCTGGAAACAGATAATGGTGATGGTTGTGCAACACTGTGAACATAATTAGTGTCACTGAACTGGACACTTAAAATGGTTAAAATAACAAATTTTATGTTATATATTTTACCATAATACAGAAACTTTTTAAAAAATTCAGTCAATGTGGGACACCTGGGTGGCTCGTCAATTAAGCATCTGCCTTTGGATCAGGTCATGATCCCGGGGTCCTAGGATCGAGTCCTGCATCCCTCTCCCTGCTCAGTGGGGAGCCTGCTTCTCCCTCTCCCTCTGCTCCCGCCCCCCACCCCCGCTCGCTCCCTCTCTCCTGCTCTTTCTCTCAAATAAATAAAATCATTTAAAAAAATTAACTGAATGAAAATAAAGACTGAATAACTATATTCACATGATTTAAATTAAAATAAAAATTATAGGATATTAATAAAAACATGACAAAACAAAATGGAAAAAGATACTCTTTGTGTGCTTTGAAGAACTCACATTTGAAGGCAATGTTATGTAGTAATCAGAAAACAAGTAATAGAAACATCATCAAAATCAATGGAAAGGAATAAAGATGCTTAAACTGAATATACACCCCAAATCTATAGTATACTGTGATTTATAATAAGAAATAGATACATGGTCTTCATCCCTGTTTCTGGCACAAAGCTCCTAAAACTCTAGGAACACCAGTGATGAGGGAAATAAAAATGTCTCTATCTTCTGAAAGCACCTAGGTCACCTGAGGATGGGGGCTGGCTGCCTGGAGAACCAACCTTGTGATTAGAGGGTTGGAATTATCAGTCACCCTCCTCCAATCTCTGGGGAGGGAGGAAGAGATGGAGATTGTATCAATACCCAACAGCCAGTGATGTAATCAATCATGTCTCTGTAATGAGGCCTCCATAAAAACCCAAAAGGACCAGCTTTGGGAGCTTCCAGGTTGGTGAACACATGCAGATGTGGGGAAAGTGGTGCTCTTGGAGAGGGCAGGGAAGCTCCATCCCCTTTCCTAATACATCCCTTCCATCTGGCTGTGCCTGAGCTATATCCTTTTATAATAAACTGGTTAGTCAGTAAACAGGTTTCCTGAGTTCTACGAATTTCCTGAGTTTAGCAAATTAATCAAACTCAAGGAACAGGGTCCTTGGAACCTGCAGGGTAGAGGGGGCTGGTCAGAAGCACAGGTGATAATCTGGGCTAGTGACTGGCATCTGAAGGGAAGGAGGGGCAGGCAGTCTTGCAGGACTGAGCCCTCAGTTGTGGGATCTGACACTAATCAACTATATATGAGTTGAACTGTAGGACACCCAGCTGGTGTCTGGAGGATTCTTTGCATGTGTGTGTGAGAAACACCACCCTCCCCATATACAGGTGACCAGAACTGCTAGTGACATATATATTTCAAGCCATCTAAAATTCACTAATTTTAAAATGTTGAAGACCCTTAGTACTTAGTATTTCTAGAGTTGGAGAAATAGGTAATGCAATTTTTAAAAAATACTGGGTAGATACATATTAAAAAGCAAAAATAAGAAAGCAATACTCATGCTTCTACCTCTTGAAATTATGTAAGTTTTCAATTAAGATAAGGTAGAAAAAACAACTTATATATTAGTCTAAATATATCATGTACCTTTTGTTGATATAATGAATCAAAGTATAGATAACATCTCGAAGGACAAAGGCCCAAGCTCCTCCTAAGGCACTTTTAATATCTTTCAGTAATAAAGTAACAAACAGGTGATATATTTTAAGAATTCTGTGCTTTTTATAAACATTATTTGTCTCAGCGGCTTGCTCACATATGGCTAGAAGAATTTTCTGATAGGAATCCTAGAAAATAAAGACATTTCATAAAAAACTTATCGAATCATGTATATTCAACTATAATAAATCTGTTTTATATTCAAAACAACAAATTAACAGAATTTTGTTTTGTTGTAATATCAAAGGCAAATATTACATTAAGAAAATTAGTATCTTAAACTGTTGTCAATTTATCTAGCTTTCAGATAGCAAACAGTAATTTTAAAAAATATATACTCCCTAAGCCAATATATGACTAAAGTACCATGAAATTCAGGTCTCATACATGACATATTTCAATTAATATCTACAAGTAAAATACCAAGATATAAACTTATAAATGAGTGTTTTTCTTTTTAATTTATTCAGATGAGTTTTCCCTTTAATTTTCGTTCTTTTTAAGATGTACTTACACAGATTTTCTAGCTGAAAAAGAAGGAAGTCTCTCTTCAGTTATTATAATAGTAATGTGTACTTACAGGGCTTTTGGAAAGAATTTCTAAAATGCTTTTAAGCTTGGTTTTATGGCAGTTGCTGATATAGGCAAATGTTGCTTTAATCACATGTGATGGAAAATGAGGTGGATTAGGAGCAGGATCCAAATCCCTGAGAGTTATAGGGAAAAAAAGCAGTCATCATTTTCAGAACAAAATTATTAAGGAAAAAAAAAAAAAGATTCTGTTGAAGTCAAGTTTCAGAAACCATGAAGTTTCAGAAAGAAAATTTAGATTAATAACCCCATGTTCTAAAATTACTTTCCCACTGAAAAACTAGGCTTTCAATAAAATCACAAATGACTTATCACATCCTACACATTATCAGTCAGACTATCTAAATACCTTTACCCTCTATGACTTAATTTTAAGTGATGTGCTTAAGAAATCTTTTATGAAGGGGTGCCTGGGTGGCTCAGTCGTTAAGCGTCTGCCTTCAGCTCAGGTCATGATCCCAGGGTCCTGGGATCGAGCCCCGCATCGGGCTCCGTGCTCGGCGGGAAGCCTGCTTCTCCCTCTCCCTGCCACTCTGCCTACTTGTGTTCTCTCTCTCTGTATCAAATAAATAAATAAAATCTTAAAAAAAAAAAAGAAAGAAAGAAATCTTTTATAAAGTTAATGGCAATTCTACAAATGAGGCTTGTTATCACTTCGGGTCTTAATTAAAGCTCTATGTTACTACTGTAAACACACTAATATTCTGAGACTGGCAATCAGACACTCTTTTTATCAAATGAAATTATAAACTGAACATACTTTGGTAGATATTATTACTTTTTCATACAGCTAGCATAGTAGGGCACACTGTAACTAAAGGATGCTCTCCAGTAGCTCACACAAGAAACACAGTATGTGCCTACAAACTGAAACAGACATTTGAAGGTGTCAACCAATCAAATTCCCAAGGAAATTCTGAAATTGCAGCAAATTCTCTAAGTTTAAAATATCCATACCCTGAAAAGTCACAGAGGTCCGTGCTTTGGCTGGCACCAGAAGTTGCTGGTTCATGTAATGTCATCAATAACTCCACAACAATCTCTGGTAAATTAGTAAGGAATAAATGATCAATCTGTAAGGATACAAAATTAAAGTAACATTTAAGTTTTGGGGCACCTGGGTGGCTGTCGTTAAGCGTCTGCCTTCGGCTCAGGTCATGATCCCAGGGTCCTGGGATCGAGCCCCACATCGGGCTCCCTGCTCAGCGGGAAGCCTGCTTCTCCCTCTCCCACTCCCCCTGCTTGTGTTCCCTCTCTCACTGTGTCTCTCTCTGTCAAATAAATAAGTAAAAATCTTTTAAAAAATAAAATAAAATAACAGTTAAGATTATGTCTGTGACCTTTAAGACAGTTCAAGGGACTAAAATTATTGCATCATTTCCAAAATTGATGAAATAGATAACCAAAGACCTAAGATGTGCAAGACATACAGCTAACTTTCTACTATGCAACCGACCTGTAGCCTGAGAGGCTGGTAAGGAAATGATACCAAACAAGACTCCCTTAATCTGACTCTTGTTTAATTTTAAAGAATCAGGGGCGCCTGGGTGGCTCAGTCAGTTAAGTGTCTGCTTTCGGCTCAGGTCATGATCCAGGTCCTGGGATCGAGTCCCTGCGTCTGGCTCCCTGCTCAGCGGGGAGTCTGCTTCTCCCTCTCCCTCTGCCTCTCCCCCCGGCTTGTGCTCATTTCACTCACTCTCTCTCAAATAAATAAAATCTTAAAAAAAATAATTTTAAAGAATCATTTTAATTGACTAAGGCTTCAGGTGCAGCACTGAATTCCTCAACCTAGTGATTTTCCGGCTAACCAAATTCCCCACTGAGCTACACTGCTTCTCAATCTGCATTTTACTCTTCACTTACGTGGAAAATCTATCTCACTTAACAATACTTTACTAGTAAGAATTGCCAGTGACTTTGCCTGCATGACTTTTGCCCAGATTCCTACTTGGCTGATATTCCAAATCTGGAGCTTCACTGCTACCCCCATGCGCTGTCCTCAACAGTAAACTGAAATCCTCCCGGACAGGAGCAGGTTCTTCATTGACCCACTTCCTGTACCCACAGCCTCTCAGAGGACAGATATTCTCTAACTATAAAGAATCGGTCTGCTCCACTATACCTCACCCAAATAAACGACAATCGTGGAGATAAAGTTGGTTTATTAGCTCTCCAAGTAAGGAATAACAGTGCTCTAAACTAAATGGTAAATGGCTGATTGACTTGGTGCATAAGATTTGAAAACACACTTCCTCACAACAGAAACAGTTTAAAATGTGACAAGAAAGAAATCGAATGTACAGATCCTAGTCTTTCCTTCACGCTTATACATCAGTCATTCAAGTCATCATTTCCAAGGGTTTCAGCCCTTTTAAGAATCCAGCCTCATTTCAAAGTATATCTGGGATAAGGAAGGATAAACTGGCCGTGTCTGTTTAATATCAGAGGAAACATTAATGAATTTCCTTACACAAAGAATGACAAGTGGCTTCATGAGTTTTGTATCATTCTACAATAAGCAAGATCTGTAATGTTTATCTAAGGGACATGTAAGTTATGCAGATGTCTAGGTACAGCTAACCAATGTTGTAACTGTTAATATTTCAGGCTTTTGACAGACAAATGACAGATTTTAGAGGCTCAGAGACTAATAATAATTGTACCAACCCTTATGCAGAGAGGAAAGAATCTTAGAGGATTGATTCAGAGAAAGTCTATACTAGAGAACCAAAGAAAAAACAAACTTATAACAACTTAATGCCAAATGGAATTGAGACTAACAAGAATTTAGGTCTTTAACCAAGAAGCTAAGAAATTATCATTCAGGTTTGCCTCTCTCCATTCTTGACACTGATGTTTCAGTCAGGTCTCAATGTAATTATTTTTCCCCTCCTAGACTTACTCTGACTCTGCAAACTGCTCTCTTTTAGTTTGAATACATTTGGGTTTTTTTAACATTTTATTTTTAAAGATTTTATTTATTTGTCAGAGAGAGAAAGCATAAGCAAGCAGAGTGGCAGGCAGAGGGAGAGGGAGAAGCATACTCCCCATTGAGCAGGGAGCCTGACTAGGACTCGATTCCAGGATCCCGAGATCACGACCTGAGCCTAAGGCAGACATTTAACTGATGAGCCACCCAGGGGTCCCTAGTTTGAATACTTTTAAAAAGTAGTAAGATTAGGCCTGCTTAGAAGCAGGGAGATGGCTGGGAGAGGATAAAAGCAGGGTCTTTCATAGATTCTATAACCTCTGGAGCACCAACATTCTGTTTCAACTGTGTTTTGAGAAAGGAGCTCCTCATTTGCCTCCAAAGTGACTTAGAACTAGCTCCAACTGGCCGTGGTCCACCGGGGCAAGTAAGAAACTCCATGTTCCATTTCTTGGTTCAATACAGTAACCGGGCAAACAAAAAAAGTCTCTTTCAAGTTCATCCAATCGTAATTTTAATATTAGCCTACTTGGTTAGTCATCCCTTACTTAAATTTAAAAAAACAAAACAAAACAAAGCTTGAGAGTAACTAATTTCTTTTACCTTAAAAAAAAGTTTATCTATGTGTTTTAAGTTCCCTCAAATAATTTTGGATGTATATAAATTACTATAAAACAAACAGAAGTTGTTAGATTCTTTTTTACTTGACTCCATCTTTTATCAAATAATGAGTATTCACTACATACTAGGAAGCCAGGATACACCGGCAAAAAGGAAAAAAAAAATCCTACCTTCAGAGTACTTTAGCAGAGAAGACTGATAAACAATGAACATGATTCATAAGTAAATTATATTACATGTAGTCAGTCTCATAGAAAAAAGAAAGAGCGGGGCATCGGAACTTGAGATCATACTTCTTGAAAAGTAAAGAGGAACACTTTCTATACACTGTTCAGTACTGCTTGAATTTAACATCCGGTTTGCATTCATTTATTACTGCCAATTAAAATAAATTTTAAGGGGGAACAAACTGATCGACTTTCAAGTCGACGCAGGTGGAATATATTCGGTATTTAAACTAATTTAAGTTTGTTGGTTTAATTAAGATAGACATGTCTAGAGTTATCAGCATTAAATATGAAACTTTTATCTAGGTTTGCTAAAGGTCAAATAAGTTCATTATTATCTCTGTTGCAATTTTTTAGCAAAAGGATGACTTAAAATGATGATAATTTTCTGTCTCAAAGTTTTCATGGGTGATTGTTAAGACACTCTTTGGTAACCTACGACTTTAAAGTTTTGCTTGGATAATAAATGGCACTGAATTCATTGGACATCTAGGTCTTTTTCAAATGAAATAAGATACTAAAGCATTGATTACTGAAGGCAGGTTTGTGCTTTTGGCTTCTTACTGCAGAGAAACGAAGAATATTTGAGTGTTTGAAAACACGCTTTGTGTTTAATAGATTCATAAATTTGCCATCTAAAGGTATCTGGTGTGACATTCACAATTGGTTTCTAATGTAGTTTTCACTGGAGACCAAGGTTAAAACTGATAGAAATAAGGGAAACATCTATTAATGAAAAAGCTGTAAAAGGTTTATGAGGGGAAATTTTTTGAAAAGAATTTTATATGCTGTCAGGACTAAAGTTGAAACGAATCGATATTAAAAGTACACTGGTATAAGACTGAAGTTTTGCTTTTTTCTCTGTTCAAAGATAGTTTTCTTCAATTGCTGGTTTGCACTTGATAAGAAAATGTAAACAAAGGTTTTTTTCTTTTGTCTGCCCTGAGAACCGGTTTCTACGTTTTGTCTTTATCAAGTCTTTCATCACACCGTTAAAACTTTAAATTTTAAAGGAGCCAAGTTTTGCTAACAACTATATAACCCTACATATTTGCCTTTGGAATCTCTTTCTGCCACTTTGGTTAAATAAATAATTACATTTTGAGCTTTGTAATGATCTGTAATCCACTATTCAGGCTCGTGTTTTATAATTTTCTAAGGTTTTTTAAACAAACTTCTCCGGATTTAAATTGTAAATGGAGTCTCTGACTCATTAGGCCTTCTTATTTGGTATGTTAAATTACTCTGGAAGCACTGTCAAATACTGATAAGCTTTAGATTATATTTGGGTAAATGCTGTAACTATTCTAGAGAATATATGTAATTCCTGAAGTTTTGGTAATAAGGTCATCACTTCATGCTCTAATTATTAAAGTGTTATGTTTCACAGAAATAACCGGATGTCCTTGCAGCTATATTGTAACCTATCATCAGATCTTTAACCATGTCCATTTTGGAGTCTTTTCTCATTTACAGTCAATTCTTACTCTCTTGAGACACGTCTCATCTTCAAGGAGATTCATAAAAAGGGCTTTTGACAAATACAGATTTTGGTATCTTTAAGATCCTAAAACTAAAACTGGTAGAATTTCCAGAATTAACTAAAAAGCTGCATTCAAACTGAACAAGAGTTAGTAACATGGATGGTTTTCGTAACTCTTGTTTGAAACATTGCTGGTTCCTGGGGTGCCTGGGTGGCTCAGTAAGTGACGCGTCAGACTCTTCATTTCAGCTTAGGTCATGATCTCAGGGTTGTGAGATGGAGCCCCACAGAGGACTCTGCTCAGCAGGGAGTCTACTTGAGATTCTCTCTCTCCCTCTGCCCCTCCCCCTGCTCATGCTCTCTCTCTCTAATAAATAAAATCTTAAAGAAAATATTCCCCACCTGACCAATGTTGACCCATAGGTAGGGACATCTCTACACCCCTATTCAGCAGGAAGAAGTTATAAAAGATAAGACCTTCCACCCTCAGCAACCTTGAAGATTTAAGGGTCAAAACTGTTCAGGGGGAATGATGTGGGAAACAAAGGCAGAAGGAAATGTAGATAAAACTAAATTTCCTTATAACCTGCACCGAATAACAAATACTTGAAATAGGCAGAGTATAACATTCCTCCAGGAAACTCCCAACTGTCTTAATGTTAATGCCCTGCTAAGGGAAAAACCTTAGCTTGACAACAGCCAGGCCTCCCCTATCCTGTGAGTCTTCTTTAGTGTATGAAAATCCTTTTGGAACTTCACTTTGTCTTTACTTCCCCCAGCCCCAAAGTCTATCATGTTGCTCCTCACAATCCCGGGGCCGCAGCTCTTTAGGCCCACGGGGCCTGTCTCCATGCTTTAATAAAACCACCTTTTTGCAACCCCCCCCAAAAAATGAAATAATAAAAAAAATTTTTTAAAGGAAAAAAAATCAATAAAATTATTCCAAAGTTTTTTTTTAATTTCTGATAAAAAACATTTCATTTAAAAGCCAATCAAAAGAAGAGAACACTGTAATAACAGCAATAAAAAAATTCACGGATTGCCTATGCTAGACAGGGATTACTACATATTAAATTTTACTGCATAAATGATGAATAGTCTTAAAACTACAAAGTTATATGTCCATTGAATTGGGGATGATAAGGACGGGGAGCCTGGCTGGCTTAGTCTAGGGGTCATGAGTTCATGACCTACCCAGCGCTACGCTGGGCCTGGAGCCTACTTTAAAAAAAAAAAAAAAGAAGGAAAGAAAGAAGTAGAGGATAAGTAGGTACAAGGGAAGCCATACCTGTTTTCCTAGTAAATTTTCATCTTTCAGCATATCATAGACTTTGGTAGCAGTCTCTCTCTGCTGTGCCATCCCACTGTCTCCTGTACCCTCGTAGGCAAAGTAAGGAAGAATATTTACAAGAATCTTTGGAAAGCAGTGTGTTAGAAGACTTTTCCAATCCTCATCAATCTGATTAGCAATGGACTTCACCTCATCGAAACGACTTCTAATCACCAGATGTGGGATCAAAACCTTGTAACATGATCTGAAAATGTAAAATTTTGCAATATATGTTATATATAACTTCTCATAGTCAAATTTTATAATATAGCTCTTAAAATAATGAAATGCTTTATTTAGTAAGCATGAGAGCATCACTTTATCTAGATCATTAAACATTCTTATTCTAATTCTATAAATGGAGAAATGAAGTTAAACAAATTCTAAATAATCAAATACAGGAGGAAACAGATCTGAGAATATAATAACCACCCTGATTCTATGATCAAAAAGTATGAACTGAATTTATTTCTTCTGTATAACCGACTGATGCAAAATTATTTCATTTATGTAAAATGAAATGTGAAAGAAATTTACGAATTCAAGCCATTAATGTTAAATACTTTTATTGCCAAAATGAAAGAACAAGGGCCACTGAATAATTATGAACTGTTTTCCCATCATCCTGATATCTAAACATTATTTAGTTGTTCCAAACCTCCCCGTTTTCAAAATTTTCTTCTCAAGAGTTAGGAGTTAGCAAAATAAATATTTTTACATTAAACTTTAAATCTAATAAAAATAATGACAAAATGGTCCATAGCCAAGCAACAGCAACGACGAACAATTTATCTTTGATTTGTCATAGGGAAGATTATCAAACATTAAAGCTGAAAGAGCCCTTAAAGAGCCATGTGATTCCCTTACTGTACAGACTAAAAAACCAAGGCCCAGGGGGTGTTTCCATGGCTTTTGCCCAAACTCACACAGCTCATCACCGGCACAGCCAGGGCCAGATCCTAAGCCTAGTGATTCCCTTCAGTACACTTCAGTTCAAACAAGCAGTCCTGCCTCTCCTACCACACAGCCTCCCAGCTCCGTGCCTGCGTGCGTGTGTGTGTGCATGCGCGCATGAATGTGCGTGTAAGGTGGGGGGAGGGGGGCTGCCAAACATTTCCATCTAATTTAAAATGAACATATTTCATATGTGCCATATGTAGACCTACCTATAGAAATCCTCAACATTTGTGTAGTTTAGTAAAATAAAAGGAAAAGAATATAAGCTATGTTCAGTATCTTGAAGATTAAGCCATTCCAAAACCAGATAATCCAAATGAGAAGCCATGAAGTCTTCTAAACGTCTGTATCCAAAAGTTTCAGAAACTTTCTCTAAAACCTGAACAAATCAGAAAGAAATCAATGCTTTAAGAAAGCAATGAAAAAAATAAATCCCTTAAATTCTTTTATTTACAGTATAACTTTGAAGCAATCATTCAACCATTCTATAGCTTGATTTCCTCATCTAGAAGAGGATAATAAAAGTACCTAGACTTCAGAGAGACTAAATGAGAAACACATATTTAATATAATTAGCCCTGAGCATGGCACACAGAAAACACTTAATAAATGTTAAATGAATAAAAATGGAAAAATATAGTGTAATGTTCAACCTTTGATTATATTTCAAAGGAAGGTCTAAAGTAAAATAATTCTTCTCAGTCCTAAATCTAAATGAGAAAAATCCAACCACTATAATCCACTTTTAATATTAGGTAGTGTAGGGGCGCCTGGGTGGCTCAGTCTGTTAAGTGTCCGACTCTTAAATTTGGCTCAGGTCATGATCTCAGGGTTATGAGATGGAGCCCAGAGTCAGGCTCTGCATTCAGGGCGGGGGGGTGGGGTGGGGTGGGGGTTGGGGGGTGGGGGTGGGGGAGGCGGTATCCGCTTGGCATTCTCTTCTTCTCCCTCTCCCTCCACTCCTCCCCTGCTCCCTCCCTAAGATAAATAAATCTTTAAAAAATAATAATTAGGTAGTGTAGCAGTATACTTAAAAAACTTATTTTAATACTGAGAGGTGAAAGATTAGCTCGTGTAAGGCTGATTACCTACAGGTCGGCCTATTATCCAGTTCCATGGAAACCATGCTGGTAGAATGCTGAATGGTCTATCAGGCCACTGATCTATCACTGGTTCATCACATGAACATCTACAATGGAAAGGTCTGGACCTTTCCAAACCATGAACGCTAGGTGGTGGAACAGGGCAGAGGCGAACACTCTCCAACACCGTGCTGATGTAACTGCACGACTGGACCCAAGTGTTCCTTCCCTAGTCGTGTGACTTAAAAGTTTCACAGCTCTATGATCTGACTTCTGGCCCTGCTAGATCCCAAGGTTGTACCCCAGAATCTATCAGGCAAAACACTTGCTACTGGCTCTTTGTTCCATGTGTTTTCCTCAATAAAAGCAATTCCAGAGGGCAGGGGTCTGGATGAGACGTCATTCATCCCTGCTTAGTTCAAGAATACTTTGTGAAATACTTAATATAAAAAATGATACTGCATCCAAATAAACATATACTATTTAAAGAGTTACTACTTCCCAATATTCCCAATCTAAAAAATAAGACTGGGGGTGCCTGGGTGGCTCAGTTGGTTAAGCGACTGCCGTCTGCTCAGGTCATGATCCTGGAGTCCCTGGATCGAGTCCCGCATTGGGCTCCCTGCTCGGCGGGGAGTCTGCTTCTCCCTCTGACCCTCCCCACTCTCATGTGCTCTCTCTCATTCTCTCTCTCTCAAATAAATAAAATCTTTAAAAAATTTAAAAATTTAAAAAACCCAAAAAATTAAAAATAAGACTGTCTCCAAGTCTTTAACAAGTGCCACTTTAAAATAAGTTTTAGGGTGGGGGGATGGGTTAGCCTGGTGATGGGTATTAAAGAGGGCACATATTGAATGGAGCACTGGGTGTTATGCACAAACAATGAATCATGGAACACTACATCAAAAACTAATGATGTAATGTATGGTGATTAACATAACATAATAAAATAAAAATAAAAATAAGCTTTAACTTTTTAAATTATTTAAAAGTTACCCGAGGAGGATAATAAAAAATATTCATCTACATGTACCTTTTTAACGAGGTGAGGTTCTAATCCATTCTCTTTCACAGACTTGCACAACGCAAACAAAGCCTGTTTTTCACAGACTGGGCTACAGCATAAAATCACAGCTATCGTCATCAGTAAAACAGATTTTCTATTATAAATCTCATCCAAAAGTTCAGGGTTCTCAGCTCTGTGGGACTTGAAAAGAATTTTAAAAATAATAATATAATGTAAATATATAAACATTACAAATAAACCTATCAGTCTAGGGGCGTCTGGGTGGCTCAGTCATTAAGCATCTGCCTTCAGCTCAGGTCATGATCCCAGGGTCCTGGGGTCCACCCCGCACTGGGCTCCCTGCTCAGCGGGGAGTCTGCTTCTCTTTCTGCCCCTCCCCCTGCTTGTGTTTCCTCTCTCGCTGTCTGTCAAATAATTAAATCTTAAAAAAAAAAAAACTATCAGTCTAAAATATTTACCCATTATAACATTTAATGAGCAGCCATTAAGCAGTGTTAAATCCCACAGTGATGGAGTCAAGGGCAGAGATCTGAGAAAATATCAAAGTTTCTGTAGAGGGACAACTGGTTTTGATAAGATCTTATGGAAAGAATTCACAAGCCTTTCAGTGAAGTATAAAGCACTAAAGAAAAACAAAAAAGAACTTTCAAGAAGGACAATCTGATGGTTATCAGAGGGGAGGTGTGAATATGGGTTAACAGGTGACGGGTATTAAGGAGGGCACTTGTTATGATGAGCACCAGGGGATGTATGGAAGTGTTGAATCACTGTATTGAACACCTGAAACTAATGTAACACTGTAGGTTAACTAACTGGAATTAAAACAACTTAAATAAAAAAAAAATTGCAAGAAGATGAGAATGATTATAAGCTCCTTTTCCATGACCAAGTATGTATCCTAAGATGCTTTTATTATCTTTATTGATAGCTCTTTATACTTCAAAAAAGTCACATGTATTGTCAAAAGTAAAAATAAAATCCTAGACAACTAGGCAACTAGACAGAATAATACATGCTTCTAATTTAATGACCAATCATTATAATATCCCAACAAACGTAAACATTTTTTAACTGGCCATAATTGATAAAAGTTCCTCGGGGGGCCTGGGTGGCTCAGTCGGTGGAGCATGGGACTCTTGATCTCAGGGTTGTGGGATCAAGCCCTACATCGGGTGTAGAGATGACTTAAAAATAAAATCTTTAAAACAAAATAAAGTTTCTCTTCACATTTTGAAAACTCTGCTACTCACTGACCCTACTTCTGTTTTTCTGGAACAAGGAAAAGAGCTAAATTCCTTTACTAAACGGCCATCGCTGGCATGTTTGGAAATCGCTATGAGGCCCCCACTACGTCAGCTCCTCCATGGGCTCCTCAAGAGAAACACATCTACAGACTCCTTAACACCCTAGTTAAAAATCTGCTTTTACTCAGAACCAAACAAGCTGACTGCCCTCTATAACGTACAGAGGATCCCAGATCCAGAACAGTATGCTTCTATTAATGATGTCTAGGACAGACAGGCTCCCTGCTGAGCAAACACACAGAGGCTAAAGAACATGCCACTGAACAACCAATGGGTAAGTGAAGAAATCAAAGAGGAAATCAAAAAATATATGGAAACAAATAAAAATGGAAACACAATAATCCAAAATCTTTGGGACATAGCAAAAGCAGTTCTAAGAGGGAAGTTTATAGCAATACCTCAAGAAAACAACAAAAATCTCAAATAAGCAACCTAACTTTACACCAAATGGAACTAGAAAAAGAACAAACAAAGGCCAAAACTGGTAGAAGGAAGGAAATAAGAAAGACTAGAGAGGAAATAAATAAAAGAGACTAAAAAAAAAAAAAAAAAAAGAAAAGACCAATGAAATCAAGGGCTGGTTCTTTGAAAAGATTGACAAAATTGATAAACCTTTATTTAGCCAGACTCATCAAGGGAAAAAAAAGAAGACTCAAATAAATAAAATCAGAAACGAAAGAGCAGAAATAACAACCGGCAGCACAGAAAGACAAAGGATTATAGGAGAATAGTATGAAAAACTATATGCCAACAAACTGGACAACCTAGAACAAATGGAGAAATTTCTAGAAACATACAGTCCCAAAACTGAATCAGGAAGATACAGAAAATGTGAACAGGTTACTAGTAAAGAAATTGAGACAGTTATAAAAAGACTCCCAACAAACAGAAGTCCAGGGCCAGATGGCTTCACATGTGAATTCTACCAAACATTTAAAGAGATAATACCTACTTTTCTCAAACTACTGCAAAAAATAGAAGAGAAAGGAAAACTTCCAAATTTATTCTGAGGCCAGCATTACCCTGATACCAATACCAGACAGGAAGGAAGGAAGGAAGAAAGAAAGAAAAAAAGAACTACAGGCCAATATCCCTGATGAACACAGATGCAAAAATCCTCAACAAAATAATACCAAACTGAATTCAACAAGACATCAAAAAAGATCATTCACTGCAATCAAGGGGATTTATTCCAGGGATGCAAAGATGATTCAATATTCACAATCAATGTGATACATCATATTAACAAGAGGAAGAGTAAGAACCATATGATCCCCTCAAGACATGCAAAAGAACATTTGACAAAATACAACATCCTTCATGATAAACACTCTAAAAAAAGAGGGCTTAGAAGGAACAAACCTTCACATTATAAAGCCATCTATGAAAAACCCACAGCTAAGATTATACTCAATGCTGAAAAACTGAAAGCATTTCCTCTAAGAACAAGAACAAATAAAGGATGTCCACTCTTGCCATTTTTATTCAACACAGTACTGGAAGTCCTAGCTGCAGCCATAAGACAAGAAGTAAAAGTCATCCAAATTGGTAAGGAAGAAGTAAAACTGTCTCTATTTACAGATGACATGATACTACACACAGAAAATCTTGAAGACTCTATCTAAAAACTATTAGAACTCATAAATGCATTCAGCATACTGTTGCAGGATACAAAATTTATACACAGAAATCTGATGTACTTTTTTTTTAAGATTCTATTTATTTATTTGACAGAGAGAGAGAGAGAAACAGCGAGAGAGGGAACACAAGCAGGGGGAGTGGGAGAAGGAGCAGTCTCCCCACTGAGCAAGGAGCCCGATACAGAGCTCGATTCCAAGACCCCAAGATCATGACCGGAGTCAAAGGCAGACACTTAACCGACTGAGCCACCCAGGCACACCCCTCTGTTGCACTTTTATACACTAATAATGAAGTAGCAGCAAGAGAAATTAAGAAAACAATGCCATTTACTATTATACCAAAAAGAACGAAATACCTAGGAGTAAGTTTAACCAAAGAGGTGAAAGACCTATACTCTGAAAATGTAAGATATTGATGAAAGAAACTGAAGATGGCACAAAAAAATGGAAATATGGATCATGCTCTCAGATCGGAAGAATATTGTTAAAATGGCCATACTGTTCAAAGCAATCTACAGATTTAATGCAATTCCTATCAAAATAACAATAGCATTTTTCACAAAACTAGAATAATCTCATAAAATTTATATGGGACCAGAAAAGACCCTGAATAGCCAAAACAGTCTTGAAAAAGAACAAAACCAGAGGTATCACAATCCCAGATTTCAAGATATAATACACAGCTACAGCAATCAAAACAGTATGATACTGGCATAAAAGAAAGAAACATAGATCAATGGAACAGAAAAAAGAGGCCAGACCACATTTATATGGTCAAGTAGCCTACAACAAAGAAAGCAAGAATATACAATGGGAAACAAATAGTATCTTCAATAAAAGGTGCTGGGAAATCTGCCAAAAAAATAAAACTGGACCACTTTCTTATACCATACACAAAAATAAACTCAAAATGGATTAAAGATCTAAATGTGAGGAGTGCCTGGGTGGCTCAGTTGGTTGAGCATCTACCTTCAGCTCAGGTCATGATCCCAGGGTCCTGGGATCGAGACTCGGGTCGGGCTCCCTGCTCAGCAGGGAGTCTGCTTCTCCCTCTCCCTCCCCCTAGTTGTGCTTTCTCTCTCTCTCTCTAATAAATAAAATCTTAAAAAAAAAAAAACCACACATCTAAATGTGAGACCTGAAACCGTAAAATTTCTAAAAGAAAACAAAGGCAGTAATCTCTTAGACACTGAAATTAGCAACAATTTTCTGAATGTGTCTCTTCAGACAAAGAAAACTAAAGCAAAAATAAACTATTAGGACTCCACCAAAATAAAAAGCTTTTGCAAACCAAAGGAAACCATCAACAAAACTAAAAGGCAGCCTACTGAATGAAAGAAGATGTTGGCAAATGATATATCTGATAAAGAGTTAACATCCAAAATATTTATTAGAAAGAACTTCTACAACTCAACACCCAAAAAACAATTTGATTAAAAAATGAGCAGAGTACCTAAATAAGACATTTTCCCGAAAACATACAGATGGACAACAGACACAGTATCATCAGTGAAATGCAAATCAAAATCGGAGCGAGATACCTATCACCTTACACTTGTCAGAATGGCTGGTACCAGGAAGACAAGAAACAAAGAGTGCTGGGAGGATGTGGAAGGAAGGAAAGCCTCGTATACTGCTGCTGGGCATGCAAGCTGGGGCAGCCACTGTGGCAAACAGTACAGAGGTGCCTCCAAAAATTGAAAATGGGAATCCCTTATGATCTAATAATTTCACTACTGGGTACTTACTCAAACAAAAACACTAATTTGAAAGATATATGCACTTCTATGCAATATTTACAATATCCCAGTGATGGAAGTAACCCAGTGTCCAGTGATAAATGAATGGATACAGAAGATGTGGTGGGGGGGGGGGTATGTATGCAGGTGTGTGTGTGTGTGTGTGAGCGATGGAATATCACTCAGCCATAAAAAAATGAGATCTTGACATTTGCAACAACATGGATGAACCTAGAGGGTATTATGCTAAGTGAAATAAGTCAAAAAAAGACAGACACCAAATGATTTCACTTACATGTGGAATCTAAGAAACAAAACAAATGAACAAAAAATCAGACTTTAAATACAGAGAACTGGTGGTTGTCAGAGGGGAGATGGGTGGGGGAATGGGTGAAACAGAGAATGGAGACTAAGAGGTACAAACTTCATCTATAAAATAAGTAAGTTACAGAGATGGAAAACACAGCATAGAGAATATACTCAGTAACACTGTAATAATACTGTATGGTGACCGCACTTACCGTGACAGGCACCAGTAATGTACAGAATCACTATGTTATACACCCCAAACTAATATAACAACACTGTAGGTTAACCCGACTTCGATTTAAAAAAAATTTTAATAAAAAAAGAAAGCCATTTGTACTCCCACAAAAACTCAGTAAATTTTGTTTTTTCCCCCACAAAAAACAGTACATATAAGTTGAACCAAAAGAAGTTGCCATTATTGGACTAATTCTAACCAACTTCAATTAATTCACACAGTTGTTTTAGTAAACTGGTGGACGCAAACTGTCTTAGGCCACACTGGTAAAGTAACACATGGCATATTTGTAAGAAGAATGGGATAAAAGCAATTACGCATTGCTGAAATTACCACTTCTCTCATTCCTTCCTGAGCTTTCAAGTATGCATTTTCAAAAGCTGTTTGCTGAAGCTTCAAAGGAAGTGCTTTCAATAATGTGGAAGAACCTCTGTGTTTCATATCCTGGAATAACCTTTAAAAAAAAAAAAAAGTCAAATAATTTTTTACCTTAAACGTTATTTTCCAAAGCGTTATTATGGGACACAAATAAATCACACTGTGAGATATACTAGCATACTGGGCCTTCTTTCAAAAAACCCAGTGAAATCTAAGCCCATTTAAACAGGTTCAGATGCACTGGTTAGTATCTGGTCTTTAGAATATACTCCCTTTTCTCCTAGAACTGAAAGGGTCTCAAAAAATCTTTTAGCTTAGAGCCCAAACTTAAAAAGTCCTGAACTCCAACTAGCCCATAAAGAAAAATTATCCTGTGATCAAACACCAAGCCTTAGACTCCTGTCCCCCTGCTCTAATTTTAAAAAGTGATATCCCGGGGGCGCCTGGGTGGCTCAGTTGGTTAAACGTCCAACTCTTGATCTCAGCTCAGGTCTTGATCTCAGATCTTGAGTTCAAACCCTGTGCTGGGGTCCACGCTGGGCAGGGAGTCTACTTAAAAAAAAAAAAAAAAAAAAAAAAAGTGATCTTGTCCTGCAAAGTGGATAGCTTTATGCCTTGACGATCTATTTAATTTTTTTATGTGATGGAAAAGAGCTGACCAGTGTTCTCTGCATAATATCCTATCATATTTAAGGACAACTCTGATCAATTTTGTCCTTTCTGCTTTTTTAGTAACCAAAGCTTTTATACTTTTTGGTGTTCTCTGATTCCTCCAGGTTCTCCAACATCTCTTACAATAGCCCACTATTAAATATCAACAATAACCAAAAAGCAAAAAAATCCCAACAGATGTTATGTTCATGTCATTCTTGAATTTATGTATGTTTTAAATCTTAAAGAGGTTTTCCAAAGCCACCACTGCCCTGCTTTATTACATTTAACTTGTGGCTCTCCATATCCCCAGATCTTTAGCTTTGCTGTGTATTTTCCATCTTTTAAGGACTTGAAGTAAAGCTCACATTCATTAGTAACCCTTACACTCAAGTCCTGAAAAGCGTCCTATACCTGAGGGATTAGACACGATTCCGATTTGTGCACACGACTGTCAGCATATTCAAACTATGCACACACGTTAGGTTTATCTAACACATACATTTATGTGACTGCTGGGGCAATTTCTTTATAGCAATCTTTAATTACTGATTAGTTATAGCTGAATAGTAAAGTTACCCACCAAATGATTTTCAATTTTGGTGATTTTAAAAGCATAACGTAAGTTCCTTTTCCAAATATTCATTTATTTTATAAATTACTGAACACCTACCATATGCCATAATTTTTTTTGGTGCTGAGTATACAACAATGAACAAAACAGACAAAAAACCAATGCCTTCTAGCAGCTTCTATTTAAGCTAGATGTGCTACATTTAAAATGTAACATTTCAAGTGGTCATACATGCTACTGAGAAAAATAAAGGAGAGGTACTTTATTTGTAGGGAGTGGAAGGTGGGAAAGGCAGAGATAGGTTATAATTTAGATCTCAAAAATCAAATGGACAACCTGAGAAACATGCAGTCCTAAGGAATTAATCTTGCTTCTTCAAGTACTCAAACAGAACAGGTCTCTAGGACAGGATTACTCCAATGCCTAATTGTATGTTCACTCACATGAACGGAACAGTAATGAGCACACTGTGAAATGTGCTCCTTTTCATTTTATGAACTCCTATAAAATACAAAGTAACAGCCAAACAGTCCATGGTGTCCTGTCAGTGGGAGCAGACACACCTCATTCAACTCCACCACTTACTGGCCGCAGGGCACTGAGCTGGTTACTTTCTCTCTCGAAGTCACTTTTCATTTACAGACTGGAGGCAATAACAGTGTCTAAGTGACAGGACTGTCAGAATTAAGAGAAAGCAGGGGCGCCTGGGTGGCTCAGCTGTTAAGCGTCTGCCTCCGGCTCAGGTCATGATCCCAGCGTCCTGGGATCGAGCCCTGCATCGGGCTCCCTGCTGGGCGGGAAGCCTGCTCTCCCTCTCCCACTCCCCCTGCTTGTGTTCCTGCTCTTGCTGTCTCTCGCTCTGTCAAATAAATGAATAAAATCTTTAAAAAGGGGGGGGGGGCACCTGGGTGGCTCAGCCGTTAAGCGTCTGCCTCCGGCTCCAGTCATGATCCCAGGGTCCTGGGATCAAGCTCCGCATCTCGAGCCCCACATCGGGCTCCCTGCTCGGCGGGAAGCCTGCTTCTCCCTCTCCCACTCCCCCTGCTTGTGTTCCCTCTCCCGCTGTGTCTCCCTGTCAAATAAATAAATAAAATCTTTAAAAAAAAAAAGAATTAAGAGAAAGCATCCATGCCAGGTGTACAGTGGATCCTTGGCCGACGCTGGCTCTTTCTCGTGCCACAGCTAGGGAGCCACGGCGGCATCCCAGACTCTTCGTGAAGGCAGGACCCCTTACCTGTTGATTGACTCTGCAGCCAACATGCTCACTTGATGATGATTATCGGCAAGAAAATGTGGAAATGCTTCATTTACAGGAAAGTCTTTTCCCATTACATTAAGAATAGCCCATTTTGAATAAGGATCGGTCTATGGGAAAAGAACAACTGGTGTTAAATATGAAATACTAAGAGAAAAATCACCCGTTGACAAAAACAAACAAAGGCTACTTTAGAAATTTCACTGGAGACCTTACTAATAATTAACGTGGAATAACTCACCTCAAGCAAAGTTTTAAGGCACTTTACTAGTGCCATTCTTACAGAGAATGTGCATTTCCCCTCCTTTGCTAGGTGCCTGAAATACAGTAAGTGTTTCAAAGCCAAATTATTCCAGTAAAAGCACAGTCAAAAAAAAAAAAAATCATTGGATATTACTTATTCAATTTCTAATTATTCTTATCCTTCCAATTTCCATATTAAATTTAATTCTCATCATGTGGCATATGCCAGTCAATATTCTCAACTTTCGTAAAAGAAGTTAGTTTGAAAACGAGTTCATTTTAGGGGTGCCTGGGTGGCTCCGTTGGTTAAGCATGTGCCTTCGGCTCAGGTCGTCCTGGGATCAAGCCCCGCATCGTGCTCCCTGTTCAGCCGGGAATCTGCTTCTCCCTCTCCCTTCCTGCTCACGCTCTCTCTCTTGCTCTCTCTGACAAATAAATAAAATCTTTAAAAAAAAAAGGGAGTTCATTTTAATGTATCTTATTCATTTTATATGATTATACGTCATCTAGGGGCTATCACACTTCTGCTCACCAGGCCATAAACTTGCTTTAAAAGGAAAACATTTGTGAAGTTTTGTTCTTATATCAAAGATTTCAAAACCACGTTCTATACCAATTCAGAAGTCCTTATCAGTCAAGTGGGTTGGTGGGTTCTAAATCGCATACATGTGCTCCTCAGGGTCATAAAGTTACGTCACAGTCTGCGCATAAAATACACAGATGGTGACAAGGCCAGTGTGTTCAGTAGTTCTTCACACAATTGAGGAAAACAGGAGCTACATTCTACTATTGTTAAAGGTTGTATATAGTTACATTCAAGGATTAGCCAAGTCACTAAGGTAGAAATGCAAAGTCTGCAATTGTATCCAGAGTAGCAAAGAAAATTAAGAACTCTGCAAAATACTCTGCACCTACCAGAATGCTCCAATCACTGTCAGAAACTGCCCTTGAGCATCCCTTGTGTTTTCAGCATCCGTATCGCCTTGACATAGGTTCCTCACAACAGGAACGAAGTGGTTTAAGACTGTTTTACAAACATCCTGGTCACGGCGATACAAAGAACACACATTGCTGCAGTGGAAAAAGTTTAACTTTGTAAGTATAACAGAACATACCAGTTAGCTTATAAATTTAAAGTGAGGATAACAGATGGCTTTAATTTCTTACGATAGTGGTTTTAGAAGTTCAACAACCTCTTCCATTGGCAAAGGATATTCTTCTCCAGGAAGCTCCTTTAAAAGCACTAGATACTAAGATAATTGAAGAGAAAAAAATCATTTTTTTTCATAAATCATTTGCATATGTAACCATAAATTCATCCATGAACGCATGCACACGTACACAACACGCACACAAAAAAGACCAGTGAATTTTTAAAGGAGGCAGTGTAGTAAAAAAAAGTCTGAGGTTAAAGAGAGCTGGATTCAAGTGCCAGCACTACAACCTATTACTTGTGTGGTTAAAAAACTTGCCTTGTCACCTGAGCCTTTGTACTCTCACCCATAAAACGGGGATATAGCACACACCTGGCCAGATTACTATGAGGAATAAAGGAAAGAATGTAAATGTCTAGAATTTATTGTTGGAATTCAAGAAATAAGTAGTTGTTATCACTGCTGGGGTTAAGAGCCTGAGCAAGAATCTGAAACTACTGTTACATCCCTACCCTCCAAAAATAATGCCTGGGGATAAGACTTCAATAGTTACAAACTGACCTAGGAATGAATTTTGGACAGCAGAGATAATTGTGGGCAGGGAAAAAGTCATAAACACCTTGAGTTATCTTCCTATAGAGCAACCTTGTAGGGGTCTCTATGCTACTGTGGATACCAAAGAGCACTCAGCAACTACCAGCTACAATAATCATGGTAGTTACAACCAGGCAGCCAGTTTCGGAGAGTTGCCAAATCCCTTTCTAGCTATTAAGAAATCAGAAGACATTTTTTCCTACCATCTGCATGTAGAAAAATGTTTCTCACTCCTCAGATATAAAAGAAGACTAAACTGGGCCATTTTAAATATTTGCCTTGAGAGTGATACATGTGATGCTACTGAGTGTCTTGAACTGATGTGAAGCACCAACGCCTCAAGAAAAGCACCCAGCCCTCCTCACTGGCCCGGGCTGGAGACTTGACTAGTTTGCCGGGGGCAAAATCAGGGAATCGAACAGGGCTCAACCAAGCACATTTGCTGGGGTCAAAGGATCAACCAGCTTGTTCACTGCAGCTGGAACATGACAAGGGATTCTACCAAGGACACAACGTACATGACTGCAAGAGGTTCTACTCATGGAATCCCCTGGCATGTTTCCCAGGGCTGAGGAAACACAGGGATGTTTGCCAATTTTATGGGACTGGGGGCATGACCATGGACTCACGCACCATAACTGTGAGCCAGAGGCTCTCCCTCAATGTTCACCAATGCCGGGGCAAAGGGGGTGATGGCCTACATGGTCAGGAGGTATGTTACATATAAGTATTCTGAGTAAACAAGTAACTATATTGAAGGTAAGTGGGAAGCCAGCTTCTTACTGCTGGAAAAGGGAGCTACAAATATGGAAAGAGAAAAAAACAAATTCTACGATGTCGGACTGGAACTGAAGGTTTCATCTACCAGCAGATGGACAGACTGATGGGGACAGGGCAGGAGAGGGATTCCTTTTCTAACATTCTCACCAAAACCTAAATCTAATTACAGGAAACAGACAAACCTAAAGTGAGGGCTCCTAGAGAACAAGTGGCTATATTATTTAAAAATATGAAGGTCAGGAAAGAGAAGGAGAAACTAAAGAACTGCTCCAAGTTCAAAGAAACTGAACAGACTTGACAACTAATTGCAATGATACAATGTTAATTTCCCGATTAGCAGAGTATCTATAGGAGAGTATCACTGTTTCTGGCACATACCCTGAAGTATAAGGGGCATCACATCAGCAACTTAATCTCAAAATGTTTTGAACAAAAGACGTGTGTGTGTGTGTGTGTGTGTGTGAGAGAGAGAGAGAGAGAGAGAGAGAGAGAGGACGCGCGCGCGCATTCACACAGAAAGAGAAAATGGAAAGGCAAATTTGGTGAAATGTTAACTGTGTGAGTGTATAAAGGGAATAGGAGAATCCCTGTAGTACTGTAATTTTACTGTGACTTTGAAATTATATCAAAAAATATTTAAAGTGTATATTAACAAACTGGAATTAAAAAAACTTGGAAAGAAACAAAATACTTAAAGCAAAAACAAAACTTTAAAGCAAATAAACTAAGGTAAAGGCAAGATTCAGAGTTCAACTACAAAGTTATGTATTATTTTCACATCAGAGATTATGTTTCTTAGCCTACTTTAAAATAATTTATAATAATCACACCTGAAGATAATAAATCTATCCAAAGTCCATGCAAGTCTCAATGTTTCAGGATCCACTTAAAATTTTTTCACAGTACATTAAAAGAAAAAGTGTATTTTATAACTCGCATCAGACTCATTCCTAAGGAAGCAATTTCAAGCCATCAAAGGTACTACATGATTCTTGTATGTCAGTCTGCTACATTTACCCAGCAACAACAGACAGAACTGAGAATATGTCACTTTCCCTTAACTCACCATGTGTAGGTGGAGAGATCTGGTGGGGTCTAGCATGCTAGTGTCAATTAACATTAACAATTTCCTCCGAATATCAGCCGCTCTGAATGACACAGGACCAGTCTGAGCAGTAGTTACACACATACACAAGAACTTGAGCATGTCTAAGAAAAGTAGATCTTGCTTCGACAGATGTTCTTCAGCTAAAGGATTCATGGCACCTGAAAATAAAAAGCACTTATTAAAACTAAGAGAGGGATACAGGAAACACATATTGAACATTAGCTCAAATATAAAAAAAAGAAATAAAAGTATATGGAAAGCAAAATTACGGTGAAATTGATTACACACTAAAAGCTTCAAATTTCTTCATGAAAAGTTACCCTAGGATTCCATCATCCAGAAATAATCTATAGGAAAATCTATACAGACAAATTCATTACAATACTGATAAGTATAGAGAAAAAGGAATCTAAATTTCTGACAAGAAAAAATGGTCAACTGAATTATGATGTATGTTAACTGGGATATTATGAAGCCATTAAAAAGGATAATTATCAATACAAATAGCTTAATGAAAAACAACGCTTATAATTGTTAAAATGAACAAGGTATAAAAAAAGCATCTGAGGGGTGCCTCAGAATAAAAAATAAATAAATGGGGCGCCTGGGTGGCTCAGTTGTTAAGCGTCTGCCTTCGGCTCAGGTCGTGATCCCAGAGTACTGGGATCGAGCCCCGCACCGGGCTCCCTGCTCCATGGGAAGCCTGCTTCTCCCTCTCCCGCTCCCCCTGCTTGTGTTCCCTCTCTCGCTATCTGTCAAATAAATAAATAAAACCTTTAAAAAAAAAAAAAAGCATTTGAACGTTGATGCTGATTGTAATAATGGAAAACGGTTAAAAGTGATGGCCGTATGGGTGTCTTCCCTCTCCTGCTGTTTTCCAAATAACCCATCACATGGTTCTACTTCTTTAGTAAATATTTTAAATTCCTCTCATGAAGAATAAAATGAGTAATTAATAAAATTCAATTAATAATCAGAGAAATCTAATATATACAGAAGGGAACAAACTTCATAGACTATGTAAGGGAAAATAAAATGAGCATAAAATTGGTACGTATGAGGCCTTTTGTACGGCCAAATGCACACAAAGAGGTGAAAGCAACCCCAAGCAGTAAGTGCATCTTCACCGAAAGTGCTCTGGCCATCTCCAGACATGCCCGCTTCACTAGCACCAGGGTCACTGAATAGATTCATGGACGACTGATCCTCCACCTCCATCAGATTTTCATCAGGGTCGTCTTCCCCTGACTCTACTTCTCCAAAGTCAAAGGGCTTTCTGATAAAGGATGCCTTCAAAGAAGAAAAAGAAAGATGTTCAAATGGGCTTCTTTCAGAAGCATGATGGAGTTAAAATTCAACTATTCAAACAAATCAAGATTCCTGTGTATGAACATTGCAGTATTTCTATTAAGTGTCCAACAGTGAAAAATGGATAAACTGTAATAAGTCTATATAATAATAATATGCAAAATTTTTAAATAATTTCTTTTTTTCAAAGTTTTATTTATTTGAGAGAGAGAGGGAGAAGGAGAGAGTACGCGCGAGCAGGCGGAGAGGGAGGGAGAGAATCCTCCCCGCTGGGCGTGCCAGGAACCTGAGATCACAACCTGAGCCAAAACCAAGAGTTGTCTGCTTAACCAACTGAGCCACCTAGGAGCCCCAAAATAATTTCTTATATTAAGCTTTATACTACCCAAAATTGATGAGCATATGGGGAAAAGTATAAATTGGTATGATTATTTTGGAGCAAAGTGTAATATCCATCAAAAAGTAAAATTCACATTCCTTCTGAACAAGCAATTCCAGGGCTAGAATTTATTCTACATCCCTCATATGCACAAATACAAATAGACAAAAGTACAAGAATCTTTACTCTAAAAACTCTTTGTAACAACAACAAAAAAATAGAAAACACTTCCAATGTTAAGGTCAGATGGGCTAAAAATACAAATATTCCATTCCCAGTAATGAAATACAACGCTACTATTAAAAAAGGTAAAGAACAGCAGCATGTAGCAACATGGAAAAATGACCAAAATTTATTATTAAGTGAAAATAACCAAGTTACAGATATATTTGAGTATCTATTGCATGTGCCAGGCACATACAGACAAATGAGCACGTGTAGCATAAGTCCGTTTGTATGGAAGAAAAATAAATACCACAATGCAAATAGGTTGTTTGGTAAAATTTTTGTTTTATTTATTTATTTTTTTTTTCAGAGAGAGCAAGAGTGTGCAAGCAGGGGTGGGGAAGGGGGTTGGGGGTGGGAGAGGCAGGGGTAGAGGGAGGGAGAGAATCTTAAGGAGGTTCCACGAGCAGTGCAAAGCCCGAAGCAGGGCTCAATCTCACAACCCCGAGATCATGACCTGGGACGAAACTAAGAGTCGGACACTCAACCAACTGAGCCACCCAGAGATCCCTTTTGTTTTTATTTTTAAGGATGATTTTTTTTTTAATTTATTTATTTTGACAGGGAGAGAGAGACAGCGAGAGAGGGAACACAAGCAGGGGGAGTGGGAGAGGGAGAAGCAGGCCTCCCGCGGAGCAGGGAGCCCGATGCGGGGCTCGATCCCAGAACCCCGGGATCATGACCTGAGCCGAAGGCAAACGCTTAACAACTGAGCCACCCAGGCGCCCCAGGATAGATGATTATTTTGATTTCTGCTAGTGTTACACAGAAATAAGTATAAGCCTAGATGATTAGTTTCCAATCATTCAGTCTATTATTCATTATTGAAAAATTAAAAGCTGAGCAGAATGTATGGTACTGACATTAAGAAGCAAACAGTATGTTCCTTCCTAAAACAAAGTAACTTTAATTTCTGTATTTAAAAAAATCAGGGCACCTGGGTAGCTCAGTTGGTTGGGTGACTGCCTTCAGCTCAGGTCATGATCCTGGAGTCCCAGGATCGAATCCCACATCAGGCTCCCTGCTCAGCAGGGAGTCTGCTTCTCCCTCTGACCCTCCCCCCTCTCATGCTCTCTCTCTCTCTCAAATAAATAAATCTTAAAAAAAAAAAAAAACCAAAGATGCCACATTTTGTTAGATGCATCCCTACTGAAGAGAGATGTCAACGAAAAAAAAATCTTAGAATCAATGAAATAGGGTGGTAAAACAAACATACTTACCAAACTTCTACAAATATCTGCAATATCATTCATGAGCTTTGATGTCAACAATCGTAGGAAAAATCTAGATGCAATCTTATTTGGACTGGGCTGTAATTAAGACAAAAAAACAAACAAATAAAAAGTCATCCTGGCAGATAATATTTTCTCTATCTTAAATGAAATGTAGATTTTTTTTTTTACACTGGAAATTCTCTATCATAAGAAGCATAAACCGTTTACAATTAGGGCCAAGATATAAACTGAATTAAAAACACTAACTTCTTTTTTAAAAGTAATAACTATAGTCCATTAAATTGTGTATAAACATTAAAGTAAAATACCAACTACCAACCCTAAACAAAAGTAATAATTTTAAGTTAGAGTTTATTCTTCCATTCGTCTCCTTCCCCATTTGCAAAAAAAAAAAAAAAAACCAAAAAACAAATTACACTTTTTTTTTTTTAAGGAAAAAAAAAGAAAAACACATTACAAAATGAAAAATATATACTGGTAATATTGTTATACAGCCATGTCGTATCATTAGCTTCCAAAAAACGTTTTTCCAACCACGACCCGCACCCTGGGTTGGCTCAGCTATACCTCAGGCTTGGCCCCAATCAGAACAAAGATTACACAGAGTAGCACTCTTTCTACCAAGTGTAACAGAAGACTGTCTGGGCAAAAGACAGTAATGTATGTGGCTGGAGATGTTTATCTTCGTGGTGCCCGCTAGCCCTGGCATAGTGGTATGCACATCACACAGCCAGTAGTCAACAAATTATTAAATGAATAAAAACAGGGGCGCCTGGGTGGCTCAGTCGTTAAGCGTCTGCTTTCGGCTCAGGTCCTGATCCCAGGGTCCTGGGATCGAACCCCACATCGGGCTCCCTGATTGGCAGGAAGCCTGCTTCTCCCTCTCCCACTCCCTCTGGTGTGTTCCCTCTCTCGCTGTGTCTCTCTCTGTCAAATAAATAAATAAAATCTTCAAAAATAAAATAAAATTTAAAAAAAATGAATAAAAACATGCGGGCAATAAAAGAGCGGCCCGTGTAGTTGTATATAAAAGCGGTAAAATAACCTCAGAAACCTTCCTGAAATGATGAACTGATTTCTCAAGAAACTCAGATTACCTGTTGCTTTGTTCCTCCGGTTGCTACTTTTATTTACCATTCACTTTAATTTTAAATCAGTGTATACATTTATGAATGGACCCAAAAACCAGTACCACCACCAACCAACCAGTTATCAACCTCCTAGACTAACCAGTCAAGTAAGAACATCTTACCTTGGTACAGTTACACAAACAATTGGTACACAGATTCATCATATTTCTCAGTGAAGCGATCCTAGATTCCTCAGAGGTCTTATTTTTGAACAGAGTGATACTTTCTCCTGCACACTGCATTAGAGACTATTAAGAAAAGAAGGAAAAATCCAAACTCCAGTTAAAATTACAGTTCTGTAATTGCTTTTTAAAGTTTTACTTAAGAAGTAAAATGAAGGGGCGCCTGGGTGGCTCGGTTAAGCGACTGCCTTCGGCTCAGGTCATGATCCCAGGGTCCTGGGATCGAGTCCCGCATCGGGCTCCCTGCTCTGCGGGGAGCCTGCTTCTCCCTCTCCCACTCCCCCTGCTTGTGTTCCCTCTCTCGCTGTGTCTCTCTCTGTCAAACAAATAAATAAAATCTTAAAAAAAAAAAAAAAAAAAGAAGTAAAATGAAGCTTTTTTAGAAGTTATATTTGGTTGGGACGCCTGGGTGGTTCAGCCAGTTACACATCTGTCTTCGGCTCAGGTCATGATCCCAGGGTCCTGGGATCGAGCCCCACATCAGGCTCCCTGCTCAGCGGGGAGCCTGCTTCTCCCTCTGCTCCTCCCGCTCTCCCTGCTCTTTCTTTCTCTCTCTGACAAATAATAAATAAAATCTTAAAAAAAAAAGTTATATTTGGTTATACAGTGTAATTAAAAATCATGGTAACAATTTTTTAAATGACCTATCTTATACCTTGTTATCCTTACAAATCATACCACTGACTGAACAGCACTCAAAGATGAAAAAAAGTTTCACACTTAGAGCCTACCTGTATAACAATAATCAAGGATTGTTTAGGACAATCGATCACAGGAAAAAAAAATTTTTTAACATTTTATTTATTTGAGAGAGAGCGAGAGTAAGAGAGTACGAGCAGGGGGAGGGGCAGAGAGAGAGGGAGAAGCAGGCTCCCTGCTCAGCAGGGACTTGATCCCAGAAACTGAAGATCAAGACCTGAGCCGAAGGCAGAAGCCCAACTGATTGAACCACCCAGGCGTCCCACAGGAAAAACTTTTAAAAGTGCCCATAAAAATCAGTATTTTTGTTAGTAAGATTAAATTTAATGTGATATTATTTCAATTATTCTATTTATACTTGGCTTAAAATAACTGCAAATGTTAAGGAAGGACAGATAGTATCATTTCTCTCAGATGGCATAAATGAAAGAGAAAGAGCTAACCTATGTAAAAGTCTTGTTTTTCCAAGCAAGTATACCAATTTTCCCCAGGAATATTCTTCATTCAAATTTATCCAAAACTTTAATAGAATAAAATTTCATACCTTGGCTTTCTGGAATAGTTCTGATCTATATGCTTCCTCTTCAGCTATTACTCCCACGTAACAATAGCAGCCGAGAACACCCACCAAAAGACTGGAACACCGGATAAGCGTTTCTGCATTTGTAGTCTTAAAGTAAAACAAAAAATAAAAAAAATACTCGTTCCATAAATAATTTTGAGTATTCCACGATCATCTTTTGTAAGAACAAATTTATGTACATATTAAGAAACAAATTTAGTTAACGTAGTTAATAGTGGCATGTTTCTGATTATCTCTATGAACATCTAAGAGACCCCTGCAGAATGGTAACTAGGAGTCTCAGGAAAAAAAACAAGTATCTCCTAATGGCCAGGTTAGGTCTCTCTCTCCTCTTAAAGTGGCACAGAGCACTGCACACATAGGCCCTTCACATTTGAGGTAGGGGAGGAAAGAAAAAAAAAAGGTAGCCAAGTCTGTAACTCTTAGAACACGAGCAGAAATCAGATTCATATAAAGAGATATTAAAATGACATTTTGACCTTCTGAAGGATAAGAACCTTGATCTATTAAGCTTTTTAGACTCCAGAAACCAACACAATTTTTACAAGTAGATACCACATAGCCAATTTTATAAAATTATTTACAAATTTCTAACTACACAGAAAAATAAGATTTTCAGACTGTTTTGTTCCTATACGGCAGGAAATGGCATTTTAGGGGAAAACACAGAAGACCATATTACAAAATGGTTACAACTGTGACCCAGGAGAATGCCAGTAACTAAGGATAAGGTATACTATCTCTGGTTCTCTGGGTCATCCTCTTTGGCTACTGAATTCACTCCACTGAGTAACTTGCAGATTTTATTTTATTCAACAAATATTTTACCATTTACCATATAACAAGGTGTTGTGGAATATACAAAGATTAATAAAAATATGTATGCCTTTTTTTTTTAATATGTATGCCTTTTAACGAGCTTAAAGCATGGTTTGAGACATTTGTGTATAAAACATACAAATATCCACAGTACAAGGAAGATGCTAAGTCTCACTTTAAAAAGAAATACTAAGTACTGTGAAAATTAAAAGATGAATTACCATGGCTGAGATTATCTAAGAAAGGCTTTTAGCAGGATTTTGACATTTGGATGATTTGAACACACAGAAATGGGCAGAAAGGCATTTACCTCATGTCAAAAGAAATGAGAGTTTTGGCAAGAAAACAGCACACACAAAGAGAATTTGTGATCTTAAGAAGCAAAGGAAATGATTTATGAGAAATTACTAGTGACCTCCAAAATATGGGTGACTGCTGGTTCCTCTATTACATTTTATTAATCACTTCTTCCTTTTCAAGTGTCACCAAAATCTATTAGATCAGTTTAAATGATGTCCTTTTCTGTTATTGTAACATCTCCCTTCTCTGTACTGAGTGGTTCTTTCTCATCATAGAATCCCTATGCTCAAAACCATTACTATTCCCCACTAACCTACACAAGGAATTCTACTTATTTAATGTCTACTAGAATTCCTGGTACAAAAGAAACACAAACTATTCTTTTTGGGTTTTCCTTTTTTCATGCTAAGTTTTCCCTATTTGTACGCATTGTACTGTCACTTTGTTTTTTAAACCAAGCGTCTCATCATCCTTAGGGCCGGCCCTTCCTGCCTGTTTCTCCTTCTAAGTGTCCACCGAAGTTGAGTCAAAGACATTTCTTCTGAAAATCTCACCTCAGCTGAGTAGTTATTTAAAAGCTGTTCTGATAATCCCAGGAGATAGAGATCCAGTGATTCCTTGAGGTTTTGGTGGACAGAAAAGCCTACAGTGGCCTGGTGCTTTTCTACAGCACATTCTTTCACAATGGTTAAAAAATCCATCTTGTCAAAAGTTGTCTGAAGAAACAGTTCTTCAACTTCTGAGAATGAAGGCTCTCCTTGATCTTTTTGGTGTTGTTCACTTCAAGAAAGTAAGATCTTAAATTTATAACGGAATGACCAACTGCTTCACCTCCACGTGGCAGCAATGTATTACACATGAACACAGTAACTTAGCGTCTATGTTATTCACACAGTGCTTATATAGTTAATGGATTACTCTTTTAAATGCTGCTCTTCTTTAGGATTGATAGCTACTTGTACCAGATTTCATTATGCAGTAGCAAATTTTATTAACGGATGAAAACATTCAAGTTACAATCTCCAAGGGAAATTCAGAAAGTATTAAAAAAAAAATTAATGACACCAGGCATAAACACTAAGATAAACATTATCTGAAAACATTTTCCTTTTTGCCTGTTGATTTCTCCAAAATGAAGGGAGTTCTTCATCCTCTGCCCTCTCCAGGGAGATTAGGAATTTTCATGCCAGTGAGTCATTTTCAGCCACAGTGATAAACATAGGCCTCTTGAGTCAATCAACTAAAATGAGGTTTTAGATTTATTTTTACTTTCCCTATCCTCTATTACCATTAGTTTTAAAGCTAATAGATTTTACTTGACATACAAAAATGTATCATATCGTTAAAGAACTCATTCCTAACCTTCCATCATAATCATTCTCTACCTTCCAGTGGCAAATGTCACAAGCTATACAACACAGCATGAAAAAACAGTCAACTGGATCAAAAATTGTAGCTGCAGATTATTATCATGAATGAAAAAACAGCTTTTCCCTAATAGCCCTAATAGGCTAATAGGTGTGATTTTTTTTAAACTGATCAACTTAGTTCATAATTTTTAAGATGTAGCTACTATTCTGCTAAAATGATTATCTTTGTAATTAAAGCCATAACTTAAAACACCACAGAACTCTATTAGGTAACATACCATCCTGGCACTGTCTGGAGAAAATTCATTGCAGCTTTACAATTTTTCACAGTGAGACTCACAAGAATTTTCTCCACTGCAAGATGAGGAAAATTACTACAAAGGAAAAAAAAAAAAAAATCTTCACTTAGAAGACCAAAAGCCATTCAAAGCATTCTTTAACCTTACACATCCATGTCTGGCTATAAATCCTGACCTCTAAAAACTGGATCCAAAATTAAAATTTCTTTCATCTGTACTGAATTTTTGAACATCTAAAACAAGAATTAAGAAGCAGACATTTTGTTACTATCATTTTCAATACTTCCTGACAGCAGACTTATCCAATTTTTAAGAATCATTTCTGAAATAAACAGATTATGAAATTAAAGCAAAAGCACTAGGATCCAAAGGTCTGTCCTGCAGTTGTTTGGTCCCAGCTACCAGCTGTGGAAAGGTTAAATGGGCAAGCTGCTCCCCCTCCTGGTGTTTAAGCCTCATTCTGTCTGTCTCTAGCGTCCTCCCCCCATTAATTGAACACCCATCACCCAGAACATACTCTCATTATGATTCCAGGATACATCTGCATCAGATATATGTTCAGACGAACCTATTCACAGAAAATCACAAAAAACACATAAGTGCTCAAAGAATTCCAATTCCCTTATTCTTACTGTCTCGGCAGACACAAGGACAAAGTAAAAGAATATAAACAGATCCGAGCACAGAGATGCAGAACGGTGTAAAAACAAAGGGACTGTTCAGTATCTGGAATTCGCTCTGAGAAATGCTGCATTACCACTGTAAAAAAAAAAAGCCACCTGGTATCAAATCATCGAGAGTACCTTACAACACACAACAGCAGAGTGCTAATGAGCTTAAGTTACCTGTGAAGAACTGGAGGCAGCTCTGTGCGGTCCTCAAAGTCGTCCTCTAACTGAGAGAGTAAGAGCCATTTCATCATCAGCTCCTTTGAAGAACAACTTCTATTTACTTCACATGTACTCTGCTCCACTCCTGTTTTTACAGTCTCGGGAACCACAGAGATGGTCATTGCCAGAGTCAAGCAGCAAACTGCAGGACTACAACAAAGCCAAGCACGGCCGCTGTTAAAGATCAGCTCTTTTCTTTTTTCAATACTAAAAGTTCTTTATTTTCTTTAACACAGTGGCTATGGGTCGATGATCTGCAATAGGTAGCATCATGAGAATAACCACAAGTAGACCAAGTGTGACAAAAAACCGACAGAGTGTTTCACACCCTTGAGCGACAGAATGGGAGAGTCAAGAATGGGAGAAAAGTACTGCAGAAGGAGACACCTGAAGTGCTACTTATATATTCCTGCAGGAACACCAGCAATGCATCCATTTTAAGGGTCACCAGCTCACTTCCAACTTCTTTCCCTCAAAAACAACTTGAATCTCTTTGGCATCCGAGGTCTCACAGTTAGTAAAGCTTCTGCCTGATGCTTACGCTCTTTTGCCTAAGTCTCCAAGATACACTTCGCGAGTTCGTTCAAGTCCCTGAGAAGGATTCTAATTTCTTGTTCAATAGCAGACTGAGTTTCTGGCCTCAGTGTCCCTGTGTCACTGCAGGTCATAGCTCCAAGCTTTTCACTCATTCCAAATTTGGTAACCATCCTCTTTGCTAAAAAATAAGCTTTCTGAGGTAGAAAGACCTTGTCTATTTTATTTACCACCGAGCTGCTACTAATGCTTAAGACAATGCCTGACACGTCTAAGTGTAGAGTGAATGTCTACTAAAGAAATGAACACAAAAAATTGTGAGAAGTCTGATTACGTTTGAGAAGAACTCTCTCTTACTGTAACTGTCTGTAGCACTACCAAAAAGAATTTTTTTATGGATACTGAACAATAAGTACTTAATATGCAATTAAAAAAAAAAGAAATTTAAACATTTAATTCTTTAAAATTGGCCTTAGTAATCTCTCTATACTTGAAACTAAATTTACATTTATTTACTTATTAAGACTCCCTGGACAAACCATAGAAACATCTAAAATCAAATTTAACATATTGTCACCTCCAGTTACAAACTATAAAACCAGAAGAAAAAAAGTACACATGTCTATATGTAAATCTCTTACAATATACAGTCAACTTACCATGAAGGTCTGCAGGCTGACCCAGTAAATAACTTCCAGAATTCTCTATCAACCTCAATTAAACTGCCTTGAATTATAGCTCCAAGTAAACCAAAGTTTTCAGCTTGTATTTGTTCAGAACTTATACCGCGAAAGGTAAGAGACCAAATTTTAATCCAGAATTTCAATAAATCTGACTTCTGTGAGCCTTCTAGGTTTGATTTCTGGCCTTGACACAACGCAACTTCCGTAAGGCACCGTAACACATACGGTGTGCGCTCCCCGTGTCGATGTTGAGGCAGGAGCTGGTATAGTATCATCAGTAATGGTGACAACTCACAGTTAGGGAAACTTGAGGGATATTTTGATATTAACTGGGTTGTAATCTGTAACCTACATAAAATAAAAAGATAATTAGGTTGAAAATTATTCAATTCCATTAACAAACTAAAACAAATATATAGACATAGCACCCTTGCAATATCCTAGAGTATCACCATCATTATTTTCCATACCATTCTAAAAATAAACTGGCTTTTAATATTTTTTAATCCCTACTTCCTAAAGTGGCAGGAAGAATGACAACTTTCTGGCTAGGTAGGTGAGTTGTCATATTCCCCTTATAAAAACACTTTGAGGAATAACTAAATTAGGGGCACCTGGCTGGCTCAGTTGGTGGAGCATGTTCCTGATCTCAGAATCATGAGTGCAAGCCTCACACTGGGCATGGAGCCTACTTAAAAACAAAACTAAACTTATTTACAATTTTCTACTTCTGAGTTATCACATCCATCCTTGCTCTTCAGCCACCATTAATATTCCTTCAAAACAAGAAAACAAAAAAAAAAACCCAAACAACTGTTTTTCCTAGACATTCAGTTAATTCAATAAGTATCTGCTATAAGTTCTCTAGAATGTGAACTACTCAAGAAGAGGAACTTCACCTTATTCATTCCTGTATCTCTAATGCACGTATTCAATAAATAACCCCTGACAAAATGGAAAAACTGAAGAATCTGAAATAGGGATCCTCCATCATGTAAAAGAAACATGAACTTAAGCAAGAGGTATCTAAATCAAGATGCTTCCCCACCTTCACGACTCAGTTATATTTAAATATGACATTAACATGGTAAAAATCAAGGCACGGATCACACGAGTTTGACTATCATCTACAAACTTGTAACTGTCCTTGGGCAAGCTGCTTAACCTTTCCCAGTTTCGTTTTCTGTTTGGTAATAAAGCAAACAGGCTGAGCTGGATGAATTCTAAAGATCCCTACCAGATCTAATATTTTGTGATATCACAGAACACCACAATTTATTTAATCATTTGAATAACTGTGTATGCTGCACATGGCAAATTAAAAAAAAAAAGGCAACCTTTTTCTGTGGCACGAGGTCCAAATTATTCTGTGATTTTTGAAAGCCATCTTTAATTTCTCCCTCATCTACTTCTACTAGAAGGTGCTATATATGCTAAAGTCTCTTCATGTGGAGATGGTACAGCTCAGCGCATTCCATGCCTGCTAGGCAGCCATCCTCCCACCTTCCTTGCTAAGGCTATCTGCTTAGGAAAGGTGGCCCCCTGGCCCAGGCTCCAGCAGATAAGCCTTGGTGGTTGATAGCCAGAGGTCTTGGCAAGCACCTTCCCCTTCACCAGGGACTGGTTTCCGAGTGGACAACTGACCTAGTTATGGCGAGGCCGTTCTACTGGAGGGCTTGTCAGAAAAACTAAATGAGACTAAAATGACAGTGGAAGAGAAAACAGTAACATTTTACCAAGGTACAAGATCAAAATCACTCTGTGACTTCTGAAGATGATCTTTTATTACTTCCCAGCCTAATTCTATTTTCTTCTTTTTGCAAGGTGCACTGTAATCATTAAATTCTCTTTGAGTGGTAGGGTAAGACTGAGAAATCTCCAAAGATCTAGTATCTTCATTAAAAATCTGTAAGATAACAAAAAGAAAATCTTTTTTTTCCCCACACTGATTCTGTTTTTTAATACTTCATGAGGGAAAAAATGTTCCTCCTCAAATGAAGACACAGGGACATCACAGAGCAAGAGTAATAAATTACAGAAATACATAAATATGATAACACAGCAACAAACACCTCTCTAGAAAACAGATATTACCAAGTATGTTATTACTTTTGTTTCCCAGAAACATCTGCACTAAGACATCTAAAAGTAAAGCAAAAATCTGTTTTCAATGGGATTAAATTTAAAATTTCTTTGGATAAAAAAATGGGATTATATCACATATTTACCATTAAGAAAATATCTGACAAGTGAAATTACCCAAGATATTAACCAAATTTCTGAGGAGGAAAAAGACAGTTTTACTTAAGAAACATTAAGCCATCAACTGATAGATGGGTAAACAAAATATAATGTATCCATACAATTGAGTATTATCCAGCAATAAAAAGGAATGAACTAGTAGTGATTCTCGGCACAACATGGATGAACCTTGAAAACACTGTGCTAAGTGAAAGCAGCAGACGAAGAAGACTACGTGTTGTTTCATTCCATTTCTAGGAAATGTCCAAAGTAGGCAAATCAATAGAGACAGAAAGTAGATTACTGGCTGGTTGCTAAAGACCGCTAACAGGTACATAGTCTGTCCTGGGGGCGATGGAAATATTCGGGAATTAGACAGTGGTGATGCTTGTACAACACAGTGAAAATACTAAAAACCACTCAACCGTACACTTTAAAATAGTGAATTTTAGGGCGCCTGGGTGGCTCAGTCAGTTAAGTGTCTGCCTTCGGCTCAGGTCATGATCCCAGGGTCCTGGGATCGAGATCCGCATTGGGCTCTCGCTCAGCAGGGAGCCTGCTTCTCCCTCTCCCCCTCCCCCTGCTCATGCTCACTCTCTCTCTCTCTCTCCCCCCCCTCAAATAAATAAATAAAATCTTAAAAATAAAAGTAAATTTTATGCTATGTGATTTTTAACTCAGTAGGGAAAAAAAATGAAAAAACAAGAAACATTAGGGTTAGGATAATCTGATTTCCTATAGACCATCTTTTAGGAATGAAGAGTTCAGGGATGCCTGGGGGGCTCAGTCAGTTAAGTATCTGCCTTCAGCTCAGGTCATCATCCCAGAGTCCTTGCTCAGTGGGGAGCCAGCCTCTCCCTGCCGCTCCCCCTTGCTTGTGCTGGCTCGCTCTCTCACTCTGACAAATAAATAAATAAAATCTTAAAAAAAAAATTCATCACTAGTTTTCACTAAGTTCATATGTGCAAAATAGTTACTAAGTCAGAACAGCAATTCCAAATACAGAGTTTTGAAAGAAACAGTTACATATACAAAGTAATTTTACAAGGCTTTTTATCAGAGCACACGTGTACAAAACCCATTAAAAGGGAAACTAATGGAAAACTTCCAAATGTGACAAGACCTACTATACCTGGTGACAAATATCTGCCATCAACTCAATCAAGTTTTCCTTGACAGCAACATTACGAGATCCTGAAGAATATTTCCCTCTGCTTCCTATATGACTTATCTCGTTAATTAGCAGATCATATAAGTTATACAAGATACTTTTCCATTTACTTGATTCATAAGCACCTGTAATTCAAAAAATTAAAATATAGTTTACATATACTCTCCACTTGCACTGCCAACTCCCAAAGAACCATTCAGCTGTTAAGGTGAAAACTGGTCCAACCATCCATTCTGTACTAGGGCCTCTTCAGACAATATCCTTGCAGGCTCCCCTTTGTAACGGTGTCCGGCTCACACTCAGTTACCTGTATCTGTTATAAAATTCTTCTATAATCTGATCTAACTTTCTCTAATCAACTCCATCAAAATCCCAATCAAACCTTAATTTTTTCTCTCCCGAAGTAAATACAATTAATATGTCCCACCATTTATATAAGGACCAAGTTCTCTGTATGTCATTAAGAGAAAAACATCACTAGTTCCTTTAGCATACAAACACGTTACCCAGACTTCTCCTCATTCTAGTCATCTACCCCTAAACACACACCAGTCCACTTATGTCCCTCTTGAAATGGTGACTCTACAAAATCTGGGGGACATGATACACCCACTGTGATCTGACTGGTATGGGTAACAAAGGAGCTATTACTTCTCACAGAGAACCGTAAATCTATTAGTGTAGCCTAAAACTACGTGAGTGTTTCTGGCAGACTCATCATCCTGCCAATTTTCAATTCATCCTAAATATACAGTTAAATAAAACCCTAAACATATCATGTCATCTCCTGAATAAGCCTGATCTTCATCCTGACAGGAGCTGTGTGAAAGACGAAAACCTAAGAAAATCCAACATTCTTTGACTTACAGTGGTTTCATGGGCTACAAATACATCTAACTTCCTACATGAGAAAAGCCCATTAAACATAGATAGCTACTTTTGAAAAAATATTGGTTCTCACAGTTTTTCTCCATTTTACCTGCTATTTCTCAGTGTAGCTTGATTTCCCAACAAGGGCCTTAAACAAGCCATGACGAATTTGTCCGAAGGCCAGCACAGACCCAAAGGTAAACACAGTGTGAGCATGAGGGAACCCATCCGGTTCCAGTTGCACCCAATAAAATTCCTGTCCACTAAGTGAAGCTACATCACCTAAGATTTTTAAGATTTTTTTTTAATTAAGGTATAACTGACATATAACATTAATTTCACATGTACAATGTAATTATTTGGTATTTGTACACATTGTGAAATGATCACAATGCATCTGGTTAACATACCTTACATAGTTACAAAAAAAAAAAGTTTTTTCTTTCTGATGAGAAGTTTTAAGATCTACTTTCTTAGCCACTTTCAAATATGCACTACATATTAACAAGCAATACTCTCTTGGTAAAAGACAAACATAAAGGTATCAAAGGAGGAGAAGTCATTCATTTCTGGTTTTCCAGGAAACAGGGACCTGGATTCAGGATGAGGTTTAAGGCAGTATGAACACATCTTCCTGAGGAACTGACTCATCTGTTTGCAGTCCACATTTATCTGTTTACCTCCTAATAAAAGCAGTATGTAGACGCGTAAGTCCCTGGCTTTTCTAAACTCGTTTACACTCTGGTCTGTGTAATTCCTTTCAGCACCTAACTATTGCTGCATAATCAACTCCTAGAGCGAACAGTGTCTCCTATTTATCTGTGTTCCTCATAGTACTTACGAATGTACTAAACAAATGGTAGGGCATGACAGGATTTGCTACCACAGCTTCAAATTCTTAAAAAAAAAAGTGTGAGAAACATCCTCGAGACTAATACTATTACCAAGCATAGCAATCGAGAGGAAGGTCATAACCTCCTACAAAATACAAATTTCATACTTAAGCCTCTATGTACCAATGAAGAAGCAAATTCAAAACAGCAAAAACTTTTATACCTTTTTCTTGGGTTTTGGCTCCCTTTGGATGATGCACATAAATTTGCAATTGAAATAATTCAATAATTACTTCTTTTAAGGAATCGTTAAGTCTATGTTGAGTCCAAATGTAAAGCAAGGTAGGAAGAATTTCATCTCCTAGTTGACACACTCGAATTCGAAAGTTAACAGCCAACGTCTTGAGGAAGGTAATAAATGCTGCTAAGATGTGATTTAGACCCGCAGAACTCTTTTCCTTTCTGTCACAGAAAATAAACAGACTCAGCTTGGTATAACAGGGCAGAAAAATGAACATTGAAGGCAGTTATGAAGTTGCATGCTGCAAAGAAAAAAAATATCTAACCTTCAAGTAACAGTAGCCTTAGTTTTAGAACTATGCAGAAAAAAAAAACCTTAGTAGGACCACCGAGCAACAAACCAAACCGATCTTATTTGATGCTCACACATCCTTCCTGCTCTCTACTACTGAAACACTGTGCAAAATGACACAAAACTGATTTGTAATACCACCGTTCATACAATGTTTCACATGATAGACGGGGTAATGTCACACAAATCTAAGATACTGATACTTCCAAAGTATGTTCCTATTTTATTTTTGCTTAGTATATCTGCAAGAAGATCAAACAGGTTTTCAATACAAAACAAAACAGAGATTAGATTACCTTGCATGCTGAATAGCCTTGGAAAAGAAATCCAAAAATTTGGAATTTAATCCATCAGTTTGCGAACAGCATCCTTTAGTCACAGCATGAATTATTCTAGCCACTAAAACTCTATTAATGTCTTGTGCAGGTTTAAGGTACAGACTGAAGTACACAGAGAACAATTCTTAAAAAAAAAAAAAAATCAGTTATTAAAAAGAAAACTATGGAAGCATTTAACTTAAAGGTCCTGATTTAATTTAAATTTCAATATTCCAGGCCACCTGGGTGGCTCACTCAGTTAAGTGTCCAACTCTTGGTTTCGGCTCAGGTCTTGATCTTGGGGTCCTGGGACTGAGTCTCGCATCAGGGTTTGCACTCGGTGGGGAGTCTGCTTGAGATTCTCTCTCTCTCTGTGCCCCTGCCCACTTGCTCACTCTCTAAATAAATCTTTTTAGGGAGGGGGGAAAGATGGTGGAGGAGTAGAGGACCCTATTTCAACTGGTCCCCAGAATTGAGCTGGATATCTACCAGAGCACTCTATGAGCACCCACGAACCCAGCCTGAGATGTAAGAAGATGTGGATCTCTACAAGCAGAATATCGCAGGCGGTTGGTTTTGAGGTATGAAGCGGGGAGCCGTGATTCCACAGGCAGATATCGGAGGATAAATGGCAGCGGGAGGGTGCCTGGCCGTGGGGATCCTACACCGGCGAGCGACAGCCTTGCACGCTGGGGACGGGGCACAGACTAGCAGACCGGTAGCTGCTGGGAAAGGACTCTAGAGCAGCCCCCAGGACGGAAACCCAGAGCGGCGGGGTCACGCTCTCAGGAACTGGGAGCACTGCGGAGGGGCGCATAACCCAGGCCGCTGCAGTTTATAGCAGCACAGACAGAAACGAAGACGGTGTGGCCTGGAGAGCTCACTGAAGAACAGACTGCGATCTCTCTGCTCTGAGGCAGAGGGTTGGAAACGGTCTCTTCTGCTCGGGCTCGCGGAAGAGACGCGGAAAGCCGCCAGAGAACAAAAGCCCCAAAAACTGATTCCCGCTGAGCCCATCCCCCGCCACAGGGGTGCAGGGCAACTCCATCCGAACAGGGTTGCCTGAGTAACAGCGCAGCAGGCCCCTCCCCCAGAAGACAGGCTGGGAAAACAAGAGGCCAGCAACCATAAGGTCCCAAGAAAACAGGTGCATCTTGCTTGGGTTCTGGTCAATAATTTGGACTCTATACATTCCCTCAAACACCCATCAACAGAATGACTAGGAGGAGGAGCCCTCAAAACAGAAAAGACTCAGAGATCATGACTTATGCTGCAGATTTACAAATGGATGCAGATATAACCAAGATGTCAGAGATGGAATTCAGGCTAGCAATTGTGAAGACAATGGCTAGAATGGAGAAATCAATTAATGGCAACATAGAGTCCCTAAGGGCAGAAATGAAAGCTGAATTGGCAGAACTTAAAAATGCTATCAATGAGATCCAATCCAATCTAGATAATCTAACAGCTAGGGTAACTGAGGCAGAAGAACGAATAAGCGACCTGGAAGACAATATAATAGATAAAAAGGGAAAAGAAGAGGCCAGGGAAAAACAACTCAGAATACATAAAAATAGAATGAGAGAAATAAGTGACACCATGAAGCGTTCCAATGTCAGAATAATTGGAATCCCGGAGGAAGTGGAGAGAGAGAGAGGACTAAAAGATGTATTTGAGCAAATCGTAGCTGAGAACTTCCCTAATCTGGAGAATGAAAAAACATTGCGTCCTAGAGGCAGAGAGGACCCCTCCCAAGATCAAGGAAAACAGGCCAACACCCCGGCATGTAATAGTAAAACTCGCAAACCTTGGAACCAAGGAAACCATCTCAGAGGCAGTTAGGGGGAAGAGATTCCTTATGTACAGAGGGAGGAACACCAGAGTAACGTCAGACCTATCCACAGAGACCTGGCAAGCCAGAAAGGCCTGGCAAGACATATTTAGGGTACTAAATGAGAAGAACATGCAGCCAAGAATACTTTATCCTGCAAGGCTTTCATTTGGAATGGATGGAGAGACGCAGAGCTTCCACGACTGGCAGAAGCTGAAAGAATACGTGACCCCTAAGCCGGCCCTGCAAGAAATATTAAGGAGAAAGATCCCAAGAGTCATAGACAACAGAAATTTACAGGGACAATCTATAAAAACAATGTCTTCACAGGCAACACGATGACAATTAATTCATATCTTTCAATAATCACTCTCAACATGAATGGCCTAAATGCTCCCATAAAACGGCACAGGGTTGCAGATTGGATAAAAAGACAGGACCCATCCATATGCTGTCTACAAGAGACTCATTTTGAACCTAAAGATAAATCCAGAATGAAAGTGAAGGAATGGAGATCCATCTTCCATGCCAGCAGACCTCAAAAGAAAGCTGGGGCAGCAATTCTTATATCAGACAAATTAGATTTTAAACTAAAGTCTGTAATTAGAGACACAGAAGGACACTATATCATTCTTAAAGCGTCTATCCAACAAGAAGATCTAACAATTGTAAATATCTATGCCCCCAACATGGGAGCAGCCATCTACATAAGCCAACTGTTAACCAAAATAAAGAGTCATATTGATAACAATACGTTAATTGTAGGGGACCTCAATACTCCACTCTCAGCAATGGACAGATCATCTAAGCAGAAAATCAACAAGGAAACAAGAGCTTTGAATGATACACTGGACCAGATGGACCTCATAGATATTTATAGAACATTCCACCCTAAAACAACAGAATACTCATTCTTCTCGAGCACACATGGAACTTTCTCCAGAATAGACCACATACTGGGTCACAAATCAGATCTCAATCGATACCAAAAGATTTGAGAATATTCCCTGCATATTCTCAGACCACAATGCTCTAAAACTGGAACTCAATCACAAGAAAAAATTTGGCAAGAAATTCAAACACTTGGAAGCTAAAGACCACTCTGCTCAAGAATGTTTGGGTCAACCAGGAAATCAAAGAAGAACTTAAACAATTCATGGAAATCAATGAGAATGAAAACACATCAGTCCAAAACCTATGGGATACTGCAAAGGCGGTCCTAAGGGGGAAATATGTAGCTATCCAAGCCTCACTCAAAAAAATAGAAAAATCCCGAATTCACCAACTAACTCTACACCTTAAAGAACTAAAGAAAAAGCAACAAACGATGCCTAAGCCACGCATTAGAAGAGAAATAATTAAAATTAGAGCAGAAATCAAAGAATTAGAAACCAGAAACACAGTAGATCAGATCAACGAAACTAGAAGTTGGTTCTTTGAAAGAATTAATAAGATCGATAAACCACTGGCCAGACTTATCCAAAAGAAAAGAGAAAGGACCCAAATTGATAAAATTATGAATGAAAGGGGAGAGATCACGACTAACACCAAGGAAATAGAAACAATTATTAGAAATTATCATCAACAACTATATGCCAATAAACTGAGCAATCTGGATGAAATGGAGGCCTTCCTGGAAACCTAGAAGCTGCCAAGACTGAAACAGGAAGAAACTGACAACCTGAATAGGCCAATAACCAGTAATGAGATTGAAGCAGTGATCAAAAACCTCCCAGAAAACAAGAGTCCAGGGCCTGATGGATTCCCTGGGGAATTCTACCAAACATTCAAAGAAGAAATAATACCTATTCTCCTGAAGCTGTTTCAAAAAATAGAAACAGAAGGAAAGCTTCCAGACTCATTCTATAAGGCCAGCATTACCTTAATCCCCAAACCAGGCAAAGATCCCATCAAAAAGGAGAATTTCAGACCGATATCCCTGATGAATATGGATTCCAAAATCCTCAACAAAATCCTAGCTAATAGGATCCAACAATACATTAAAAAGATCATCCACCATGACCAAGTGGGATTTATCCCCGCGATACAAGGGTGGTTCAACATTCACAAATCAATGTGATAGAACACATTAATAAGAGGAGGGAGAAGAACCATATGGTCCTCTCAATTGATGCAGAAAAAGCATTTGACAAAATACAGCATCCTTTCCTGATTAAAACTCTTCAGAGGGGCGCCTGGGTGGCTCAGTTGGTTAAGCGACTGCCTTCGGCTCAGGTCATGATCCTGGAGTCCCTGGATCGAGTCCCGCATCGGGCTCCCTGCTAGGCGGGGAGCCTGCTTCTCCCTCTGCCTCTGCCTCTCTCTCTCTCTCCGACTCTCATGAATAAATAAATAAAACATTAAAAAAAAAACAACTAATGATGTATGGTGACTAACATAACATAGCAAAATTTAAAATAAATAAATAAATCTTTTTAAATAAATTTTAGTAATCCCAAAGAAAAAGATTTAAAATTATAATAATTTACATTTAATATGGTAAAAGTTTCACATCAATATTTGCTTTTATTTTATATAAACTGCCTTCAAGAGAGGAACGACTTTCAGCCAGGAAGTATGTGCAGCCAGCCCTCAGACAAGCTGCTTAACTGCTCTACATCTGTGTCCCTTCCTCTAGGTCTAAGAGAACATGTAACAAGTGTAAAATGTATCAAGAACGCCGTCAGGGGGCTGAGATTTTATTCTACTTGTAACCTAAGGGATCAGAATGCCAATTTCATGGATGCTGGCAGAAGACATTCTATTCCTGCTTGAGTGCCTTCCTTTTTGCATAGATTCCTCAATCCCCAAGGCAACATGAAGAGCGGTAGGCGACAGGCGTGCAAATAGTGAGAGCCCTCAAGCCTTCTGTGACACACAGGTGGCTCTGAGGAAGCCATCATCTCTGTCACCATCTCCACCTTCCAAGGTTCACTATACTTAAAAAAAACAATCAGGAATAAAGCAGTCAGGGTCTGCTCCTAAGACATGCAGAAATGTTGAGATGCACTGAGAATCCTCTCTCAGAACCAGGAAAACCAAAGCTGCTAATGCAGGATTTGCTCCCCATATAAATAAAAAGAGAGTCCTTGGCTGGTAAAGTGAGTGAGTAACAAACACCTATGGGTATCTTTCTTTTCAAATGTATGTATCACGTAATTCTGCAGAAATAATTTAAAATCAGATTTCAAATACGAAAGAATAAGAACAATATAAATACCTCAAACATTATAGTAAGGAAAATGATTGTTCAAAGGATTCCCATCATATCTGACATTAATTTATACAACTCTGCATCAGTGCTTCCCAAAGTT